TCGGAGTTTGTGACGCTGCTGTGGGCAGCGGGGGGCCTGTTTACTTAGCTTTGTTGGGGGTCGTAAAACGTGGATGGGCGTAGGTTAGAAGTGAGTCACATGGGGAAATTTTTCTGGGTATTGCGAGTTTTATTTATTTATTTTATTTATCTCACATTGAACGCTGCCAGAGAGCTAATTTCCAGGCACAGGGCAAGGCCAAACGTGGCACAGAGTCACAAACAGAAGTTTCAAATCTTGAATCAGCCAGATGAACTAATTGCTTCCTGCAAAAGCTCATTTCCCGTTCGCTTCTCTTTGATGTCTTATGGGAGGGGCCAATCATCTCCAACCCTTACTCCCAAGTCGACCCTGTTTCCTTAATTGTTCCTGTCCCCTGGCAGCTCTGCGCATGCGCACACTGGGAACAGGCTCACGTTGTTCTTCTGCCTCCCTGATGTCAGACTCTGGAGATTCTGGAGGTAGCAAAGAACTACCAGATGGCCTTGGCCCCCTCTCTGCCTCTGACTCAGAGCCATCGTCCGAGCCTTCCCCAGAATCCAGGACTGGCTCACGTTTCTCCCCAACCTCCTCACTGTCCGAATCTGCTGCCAGCTCTGCTGGCCGCTGGCAGGCCATAACACACAGATCCCAGTTAGCCTGGCTAATGGCAAAGGATCATGGGCCCTGTAGTCCATCACTCCGTAGGAGACCCAGCTGATTCTCTCCTGCTTGGTGAAGCTGCTGGCCTTGATAGTAAATTTTTTTCAGCCTCCTCCTCTTCATTCAGGGCAGTCAGTTTGCCCTTGATTGAAGAGAAGTTCACTTCCCTGCCATATCGACTCTCTGGTTTCTGCCCTCTGGGGCACCCATATGCCAACTTTCCCTTCAAACTGCTGTCCAGATGTGGTCAGAAGTGTTCACATGGCCATAACTGTGTGATGAAAGCTGATTTTTTTTTAATGTGCATCAAAAAAAAGTCAAGATGGCAACCACAAATGTGTGATCAACTATATGCAGATGACCAGATTAAGCCCGAGGGAGGCGTCAAATGCATCATCAGTCACGAGTCCCTTTGCGCCCACAAGAGATCTTAAGGCCAGCCTACCTTGAATTCTTGTGACTCTTTATCTATGGCCAATTTGCTTGGGCTGTTAGTAGCTCAGATTCTTGTAGAGAGCCTAAGCTTGCAACAAATCTTTATACCCCTTTGAGCTGCCTGGACTTCCTGATTTCCCTGGCGCTTGACGTTGTACCTTTTTATGTGCATTGTGATTGCGTGGTTGTGCAACCATCATGTTGACTTTTCTGACTCATATCAAACTGTTGGGTTGGGGAAAAAAAAAAGTATGGTTAAAAAAAGTAATAATGGTGATCGCCGCTGTATTGTTAGTGCTTTGTACTTTGTTAACGTGCATCATGATTACATGATTGTAGTTGCCATTTTGACTTTTTTTGGCATTTGGTGAAAAAAAGGATGGAGGTCAAAAAAGTCAAGATGGCGATCCTGAAAATACGATTGAAATTCCACCTGGCTTGGGAGCAGAACCTCTCTTTCCAAGGGCCAGGCTCCCAAAACCAAGAAAGACATGTTGACATTCTTCTACGCTGTTTCCTTTACTGTTCCTCACCTATGGACAGAAATCTTACCAAACTAAAGCAAACAGCTCGCGCTATAAAGCATATGCTGTGGGAACTATTAGGGAGGAGTTGTCTTCATCCTCTTTCTCCCACACAATCTGAACTGAGTTGTCTCTGGCTCCTCTGGAACGCAGCCCCTCCCTCTGGGAATCTAGACTACATTCCATCACACCAAGTAACAGATTCTGTGGCATTCCCTGACTGTAGGAGAAGGACAGGCAGGGGGTGGAGTCAAGAGAGGAATCAGCCTGGAGTCATTAAAAGATAAAGGTTCCCCTTGCACATATGTGCTAGTCGTTTCCGACTCTAGGGGGTGGTGCTCATCTCCGTTTCAAAGCTGAAGAGCCAGCGCTGTCTGAAGACGTCTCCGTGGTCATGTGGCTGGCATGACTAAACGTCAAAGGTGCACGGAATGCTGTTACCTTCCCGCCAAAGGTGGTCCCTATTTTTCTACTTGCATTTTTTATGTGCTTTTGAACTGCTAGGTTGGCAGAAGCTGGGACAAATAACGGGAGCTCACCCCGTTACATGGCAGCCCTAGGGATTCGAACCGCTGAACTGCCGACCTTTCGATCGACAATCTCAGCATCTTGGCCACTGAGCCACTGTGTCATTACACTCCCACAAGCCATTTAAGTCCAACCCCTCTTGAATTCTGTTGATTCTTATCTAGCACCAATTTAGTGCTGTTAGTTGATCAGATTGTGTATGAGCAATAAAATCAACTGGAGCTTAATGTGTGGTCCTGATTCTTTGCACTTAACGCTGCCTCCCCAAATGCCGCTCCTCCTTTCCTCCCTGTAGGCTCACGCCCATCGCCTCCTGAAGCCAGGCGGGGTCTTCACCTATTGCAACTTGACTTCCTGGGGGGACCTGATGAAGAGCAAGTATTCGGACATCGAAAGGATGTTTCAGGTGAGAGCAGGGAAAGGCTGCTGTGCAGGACACTTCACTGGCTGGAGAACAGAGGTGGGTTTCAGCAGGTTCTGACCAGTTCTGGAGAACCGGTAGCGGAAATTTTGAGTAGTTCGGAGAACCGGTAGTAAAAATTCTGACTGGCCCCGCCCCCATCAATTCTCTGCCTCCCGAGTCCCAGCTGATCGGGAGGAAATGGGGATTTTGCAGTATCCTTCCCCTGCAGTGGGGAGGGAATGGGGATTTTGCAGTAACCTTCCCCTTGAGTGGGGTGGGAATGGAGATTTTACAGTATCCTTCCCCTGCCACACCCACCAAGCCACACCCACAGAACCGGTAGTAAAAAATTTTGAAACCCACCACTGGTGGAGAACCCATCCCGAGCCCAGCATCTTCATCATCACGACACACAATTAGCTCTTGAGTTGCTGTATGGCTTGCAAGAAAGCCTGCTGAATGTCCGGTGGTTTGCTTGAAGGAGAAAAATGAGAAGTCCTGTCCACTATCTGCAGGGTCAGCCTCCCCAAACCAAGACAGGCACGTTTATTTATTGGTTCGATTTATTTATTGGTTCGATTTATTTATTGGTTCGATTTATTTATTGGTTCGATTTATATGCCGCCCTTTCTCTGGAGACTCAGGGCGGCTTACAAGGCGTTAAGCCAGTGTTTCTCAACCTTGGAAGCTTGAAGATGGGTGGACTTCAACTCCCAGAATCCCCCAGCCAGCAGCGCTGGCTGGGGGAATTCTGGGAGTTGAAGTCCACCCATCTTCAAGCTTCCAAGGTTGAGAAACAATGCGTTAAGCAATAGCCTTCATACTTAATAGGGCTTTCGGCCCCCCCTAAACAGTGGTTTTTTTTATACAAAGTCATCTTATTGCCCCCACAATCCGGGTCCTCATTTTACCTACCTCGGAAGGATGGAAGGCTGAGTCAACCTCGAGGTTCTTCTAAGCAGCGTCTTTACTGTTTCCTACCTATTGACAGAAATCCTTCTCAAGACAGTAACTATCAGCATTCCAAGTAATACATCCATAGCAAACAGGACTCCAAGGCAAGTGAATTCCTCAAAGAATAGTTTTATTGGACATATCATATTGGTGCAGGCTGGTGAAAACCGACTCTGAATGTTCCCGCGGTTTTCACCCAATTAAAAGTTTTCCTCCTTCCCCAAACAATCAGTCACATGATCCAGTCAAGGTGTCTCCCGGTTGCCTGGTAACTTCACTCCAACTCTCTCTGACCACCTGACACTGTGGAAGTGTCCTTGGTTCCCAGGAGAAAGTAGTTTGTTTTGGCTACAAACCCCAGCTCTCTCTATTCCCCCCTCCCTATCCCTCAGCTCCAATGTGGCAACACTGAAACTTCAAAATGGCTTCCGTCAGGTCAGCTTCAGGGTTGACAGTAGCATTCTCATAGGCTTCTCTCCCTTCTCTTTTGGATTGCATCTTGAAAAAAAGCAGACCCTCCCTGCCTTGAGGTCATGCGGATGCCGCCAGCGATGGTTTATTTAAACTATAGCTTAGCGTGCTATGTTGAATTCAGGGTAAATCTCCCTTTGGTATTTTTCCTTAGGAAACACAAATTACCCACTTGGTGGAGGCCGGTTTTGAGACCAAGAAAATCCACACTACCGTTATGGATTTGGTTCCTCCAGCTGACTGCAGATACTACGCCTTCCCCAAGATGATCGTGCCTGCCATCCTCAAATAGATCTCTCAGGGAGGAAGATCTCTCAGGATCAAAAAAAAAAGGGGGATCTCTGTGTTGGCAAGAAACACCAGCGGTCACATGAAATTTTGTTCTCTTGTGGCGGACAGGAGAGGTGAAAGAACCACTTTAGCTATATTTTTCCCTTGCTAAGAATTTAGTTTAACCTGCGTTCCCAAAACCGTGTGTCTTTCTCTCTCAGCTGTGTCCCTCCCAAATAAGTCTGCCATCAACATCTGGGCTTCCACATGGGCTTCATTTAGAGACGAGATGGGTTGAGCCTAATCATCTGTACATGTGTCATAGAATCGAACATTTCCTTAAAAATCAGAAAGACTTTAGTTCTTGTGATTCTGAATATAATGAAAGGTGGTAATGAGATAAGCCATGTGGATTATACGCTTTGATTTACAGGATCCAATCTGGGTCGGTCACCGCCGGGGACCTGAGAGTTTGTCTTTCGAGCTTCTGGACTCGTACTGGAGCCCATCCTCTCTAGCAGAGGAGAGGATTGTGTGCGTGGTATTTTTATGGTGCCGTGTGTAGCTTTTTAGATGTTGATTGGGGTGTTGATGCTTAAGAGCACAGACTCTGCTAGAGACTCAAAGGTGCTTTTTTCAGGAGGCAACTGGACTTTCCTGTTTTTGAAGATGTTTCGTTTCTCATCCAAGAAGCTTCGTCAGCTCTGATTGGCTGATGGGGAATGGAAGGATTTACTGTATATTCCTTGCAGAAAACACTCAAAAGCTCCAAACCCCTTTTCTCCAGATACAATAATTATTAAGTTTATTGACAAAAGTTTATACACAGCAGTTTAACGTGTGGGCTACAGCTACAGTTAGGGCGGCCATTTTCAACATGGCAGCTTGCAAACAAGCCCGTTTATTTCCGATACCAGATCTGGATCGCTTTCGCTCGTTTAATCTTCCTTTGGAGCTGCAGGATGCCGTACAGGAGGGCCTCAGCCGTAGGAGGGCAGCCTGCAAGAGGCAAAACACTGACCTCAGAAATTCGGACCTTAAAATTCCCGGGTCGTAGCAAGGGGATCTCCCTTTAGCCAGCTCTTCATCATAAATTGCTCAGAGACATAGAAAAGCCTCTAGGACTGGGAATTGTGTAGACTTATGATGATTCCCAATAAAGGAGAATACCGTATTGATAAAGGAGAATACCGTATTGGTAGTTCAAGGTTGAAATGTGGGGGTCCTTGTTGCTCTCTGAGCTTCGTGGTTTTCCTTGCAGACGTTTTATGACCAAACTAGGCAATACAATCAGTGCTAGCAGGGAGTGCTCAGACAAACCTCACTCCTTTCTCCCAGGCACTGATGGTGTTGCCCAGTTTGGTCATGAAATATCTGCAAGAAAACCACCAAACTCAGAGAGCACCAAGGGCCCCTCATCACGTTTGTCTAGCGACATTTCAAAGTTACAACAGCACTGAAAAAAGGGATTTGTAACCAGTCCTCGCAGTTACGACTGTCGTAGCATCTCCATAGTTATATGATCAAAATTTGGGTGACTGGCAACTGGCACGTTACTACGGGGTATTCAGCAATAGCAATAGCACTTATATACCACTTTACAGCCCTCTCTAAGATGTGTTACAGAGTCAGCCTCTTGCCCCCAACAATCTGGGTCCTCATTTTACCGACCTCGGAAGGAGGGAAGGCTGAGTCAACCTTGAGCCTGGTGAGATTCGATCTGCCAAATTGCAGTCAGCCGGCAGTCAGCAGAAGCAGCCTGCAGTACTGCACTCTAGCCACTGTGCCACCACGGCTCTTATTCACATAATCATCATTTGTGAGCTTCCTTCGAAGTCAATGGAGGAAGCCGGGTTTGCTTATCAACAACATGATTCACTTATCAACTCCAGTGATTCGTTTAACAACCATGGCAGAAAAAGGCTGTAAAATCAGGCATGATAGCAACCGCTTTGCAGAGCAAGGGAAATTCTGATCCCAATTCTCATAAATCAAGGACTACCTGTATAAAGCAGCCCTTCATCATAGGTTTGCAATATATAAGCAGTCCTTGATTTAGGATTAAAATTGAGACCAGAACTTCTGTTGCTAAGCAAGATGCCTGTTAAGTGAGCAGCATCTGACCTGATTTTACAACCTTTTTTTGCCATGGTTGTTAAACAGATCACTGCAGTTGTTAAGTGGATCCTGCGGTCATTAAGCGAGTCTGGCTGGGAGTTGGAAGCCCAAACATCTTAAAGTTGCCAAGGTTGAGAAACACTGATCCATAACTAAGCTGAAGTCACATGCTCTACAGTAGTGGCCAAAATTGTGGAAACCTTTTGGGAAAAGTTGTATTTTCTAAAACTAGCTAATAACACCACTTTTTTTTGGTGTAGTGCCATAAAATTATGTATGTAATGCAATAACTTTTATGAAGGATTTGCTATTGCAATAGCAGTTACAGTATAAAGAGGAAAAGTGAAACACGTAGAAAAAATGAGATACACAAAAGTTATCACCATAGAAAAATGAGATATATACAAAAGTTATCATGTCAGTTAATAGGTTAAAAGGGTAACCTTTAGCATGAATTACAGCCTTACAACATCTTCCCATGGAGTGAACCGAGTCTTTTAGTTCTGCAGCTGTTATAATGTGAAACCAAGATTGAAGGGTTGCTTCTATTAACTGGGTTTTATTGCTGGGTCGCTTCTGACTAACACGTTTCTTTAGTCGGCTCCATTGGGCTATTCCCAGGCCATTCCAGCAGTGGAATAGGATTATCTTGAAACTCCCCCCAAAAAAGTGGTGTTAATAGACATCAAACCTCAAAAATACACTTTTCCCAAAAGGTTTCCACAATTTTGGCCACTACTGTATATTATCGCTTCCACCTTTCTAGAATGCCTTGCACAGTATTGAAGTGAGGTCTGGATTCTTTTATCTGGACCCAAACGACCTTCCCTTCTGGGGATGCAGTTTGGGGGAAGACGATCTAGGAAGAGACCTCTTGATGCCTTTCCTTTACCTGGCACATAGATGTCCACGGGCACGATCCGATCACAGCCCCTCACCACGGAATACGAGTAATGATAGTAACCTCCACCATTGGCACAGCTAAAGAAGATAAGACAGAGTGTTGGGATCATTTGAAAAGCAAGCCTTTGTAATAGTTGGAGGCCTGTTTCCTTTTGGACAACAGACCGTTTTTGACTTGTTGGCCCTGGGAGAACCCAGCTGCACGGAACAGAAAGGAGTTCTGGGAGTTGAAGTCCACACATCTTATAGTCACCAAGATCGAGGCAATTGGGGGTGGGAAGTGATAGAGCATCAGGAATCAACTTTAGAGTACCTCCATTACGTCATCCGAAAGGCTGGGGGCCTTTTCATTTTTAAAATTGCAGAGTAACAAAGCTGTTGGAAGGGACCTTAGAGGTCTTCAACGTCCTGCTCAAGCAGGAGCCCCTATATGATTGCGGACAAATGGCTGTCCGATCTCTTCTTAAAAACCTCCAATTTTTAACTTCTGAAGTCAAGTCATTCCGTTGATTAATAGTTTTCCCTGACAGGAAATTTCTCCTTAATTGTAGGTTGGATCTCTCTTTGATAATTTTCCACTCCTTACTTCTCTCAGGTGCTTTGGGGAATAGCTTGACTCCCTCTTCTTTGTGGCAACCCCTGAGATATTGGAAGACTGCTATCATGTCTCCCCTTGTCCTTCTTTTCATTAAACTAGACACACCCAGTTCCTGCAACCGTTCCTCCTATGTTTTAGCCTCCAGTCCCCTAATCATCTTTGTTGCTCTTCTCTGCACTCTTTCTAGAGTCTCCACATCTTTTTTGTATCATGGTGACCATAACGGGACACAATATTCCAAGTGTGGTTTTACTACGTATTAGATTAAAATTAATTTACATTTTTTGAGGTCAAGAGTCCTATATTTTATGTCAATCAGCAAATAAGACCAATCACTAACTTAAGTTCATGGCAGGGGGTGGGTGGGATTTTGGGGACCCAAAAAACTACCAAACAACGGTATGGCTGTACAGCCTAATTTGTCTGTTCCTGCTGCCATCGATGGAGCTGTCCCACGAGGGAGAAGTTCCCTGAAAACTCAGGGATGAGGACATTAAATAATTCCACTAGGACCGTCTTGAAAGCAGTCAATGGAAGTGCAAGGGTGCCATCAAGGGAGTGCCCACAGTGAAACACTGTTCGCACGACACATGTAACTGAATCAAGATTAAAGGGTCTAGTTTTAACCCTAAGCAGGGGTGGGCTTCAAAAATTTTACCAAGGGGTTCTCTGCCCAGTTGCTGGGTGGAGGTGGCCATGGTGGGCGTGGCCTAGTCTGCCTCATGCACCACGGCGGGTGTGCGCGTGCGTTTTTGCCCTCCCCAGGCTCTGGGAGCTTTGTTCGAGCCTCCGGGAGGACGAAAATGGCCTCCCCAGGCTCCGGAGGCCCTCTGGAAGCCTTCCCGAACTTCTGGTAGGCCCATTTTACACCCTCTCCGAGCCTCCGCACATGCCCTGCACTTACCTGCATCCAAAACGGGCCGTGTGAGGACTCATGGAGGGGTGGAGTGGGCGGAGCCAGCCAGGAGTGGGATTTGGGGGTTCTCCAAACTGTACAGAATCTTAGCTAGAGGTTCTCCCGAACCCCTAGCAGCCCACCCCTGACCCTAAGTAACTCCTGATTTAAAATAACATACACAGACAAATGGATTTGGAATAAGCCAGCCTTCTCAGCTGTGGGACGAATTCCAAGAAAATTGACCTCATTTACACACTCAAGTTTCCTTTTCATTCAACCCTCTAAATCTGTCTGTAGTAGCATAGACACCCAGCCCCCCCCATCCCAACTGCCATTCTTAGCCTCCAATTCTAGCGGACCCCCAGCCCCAAAACAATCTTCTTTGCAATGGCTGGGAAGATATGTAATCTTGTTATTCCCCGTCAAAATTATTATTTTTTGGTACAGAAAAGCTAAAACATCTGCGGGAAATAATGACCCGGTCAGCTGTGTTGCATAAACGCAGCTGCAGTGCTGAGAAATTTTTTTTAAAAAATGAGAGAACGAAAAAGGGATGGAGCCATTCCTGAGGATAATAAAATACTGAGTGAGCACTTACCTCCCCATGGACACCACGTAACGTGGCTCGGGCATCTGATCATAAACCTGCCAAGAAAGAAATGTTAAAATTTGCACTTGATTTGACAAAGCAGAGCATGCCTGCCTTAGACCACCGAGCGCTGGGACTCTAATAAGGTTGAAAAGTTTATAGAATTCTCCAACAGCAGGTCTTGTGCCTGGCTTAGAATGCAGCAGATGCCAACATTATGAGCCGCTATCCAATTCTCCCTCTCAAAGGATCATAGGGAAAATTTATTCCAGATTTTTTTTCCCTCTGCACCCTCAAGACAAATCTGTCCCATTCTGAACTCAATTTTTTTTGTTGTTCTATTTTGCTGGCTTTCTCCCTCCGTGGCAAGTTTGATCCCACTGTGTTCAGATATGGGGCAGCCTTCAGGCAGAAGGGCAGAAAAACCAAGCAGACAGATGGAAAGAGAATAGAATAACAGAGTTGGGAAGGGGCCTTGGAGGTCTTCTAGTCCAACCCCCTGCTTAGGCAGGAAACCCTACACCACTTCAGACAAATGATTATCCAACATCTTCTTAAAAACTCCCAGTGTTGGGGCATTCACAACTTCTGGAGGCAAGTTGTTCCACTGATTAATTGTTCTGTCAGGAAATTCCTCCTTAGTCCTAAATTGCTTCTCTCTTTGATTAGTGTCCACCAGTGGTGGGATTCAGCCAGTTCGTGCCACTTCAGGAGAACCAGTTGTTAACTTTCTGAGCAGTTTGGCAAACCGGTTGTTGGAAGAAATCATCAGGGCAGAGAACCGGTTGTTAAATTACTTGAATCCCATTGCTGTCCACCCATTGCTTCTTGTCCTGCCTTCAGGTGTTTTGGAGAATAGCTTGACTCCCTTTTCTTTGCAGCAGCCCCTGAGATATTGGAAGACTGCTATCGTGTCTCCCCTAGTCCTTCTTTTCATTAAACTAGACATACCCAGTTCCTGCAACCGCTCTTCATATGTTTTAGCCTCCAGTCCCCTAATTATCTTGGTTGCTCTTCTCTGCACTCTTTCTAGAGTCTCAACATCTTTCTCAACAGAAGTCACTTTTTTCAGTATCGTTGTAGCTTCAAATGGTCACTAAAGGAACTGTTGTAAACCGAGGACTACCTGTACGGCTGCTCCCTGTTAGTTCTACAAACCTCGGCGGTTGGTGTGAGGACACGAAAGGCCACTCGATTCCCTCCCTGAAGGGCTGAGTTAAGATCATAGTTGTACCCAGGAGTGGGATTCAACCGGATCGGACCGGTTCGGGTGAATCGGATGTTAATTTTAATCTTGTTTTTTTTTTTTTTTTTTTGATTTATATGCCCCCCTTCTCCGGAGACTCAGGGCGGCTTACAGTGCATTAAGTAATGGCCTTCATACTTTTGTATATTTATACAAAGTCAGCTTATTGCCCCCACAAACTGGGTCCTCATTTAACCTACCTTAGAAAGGATGGAAGGCTGAGTCAACCTTGAGCCTGGCAAGATTCGAACTTACTTTAATTGCAGACAGCTGGTGTTAAATTACAGTGCCTTGTCTGCAGAGCTATCCAGGCTCTGTTGTTTGCCGAACCGGTAGTGGCTGACCCCCCCACCCCTCCCCTCCCTTCCCAGGAGTCTCCACGCAGCCAGTTTGGGTGCCAGATAAGTGCAGGGTCCGAGCGGAGGCTCTGGGAGGGTGAAAAACGGGCCTACTGGAAGTCTGGAAACAGGACCGTTTCCAGCTTCCGGAGGGCCTCCGGAGCCCAAGGGAGGTAATTTTCGCCCTCCCGGAGGCTTGAGAAAAGCCTCTAAAGCCTGGGGAGGGCAAAAACGACCCCCCTCATCCCATGGTGCAGGAAGCCGACTAGGCTATACCTCCATGGCCACACACCCCTCAGCAACTGGGCAGACAACTGGTTGCTAAAATTTTTCAGTCCCACCCCTGGTCGTACCTTCCGGAGGGCAGGAGCCATCTTGTTGGTCAAAGTGCCGGCCACAATCATGACATCAGCTTGCCGGGGACTCGCCCGGAAAACCACCCCAAAACGGTCCATGTCATAGCGGGGAGAGGCCATGTGCATCATCTCGACGGCGCAACATGCCAAGCCGAAGGTCATCGGCCACAAGGAGCTCTGAAGGAAGAGAAGGGGAAGGAGGCGAACGTATAACACAGATGTCCCTCTGCGTCCCTCTTAGGCCAAACAGCCCTGACCACAATTGCAGGCTAACACTGGTTTCCCCTCATTGTTTTATCTTATCATGGGTCCGTGTTATTTGAGAGGGACCTTCTCACCCCATTGGGATTGGCCCATCCAATCGGTGCCTGCATGCTGCGGGTCCTGTCGGACCAATTATTCCAGCTGATGGGGTCCAGGAACAGGGCCTTCTCTCCTGCCCTCTGGAATATCTTGCCCCCCACCCCCCGTGAGGTTGGCCCCAACCCTCCCACCCTCTCGTAAAGGCCCAAAGACCTGGCTCTGCCAGTTGGCTTGGGACACCAGCAGCCCCCAAATTTTCGGGCACCAGGGACTGGTTCCTTGGAGAGTGTTTTTTTTATGGACCGGTGTGGTTTCGCGTGCTGCCTGGATCCCATGGATCGGGCTTTGCTCATTTGCACTTCTGCCTGTCCATGGACCAGGGGTTAGGGACCCCCACTCTAATTCATTAAAAAGCAGGACGCGGGGCTGCCATTGAGAATACCAGGTACAACTGATATCGAATGAATTTTAAACGCAGAGATGCTTTCAGTGAAAACCTTCTTCGAACACGAAAAAAAAAACCACCTGGTCAGACGATCCTACTTACTCGACGGATCCAGTTGACCAAATCATCCAGCTTGGTGACGACATATTCTCCTCGACTGCTGGGAAGCAGCGGCTTCTTCTGAACAATGGCACTGCTCTTCTCCTGAACCTGGACGGAACTGCGGCGACAAGAGATACAGTTCTGAAACAAAGCCCGCCTTCCCTGACAAACCTCCAATCTTGGAACTCTCAAAAGCTATTTTGGGTGCCCTGCCTAATGACCCAAAGCTCAGCATTCTGCCTGTGAATTCCTTTCATTCACAGTCAGCAAGGCCTGTCCAAATAGTTTTTTCAAAGGAATATTTATCAACACAGACCTTATCTCGCTTGGAAGGCTGCCAGGTAACTAATTTCCATATAGAGTACAAGGCCAAACTTGGCACAGAGTCTCTCTCAGAGTCACGGAATGGACGAATTGTTTCCTGCAAAAGCCCATTCCTCGTTCGCTCCTCTTTTGTTTCCTATGGGAGGGGCCAATCACCTCCAAGGTGTGGCTTTACTCCCAAGTCGACCCTGCTTTCTGAGTTGTTCTTGTCTTCTGGCAGCTCTGCGCATGCACACACTGGTAACGGGCTTCAGCTGTTTCTCTGCCTCACTGCTGTCTATCTCCTACTCTGCCTCCAATGCAGAGCCCTCATTCGAGCTTTCCCCAGCCCCCAGGACTGGCCCATATTCCTCCCCAACCTCCTCACTGTCCGACTCTGCTGCCAGCTCTGCACACATTGTCTGAATGAAGCATCTGAAAAAAAATGGATGATCGGGGGTTCATGTTTGCAGATAGAATATTTGTAACCTCAGGGTTGACCTGTGGGGTCATCGGTGCTCTCTGAACTTGGCTGTGGTTCCTGCAGATGTTTCATTACCCAAGTAGGTAACATCACCAGTGCTAGTAGGGAGTGGGATCCATCTCATCAGAGACTAAGCAAAAATTGTGCATACAATTTTGTGTGCTGTAATGTTGGCTAAGCATCCCTGCTGAGGGACTGCCATCTGCAGGGAGGCCATTCTCCTACTGCTTGGTGATGGCCCCCCTTCTTTAGAACAACCTCTCCTGCATGCAAGGTTTGGCCTTTTCTCTAAGCAAAGTCTTCTGACTGGATCAGCATAAGAATTGGAGTAGGGGTGAAATGTTCCTGGTTCAGACCGGATCGCCCGATGCAGTAGTGATGGCAGCAGGTGGTTCGGAGAACCGGTAGCAAAAATCCCTGCCCCCCACCCCAATCCCAGCTGAGCCGTGTGATCATCAGAGGCTTTTTTTTAAAGCATTTTTTCTACAACCTCTTCGGCCAAAGAGGTTGTAGAAAAAATGTTTTTAAAAGAAAAAATAGCCTCTGATGATCAGGCAACTCAGCTGGGATCGTCAGAGGCTTTTAAAAGAGAGAGAAAAAAAGCCTCTGACATCAGGCAACTCAGCTGGGATCGTCAGAGGCTTTTAAAAGCTTTTTTTTTTTACAACCTCTTTGGCCGAAGAGGTTGTAGAAAAAATGGTTTTAAAAGAAAAAATAGCCTCTGATGATCAGGCAACTCAGCTGGGATCGTCAGAGGCTTTTAAAAGCATTTTTTTTTACAACCTCTTTGGCCGAAGAGGTTGTAGAAAAAATGGTTTTAAAAGAAAAAAATAGCCTCTGATGATCAGGCAACTCAGCTGGGATCGTCAGAGGCTTTTAAAAGCATTTTTTTTACAACCTCTTTGGCCGAAGAGGTTGTAGAAAAAATGGTTTTAAAAATAATTAAAAAAAAAAAGTTGGCCACGCCAACTCACATTACCCTCTCCCCCACCAAGCCACAGCCACAGAACCGGTAGTAACAAATTTTACATTTCTCCACTGAATTGGAGTCAATAAATCAATTTGTTTCTGTTAACAACCCTATAATCCCTTGCATCGGGTGGAGTCAGAGAGATTGAACAGAGCTCCAGTGCTTACTGGCCAGATGCCCTCCCTGACACCTACGTGGAGTTCACAGCAGACAATTACTCATTGCTCCCAGAGAGAGAGAAATATCTGCCGCTATCTAGGATCGAACTCACAGCCTCCTGATTGTGAGACGAGACCTCCCCTTCTAGGCCACCGCGCCGCTCGGGAGTAAATAAATCAATGAAAGAGTCATTATCAGGTGTTCCAGGAGCAGAGAATACCTGTCAGCACTCTCAGCTGAAGGTGTCTGATGCAGCAAGCGGGAAGAACTGGTGGAACTCACAATGGGCCTGTTGAAAGAACAGCCAACAGTTAGAGAGTCTTAAAAGTCGGATCACACAATAACCCTACAGGGTAGGAATTGAATGAATTGAATGCTCTTCAAGGGCAGCCCCATGCAGAGCGCACTGTAGGAGTCCAGACAGATTTCCAAAAACATAAGTGATTGTGAGCAAAGTCTCCCAAATGGGCACACACCACCCGAAGATGTGCAAAGGTGTAAAATCAGATCCACCAGTAACTTAAGGCAATTGGAAAATGCTCTCAAAAAAATTTTTCTACAGGACTCGCAACAGCCTTCATACATCAATTCAGTTTTGGGGAAAAGGTTCTTTGCGGAGCTGACTTCGGCAGACTTACCTCAAAAGGAACAAGCCACGTGGGACCATGCAAGAAACTGAAAAGAAATAAAAGGTTAGGGTGAAAAGAAGAAAATATGAGCTAGCCCAGGGGTCTCTTGGCAACTTTAAGCCTGGTGGACGTCAATTCCCAGAATTCCACAGCCAGCTTTGCTGTTTGTTGCCAAACTGTTTGTGTGCTTGTTTATCTGGCCTTGTTTTCTCTGTCCAAGGAAGAAACCATCTCCAGTTTCCTAATTCAGAGCTCAGGTTACAGCTTGGCCAAGATTACTGGATAGGTCCTCCCTTCTGATAGGTTCTTTCCAACCATTCAAGATTTTTGGAGACAAATGTTTTTGAAGGTTCCTCTTACACTGAACTAGGAAACCTATTTTTTTTCCCCAGTGGCAGCTGCAACGCTCCTGCCCTGGCAGCCATAACAGGTAGACCAGACACAAAACACAACCAGACACAGGTTTAGTGATCATTTGAAGTTTTTTCAACAACACTGAAAAAAGTGACTTGTGGCTGTTTTTCAGACTTACGACTGTTGCAGTAGCATCCTCATGGTCAAGTAATCAAAATTAGGGCCCTTGGCAACCGACTCATATTTATGACGATTGTAGTGTCCTGGGATCATGTGATTGCCATGTGTGTAACCTTCACAGCCATCTTCCAACAAGCAAAGTCAATGGGGGAAGCCAGGTTCGCTTAATGACGACTTGAGTCACGTAGCTACTGCAGCCATTCTCTTAACAGTCGTGGCAAAAATGTCATAAAATGGGGGCAAAAGTCACTTAAAAAATCCCTGGCTTAGCCATTGGGATTTGGGGCTTAATTGTGGTTGTTAAGCCGAGGATGACTTGTAAACTAATTCTACTTTATCTGGATCCGTTCCAGTCGGGCTTCAGGCCCGGGTACAGCACGGAAACGGCATTGGTCGCGTTGGTTGATGATCTCTGGAGGGCTCGGGACAGGGGGTGCTCCTCTGTCCTGGTCCTGTTAGATCTCTCAGCGGCTTTTGATACCATCGACCATGGTATCATGCTGCACCGGTTGGAAGAGTTGGGGGTGGGAGGCACTGTGTTGCGGTGGTTCTCCTCCTTTCTCTCTGACCGGTCGCAGTCTGTGTTGACAGGGGGACAGAGGTCGACCCCGAGGCCCCTCATATGTGGGGTGCCGCAAGGGTCGGTTCTCTCACCTCTCCTGTTCAACATTTATGTGAAGCCGCTGGGCGAGATCATCCGTGGTTTCGGGGTGGAGTACCATCAGTACGCTGATGACACCCAGCTGTACATCTCCACCCCGGATCACCCCAACGATGCCCTTGAAGTGATGTCCCGGTGCCTGGAGGCCGTACGGATCTGGATGGGGAGGAACAGGCTCAGGCTCAACCCATCCAAGACCGAGTGGCTGTGGTTTCCGACGTCCCGATATAGCCAGTTGACGCCATCACTGACTATTGGGGGTGAATCATTGGCCCCCACGGAGAGGGCTCACAACTTGGGCGTCCTCCTGGATTCACGGCTGTCTTTAGAAGAGCATGTGACGGCCGTGACTGGGAGGATTTTTTATCAGGTCCGCCTGATTCGCCAGTTGCGTCCCTTTCTGGATCGGGACTCGTTACGCACGGTCACTCATGCCCTCGTCACCTCCCGCCTGGACTATTGTAATGCTCTCTACATGGGGCTCCCCTTGAGGAGCACCCGGAGGCTCCAACTGGCGCAGAGTGCGGCTGCGCGGGTGGTAATAGGAGCGACATGGCGCTCCCGTGTAACACCTCTCCTGCGCGAGCTGCACTGGCTCCCGGTGGTCTTCCGGGTGCGCTTCAAGGTTTTGGTTACCACCTTTAAAGCGCTCCATGGCTTAGGGCCTGGTTATTTACGGGACCGCCTACTACCACCAATAGCCTCCCACTGGCCAGTACGCTCTCATAGAGAGGGACTCCTCCGGGTGCCGTCAGCCAAACAGTGTCGACTGGCGGCCCCTAGGGGGAGAGCCTTCTCTGTGGGGGCACCTACCATCTGGAATGAGCTCCCCCCGGAGATACGGAGGATCCCGGATCTGCGCTCCTTCCGCCGTGCTGTGAAGACCTTTTTATTCCATCAAGCGGGCTTGGCCTGATCTCTTCCCTTTTTAAATACGTAAATTTTAATTTGTTTTTAAATTATTGGGGTATTTTAATTTGTCTGGGCCAAATAATTTAATTTGATTTTATCGGGTTTTTAAATTTTGTGTATTTATGTATTTTATTGTTGGCTGTTCACCGCCCTGAGTCCTTCAGGAGTAGGGCGGTATACAACTCAACTCAACTCAACTCAACTGAGTCCTTCGGGAGTAGGTACAAATCAAATAAACTAACTAACTAACTAACTAACTACTTTATTATAAAGCTACATTAACAGAATCTTACGAGTTTGAAAGTACAGTTCTCCTGCCTTCTCCTTTATAGCCGGAGAAACTGCCTGAGGCTCTTAATACGTCATATATAGACTGTCAAGGTTCAGACATTGTGCTAAGTTTGTGGACTTTTAAAATATGGTTTATTAATTCAGTGGTTATGTATTCTCATAGTCATTTTGGCAGGGGCTACATTTAGTTGCTGAAGCTGAACTATTTTGGCCACCTAATGAGAAGGAAAAAAAGATTGGAAAAGACCTTGATGCTGTGAAGAAAAGAGAAAAGGACGGCAGAGGATGAGATGGTTAGATAGCGTCACTGATGCCATGAACGTGAATTTGGGAAAACTCCGGGAGACGGTGGCGGACAGGGGTGCTGGCGTGGTATGATCCACGAGGCTGCGAAAAGTCAGACATGACTTAGCGACTGAACGATGACAATGACAGCTTTTAGTTGTCATTGTGGACAAAAGTAGGAACAGGGACTAAGAGGAGCACTGCCTTGAGTTCCTGAATGGAAGAGAGAAGATATCAATCGAAGCCAACATGAATAAAATAGGAAAGTAGCTGGAAACCAAAGTCTGTTAACCTGCTGTCCAGCCTAAAATGAGATTTGAGGATGTTTCAAGGAGGGATGTTTAGATGTAGGGAGCTCCTAAACTTTGGGGGAACTTTTTATTTTTGGGGAGTGGGAGGGAGGTGGCCAGGGAAAGGTGTGTTTTTTTTCTTACTGCATTACTATTAATCTTCTCATCGTTCCTTTCACCCATCTCCTCCCACTTACGACTGTAACCTTGTTGCTGGTATCCTTAAGATTTATATTGACTGTTTCCCTATGACTATCATTAAGTGTTGAACCTTATGATTCTTGACAAATGTATCTTTTCTTTTTATGTACAGTGACAGCGTATGCACCAAAGACAAATTCCTTGTGTGTCCAATCACACTTGGCCAATAAAGAATTCCATTCATTCTATTCTATTCTATTCTATTCTATTCTATTCTATTCTATTCTATTCTATTCCAAATGGCCAAATCTTTTCCCTCTTTTTAATATGTAAATTTTAATCTGTTTTTAAATTATTGGGGTGTTTTAATTTGTCTGGGCCAAAATGGTTTAATTCGATTTTATCTGGTTTTTTAAATTTTTTTTATCTATGTATTTTATTGTTTGGCTGTTCACCGCCCTGAGTCCTTCAGGAGTAGGGCGGTATACAACTCAACTCAACTCAACTCAACTCAACTCAACAACTATTCTATTCTATTCTATTCTATTCTATTCTATTCTATTCTATTCTATTCTATTCTATACTATTCTATTCTATTCTATTCTATCAATGCAAAGCAAAGCAAAGCAAAGCAAAGCAAAGCAAAGCAAAGCAAAGCAAAGCAAAGCTATTCTATTCTATTCTACTTTTTTTTTAAGAGGCAAAGAAAGATGAGGAAAAACAAGAAAGCTCAGTTGCCTCTTGGGGGGGGAGGGGAAGCAACCTTTGGGACAAACCATGACTGAGAATCTCCATAGATAGCCAAACCTTGGTGACTTGGAAGAGTTGTGGACTTCAACTCCCAGAATTCCCCAGCCAGCTTTGCTGGCTGGGGAATTCTGGGCATTGAAGTCCACATGCTTTGCAAGGGACCAAATTCAAAAGCATTGTTTTTAAGAGGATCCCTGCCCTGAACAGGATTGGACTAGACTAGAGGACCTTTAAGTAGCCCGCCAACTTGTCTATTCTCGATTTGGGAAAATGGGGCGGGTGGAAAACCCGCCCCTGCGCCCCCCCCCCCAAAGCTTCTCCCATTATCCACGCCCAATATCCAATCCCCCCCAAAAGACGGCTAGTTCCTGCCGTCCTTGAAACCTGCCTCCCCCACCACAGTCCACAAGCAGCCTCCCCCCCCCACCCCGGCTCCCACTCACCGGGCAGCGCAGCCATCGCCGCGTCTCCCTCCCCTCCCCCGCAGCCCTTCAAGGCACCCTTGCTAGCTGCGGACAAGGACAGGCGGCCGGTGCACCTCCCTCCACCGCTCCGGGTTGGAACCGGAGCCGCCTTGCCTCGCGTTCCGGCAAGAGCGCCGGCGTCGGTGCTGCCCCCTGGCGGCTGCTGAGAGGAGATACGCCGCGTGCCTCTAATTGCTCTTCTTTCTTTTAATCCGCCCCTTTTAATTAAGTTTTTTATTTCTTCCCTTCCTTCATATTTTTTCCCTTTCCTTGATCCGTGCTTCCTTTTTCCCTCTTTTTTCCCCCTTTCTAATTATTTAGAATAGGCCTGAATAGGTTTTATGGGTTAGTTTTTTAATTGTCTAGCTTGGGGTTTTAATTTGGGAGGCCGATTAATTTAATTTATTTTTAGTTATCTTAACTTTTATATTGTATGTTATTTTAATTTTCGGCTGTTCACTGCCCTGAGTCCCTTCAGGGAGAAGGGGGGGATATAAATTCAATCAATCAATCGATCAATCAATCAATAGATAAATTTTATGTCTTCATTTTATGTATTCAATTCATGCTTATACTTATATACATTGTCTAATATGTACTCGACAAAATAAATAAAAATGTCCTCTTATTTCCTCCTTCCTTTCTGCCTTTGGGTTTCCCATTTGGCCTCTTTCACCCTTGCTTCTCTGGGGCATTCGTTTAATTTTCTCCTCCTTTTTTTCCCTAAGAACTTAGACTTAGAATAACTTTATTGTCGCTTTGAATGTACACTAATCGGCATGCATTAAAATGAAATTTTGTTGCATACAGCTCTCAAAGGGTCTCCACCTGCAATATACACTACATAAACATGACAAGATAAATAAATGCAAAATTATGCATATACCCACAGATATTGTATGACACGGAGAAACTGCTCAGTCTAGTTCAGATGTATACATGTGGAGTGGAATGGAATGGAATGGAATGGAATAGAGAATAGAATGGAATGGAATAGAACATAGATTTATATACCGTTTTACAGTGCTTTACATCCTTCTCTAAGCGGTTCACAGAGTCTGCATATTGCCTCCCATAATTTGGGTCCTCATTTTACCCCCCTCGGAAGGATGGAAGGCTGAGTCAACATTGAGCTGGGTGAGATTCGAACTGTCAAATTTCAGGCAGCTGGTAATCAGCAGAAGTAGCCTGCAGCACTGCACTCTAATCACTGCACCACCATGGCGAATAGAATAGAATAGAATAGAATAGAATAGAATAGAATAGAATAGAATAGAATAGAATAGAATAGAATAGAATAGAATAGAATAGAATAGAATAGTTGGAAGGAACCTTGGAGATCTTCTAGTCCAACCCACTGCTCAGACAGGAAATCCTATACCATTTCAGACAAATGGTTATCCAACATCTTCTTAAAATCTTCCAGTGTTGGAGAATTCCCTTCTGCAGGCACTGATTAATTGTTCTGTCAGGAAATTTCTCCTTAGTTCTAGGTTGCTTCTCTCCTTGATTAGTTTCCATCCGTTGCTTCTTGTCCTGCCCTCAGGTGCTTTGGAGAATAGCTTGACTCCCTCTTCTTTGTGGCAGCCCCTGAGATATTGGAAGACTGCTATCATGTCTCCCCTAGTCCTTCTTTTCATTAAACTAGACATACCCAGTTCCTGCAACCGTTCTTCCTATGTTTTAGCCTCCAGTCCCCTCATCATCCTTGTTGCTCTTCTCTGCACTCTTTCTAGAGTCTCAACATCTTTTTTACATCGTGGCGACCAAAACTGGGTGCAGTATTTCCAAGTGTGGCGTTATAAAGTGGTATTAACACATCACGTGATCTTGATTCTATCCCTCTGTTTATGCAGCCTAGAACTGTATGGGCTTTTTTGGAAGCTGCAACCCACTTCTGGCTCATATTTAAGTGGTTGTCCACTGGAACTCCAAGATCCCTCTCACAGTTACTCCTATTGAGCCAGGTACCAGCTATACTATACCTGTGCCTTTGGTTTTTCTTGCCTAAATGTAGAACTTCACTTTTTTCACCATTGAATTTCGTTTTGTTAGATAGTGCCTAATGTTGAAGTCTGTCAAGATCCTTCTGAACCTTAAGCCTATCTTCTGGAGTGTTGGCTATTCCTGACAGCTTGGTGTCGTCTGCAAATTTAATGAGTTCCCCATCTATCCACTCATCTAAATCATTGATGAAGATGGTGAAATGTACTGGGCCTATAACAGTAAGCGAGAATGTACATGGCCAGAATTCTCCTTCTCGCTCTCATACATTTTTCCCTTTCTTTCTACTAAATCCACAACTCTCAATACACTTTTTGCAAAGTGTGTTTAATCGGGCCAAAAAATTAAGCTTTGGGCCTCGCTGCACCCCTTCCTGCCCTGCGTTTCCTTTACAAATTATTTTCTCTTCCCTCTTTTTCTCAATCTCACTTTAAGATGTGTGGACACTTTAATATGTGTGGACTTCAACCCCCAGAATTCCCCCAGCTAACCTGCTGGCTGGGGGAATTCTGGGGCTTGAAGTCCACACATCTTAAAGTGCTTGAGGTTGAGAAAAAATGTTCTGGTGGAGCTTCCCTACCCCCTGTCATTTTAAGAGCTCAGCAAATGAATTGGGTCTCTTTCTTTGCTCCAGTTCCCAAATATGAATCTTTGCATTCAGGAGCATGGATTTTTCCCCTAAATCCTTGCTCCACTTGTGATGCCATTGCGGCCATCTTGGCTACGGGCAGAAACCTTATTGCCCTCCCAGCATCCCTTCTGAAACCCGTTCATTTTTTTCTCCTCTCTCTTTCATTCTTGCCCGGAAAAGTAGTTGCGATTCGTTGATTACAAGTCTGCAAGGCATTTTAAAAATAAAAAGGGAATTGCCTGCGTCCCTGGGTGGGCTCGAACCACCAACCTTTCGGTTAACAGCCGAACGCGCTAACCGATTGCGCCACAGAGACCAAGCTGGTTCCAGCTCTTCTGCCACGACTCTTAAAGAGGAAGATGCAATACTGGAAGTTGAACAAGAATACAAATACAGAGGAGTATAAGAATAATACAGCGTGCCTTGGAACGTTTCCTTCCTTCCTTCCTTCTCTCCCATCAAACCTCTTCCTTCCTTCTACCCTCATCCTTCCTTCCTTCCTTCCTTCCTTCCTTCCTTCCTTCCTTCTTCCTTCCTTCCTTCCTTCCTTCCTTCTTTTTCTTTCCCTTCTTCTCTCCCTCCCTCCCTCCCTCCCTCCCATCTCATATACATTACTCTTGGCAGCTTACAATTAAAGCAGAGTAAAAACTCATAAAAATAACAAATAACCTTAAAATAGTTGCTAAGAACTATCATTTATTTGCTAAATGTATCTCTGGCATTTCTTTAAAGCAGATTGCAAGGGGATCTCCACAACAACCTTGTTAGGTAACTTGCACTGAGCCTGTAGGATTGCTGCTGCTGCTGCTGTTACTACAGTACTACTACGGTACTACTACAGGGGTGAAATCCAGCAGGTTCTGACAGGTTCTGGAGAACCGGTAGCGGAAAATTTGAGTAGTTTGGAGAACGGACAAATACAACCTCTGGCTGGCCTCAGAGTGGGGTGGGAATGGAGATTTTGCAATATCCTTCCCTCAGGAGTGGGGAGGGAATGGAGATTTTGCAGCATCCTTTCCCTGCCACGCCCACCAAGCCACACACGCCCACCATGCCCAACAAGCCACGCCCACAGAACCGGTAGTAAAAAAAATTGGATTTCACCACTGTATTAGTACTACTATTACTACTACTACTACTATTAATAGTAATAATATCATTGGCATCCTTCAGTCTCAAGAGACTATGGTCCTAAAACAGCATCTAGTGCGACTAAAAAGGCCAATTCGAGAGTGGCAATACCTTCCACACTGAGGGCAGATTTTTTAATATTATTGTTGTTGTTGTTGTTATTGTTATTACAACAACAATAATAATAATAAACTGCGCTACTCGTAACATCATATATTTTAAGAAGGTACTTGGTTGATACCTAGGACACTGGCAGCAACCCAAATCAACCATTAGCACCAGTCAATGGTATTTGTAACACATTTTAAATGTCCAGTTGACTGAGTTTCATTTTTAATAATAATAATAATAATAATAATAATAATAATAATAATAATAATAATAATAATAATTTTATTTCTATACCGCCCTTCTCCCGAAGGACTCAGGGCGGTGTACAGCCTATTTAAAAACAGAATCAACATCAATTTAAAATAATTTAAAAATATTAAAGAAATTTGGCTGAATAATGAATAAAAGAGAATAATAATAATAATAATGCTGTCCTTTTTAGGAAAAGTTGAGGTAAGTATTGGTTTGCTATTGCTAAGCATGATAGCGGTTAAGTGAGTTTTGCCCATTTTATGATCTTTGCTGCCCCACTTGTTAAGTTAGTAACAACGGTTGTTAAGTGAACATGGTTTCCCCCTTGACTTTGCTTGTCAGAAGGTTGGACAAGGTGAGACACTTTGAGTTTTGCTCCCATGACCATGGGGATGGTGCAAGGTTGTAAGTGTGAAAAATGGTCATGTCACCTTTTTTTCAGTGCTGTTGTAAGTTCAGTCGCTAAACAAACTGTTGTAGGTCGAAGACAACCTGTACCTGGATGGGGATTCCTACCGGATCGTCGTATGAAGACCATGTTTGTCACTTACCTTTGGCAGGTCTGGGATGTTGGAATGCATCCATCCTGGTTCTTCTTGGCCTCTTGGTGGTCGTTCAGACCATCTATCAAAGGGAGCCGTGGTAGCGCAGTGGTTACAATGCAGTATTGCGGGCTGACTCTGCCGACTACCAGGGGTTCGAGCCCTCAACCGGCTCAAGGTTGACTCAACTCTCCATCCTTCTGAGGTGGGTAAAATGAGGACTAGGATTGTTGGGGGAAAGATGCTGACTCTGTAAACCGCTTACAGAGAGAGGTCTGTAAAGCACTGTGAAGCGGTATATAAGTCCTAGTGATAGTGCTAGTGCTAGTACTAGAGCGGTCTCCTTCTAGAATAGAAATAGAAATAGAGTAACAGAGTTGGAAGGGACCTTGGAGGTCTTCTAGTCCAACCCCCTGCCCAGGCAGGAAACCCTACACCACTTCAGACAAATAGTTATCCAACATCTTCTTAAAAACTTCCAGTGTTGGAGCATTCACAACTTCTGCAGGCAAGTTGTTCCACTGATTTAATTGTCAGGAAATTTCTCCTTAGTTCTAAGCTGCTTCTCTCCTTGATTAGTTTCCACCCATTGCATTCCATTCTAGACCAGGTCAGTAGGAGGAATGGGACTGTAGTGATTCCCGCTCCCTTCATCCAGTGTTGGTTTCAGTTGGTGTTGGGGACAGAGTGATCTAACCTGTTTTTGTGTTGTGTGTGCAGTGGTGGGATTGAAAAATTTAACAACCAGTTCACTGCCCAGTTGCTGGGTGGCATGGCCATGGGGGCCACGCCCTACTTGGCCTCCTGCATCACAGCAGGAGGGGGCTTTTTGTCTTCCCAAGGCTCTGGAGGCTTTCCTTGAGCCTCCAGGAGGGCAAAAACAGCCTCCCCTGGGCATCGCAGGCCCATCGGAGACAAGAAACGGGTCCGTTTCCGGACTTCCGGTAGGCCCATTTTTCACCCTCCCAGAGCGTCCGCGGGGGCCCTGCACTTACCTCACATCCAAAATGGGCCACGTGGAGACTCCTGGGAGGGGAGGGGCGGGTGGGGTCAGCCAGTCCTTGGAACAACCGGTTCAGCGAACCAGATTAAAATTAACATCCTGTTTGCCCAAACTGGTCCGAACCGGCTGAAACCCACCCGTGTATGTGTGAGAGAGCTTTCAGTCACTATTGAACACTGTTTAGGTTCCCCGAGTTAAGGTTAGTATGACCTTGAAATGATCTTCGGGCCATCCTTCTGTTTCCAAGTTCATCCCCTCAGACCATTACAACAGAAGCCAATCCCTCCCCGGAACCAATTCACGGGTAATTATTAAGAGAACTTTTTCTGGTACAGGTAGTCCTCAACTTATGACCACAATTGGAACCAGAATTTTTGTGGCCATGGAAAGTAGTTGGTAAATGAGGACTCAGATTGTGGGGGCAATAAGCTGACTTTGTATAAATATACCAAAGTATGAAGGCTATTGCTTAACGCATTGTAAGCCGCCCTGAGTCTCCGGAGAAGGGCGGCATATAAATTAAAAAAAAGCAAAGCAAAGCAAAGCAAGCAAAAGCAAATGAGTCATAGTCATACTTGATTTTATTACTTTTCTCCCGTAGTTTAAGTTCCACTGCAGTTGTTAATTGAGTCATGTGGTCGTTTAAGCCAATCTGGCTCCGGCCAGTGATTTTGCTTGTTCAGAAGCCAGCTGGGAAAGGTCGCAAATGGCGATCCTATAACCTCAGGAACTGTCATAAATACATGTCTGTTGCCAAGCGCATGAATTTGGATCATGTGACTGTGGGAATGTTGCAGCAATCCCCAACCTTTGCGGCTTGACGGCCTGGCAGGGGAAGAGGGGAATTGAGCCACGTGAGTGGTGGGCCCCTCCACACTCACACAGCTCAACTTGCGCGAGTGACGGGCTGGCGCACGTGTGAGTGCCCGCCGGCCTCCTGCTTGCGCAAGCTGAGCTGCACACACACACACGTGTGTGTGTGTGCACTCTGGCCAGCCACTCAGACGGCCCAATTCCAAATAGATCACGGCCTAGTATTGGGCTGCAGCCCGGGGTTTGGGGGGACCCTTGTCCTAAGTGCAAAGACCAATGGGTAAGTCCCTTTTTTCAGTACCGTTGTTAACTGTGAACAGTTGCTAAATGTCGAAGACCATCTGTACCTCTGAGGCCTTATCTTAAGAAGACACAGCACTACAAAGTGAAGCATTGAAAGCTATTTTTATTGTTTTTTTTCCAAAATTACAAAACACGAAAGTCGCAGAGTGGGATGTCATAAGGAATGTCAGTACAATCAATAAAAATGGAGATTTTTGAATGTCATCCACATTTGTCTTCCCCCCCCACTTCCCCCAAATTGATCCAAAATTACGAAATACTGTATAGTAGGATAAGTGTGGTATTGCAGAATGTCTTGGTTGATGATGTAAGCAGATTTATAAAAATGAAGAGCAATTGATTTTAGACAACAATATTGTTTAAAGCAGGGTAGGGGGGGATCTGGCCCTTTGATGAACTTTTAAAGTTCCTTTGTGGAACTTTCAACTCCCATAATTCCTGGAGCCAGCCATGTTTAGCTCAGGTATTCTGGGAGTTGAAGTTCCACAAGTCATCAAAGGGCCAGATCTCCCCCAACTCTACTTTAAACAAAACTGTATTTTTAAAATGCACAATTCACAATCAGGTGTTATGCAAAACATATAAAATCAGAAAAAGCCATTACTCAATTCTCCAAGCTTGAAATGAGATTTTCTGAGGTCAGAAAAAGGATCAGAACAAGGGCTCAAAGAGCGAGACAGCGATTCTGCGCTCAAAAAAGTTAAGTTTTCCATAACTTAAAACTGAGTGTTCTAGGCTCAAAAACGTTTGAATTGAAAACATTTCCTATGTTGCTCTCGCCGTGCTTCAAAAACGAATCAGAAGGGCTTCGGAGGTTGTTGAATGGAGCAGCTCCCTGCTGCTCATTGAAGCAACACATTTTTTCCCCTCAGGCTTCTAGGCAAGCCTGAAACATGTGGCATTTTTAAAAGTTGCATTAGGATGTGGCTGATTTAATGAACCAACTCATTAAAAGGAAACCTATCTTTTTCAGGCTTGTGTAGAAGGCTTTAAAAAAGGATGCAGCTGCTTTAATGAGTAGTAAAGGGTGGCTGCCCTCATCCACTGTCTGAATACGTCTGGAAGCTTCTATAGCCCTACAACTTAGCATCAGCACAGACTGAATGAATCTCTGGTAACTGAAGAACAGAACAGACAAGAGTTTGCAATACATACATGCATGTTGCTTCTGGCTAAATAGGTATGGGAGCCATTTCAAACATTGTCCAGAATCAACGGTGAGCTCAAATCACAATCAAGGAGCTGATACTTATTAATATAATTTTAAAATGTGCTTTAAACTGGAGGCGGCTTCTTAGGTAGCTGAGATTCGTTGCGACAGACCAAACAGAGTTCATTTTCTTCTAACTGAATGGAAGCGGAGGAAACAGCAGGCATACCTATTTCTCTTTATTTCATAGATAATCTCTTTCATATACATCTATATTAAAAAAATACATTCAATATTCTGTACAAAACCACGGAATTTAATCTCCCTTACAAGTACCCAGCACATAAATGGATGGATAAAGAGCTTCAGAGTTTATTTTCTACAGATGGCTTCTCGCTTTCTTGGCAAAATTTTGCTTCTCCTCTTGGATTTCTTTTTCAAATTCTTCTCTTTCCCTGAAGGATTTAAAAAAAAGTTGCAAGCAAACAAAACAAACCTCTAGCAACGGGGAAGCTGAAGCCCTGAGATTTTGTTCCCTAGTTTCTTTTTACAGAATAAAACTCGAGACCGACTGTCTTCCCTTCAGCCTTAAATGCTGATCTTCATGTTTTATTTCCTACATTGCCAGAGAGCTTTCTAGTATATGCCTTTGTCAACAATGTTACACAACAAGTCCTCAGCTTATGACCACAACTGTGACCAGAATTTCTGCTGCTAATCAGACTGGTTGTTAAATGAGTCGTTCCCAATTTTACAAATCGCTGCAGTTGTTAAGTAAGTCTGGTGGTTGTTATGTGAATCATGTGGTCATTAAGTGAACCTGGCTTCCCCCATTGACTGCTTGTTGGGAAGCTGGCTGGGAAGGTGACAAATGGCAATCACATGACCACAGGATGTTGCAGCCGTTGTAAATATATGCCGGTTGCCAAGTGCTTGAATTTTGATCAAGTTACGATAGAGATGTTACGATGGTCATAAGTGGGAGGACTGGTTGTAAGCCAATTTTTTTCAGGGCCCCTGTAACTTCAAACAGTCACTAATCAAATGGTTGTAAGTTGAGGGCTACCTGTAGTTTTATTGTTGTTCAAAGTATATTTTTTAAATGCCCCAGTATTTTTGTTATGGAGCAGAATTATACCGGGTTTCCCCGAAATTATGACCTACCCCGAAAGTAAGTCCTAGTTTGATTTTTACATGTGCGCCCAATACCAGCTCTACCCCCACATTAAGCCCTAATTAAGACCCCGCCTACCCCGGGGTGCAGTGGGTGGGACGAAGCGCACGGGTAAAAATTAAGCTAGGGTGGAGATGCGGGTGGTGCAGCTGCCCTACTTTCCAGGCCTTACGCATCCCAACACCTACTTCGCCTTGCAGGCCCACCTTCTGGAGCCGTTTGCCGCTGCTTACGCCAGTTGCCCCCAGCCTCCACTTCACCATCAGAGCCTTCTGGAAATCCCTTTGCAGCTGAAAACAGAGCTCCAGATCGATCTGGAGTTCTGTTATCGGCTACAAAAGGTTTTCCGGAAGGCCTCTGAAATTGAAACGGAAGCCAGGAGCACCATGCGCATCAATCCGGAGTCCGTTTCTCAGCTGCAGAGGGCTTTCTGGAAGACCTCTGAAGGCGAAACGGAGGCCGGTGGCGACGCGTGAGAGAGGCGGCAAGCGGCTGCAGAAGAAGTGGGCCAGCAGCGGGCTCCTGCTGGGAGGGGCTGTCGGTGCCGCAGTGGCGAGTTGAGTCAGTAATTAGACCCCCCAAAAGAAGCCCTAGCCGTTTCTTTGGAGGTCAAAAGAAAATAAGACCGGGTCTTATTTTCAGTGAAACACTGTAGGTAAGCCTCAAATTATGACCACAATTGAACCCAAAATTTCTGCTGCTAAGTGAAACATTTGTTAAATGAGTTTTGCCCCATTTTATGACTCTTCTTTCCACAGTTGTTAAATGAATCACCGTAGTTGGTAATTTAGTGACACGGTTGTTAAGTTTAAGTTAACCAACACTGGTTTCCCCGTTGATTTTGCTCATCAGAAGGTCGCCATGAGCCCAGGACACTGCAACTGTCATAAATATGAGTCGGTTGCCAATATCTGAATTTGGATCAAGTGACCATGAGAATGCTGCAATGGTCGTAAGTGTGAAAAACTATCATAAGTCACTTTTTTTCAGTGATATTGTAACTTTGAATGGTCATTAAATGAACTGTTGTAAGTCGAAAACTACCTGTATAGTGCCATAAATAAAGGGTAGCTGTCTTATGACAGTTTATTACATCGGTGCGAGATACAGCTGGGTATTGTGAAGAATGTTGAAGAGAGAACAGCTACACCCTGAGTAAGGTCCTCAGAAGCAACACAAAAGCCGAAATATTCTGGGTAGGATGTCCTGATTTAGGAGTGGAGAAAGGAGAACGATGCACAGTAAAACAGCCCTTCCAAACCTGGCTCGCTCTGACTGGAATGCAACTAGTCCTCGGTTAACGACCATTTGTTCAGCAACTCTCTGAAATTATGAACTCAAACAAACCAGAAGGTTTGCAGCCAATCCTTGCTGCAGCTGACTCTTATGGTCGCGATTGGGGCGCTTAGCAACTGGCTCGCAATTATGACAATCAAACCACCCCACGATCACGGGGACTGCCATTGGAGACCTTCCTTGCCAGCTTCCCCCAAGCAAAGCCAATAGGGAAACTGACAGGAAGTTCAAGTGGCAATGACGCACCTACCGTGTTTCCCCAAAAATAAGACATGTCATATATTTTTTATGGACCAAAAAACCCCGTTAAATCTTATTTTCAGGGATGTCTTAATTTTGTGCCCACCCACCCGCTCCCTCCCACTATCTGCTTGCCTGTGGCTGCAACGGCTTACAGGGCTTGTCAGGACACATGTCCTCTTCACCCAGACGGAGAAATGACAGAATACTGGAAGCTTCATCAGTTGGAAATGGGACGCTTCATCTCCCACTGGGCAAAAAGTGTTTGGGTGCCTATGGGGCACTTGGGAACGGAGCAATGTGCTCTGTTCCCAAGTGCCCCATAGGCACCCAAACACCTTTCACCTGGATGGAGAAGTAACGGAATATTGGAAGCTTTGTCTGCTTGCAAATGGGGTGCTTTGAAACAGAACAATCCATTTCAAAGTGCCCCATTTGCAATTAGATGAAACTTTGTCTCTCTCTGGGTGAAAAGTATGTGCCAGATCCAGGCAGAGGCAGAGCTGGGGGTGGGGAGGGGAGGCAGGCGATCCTAACACACCACCTACTCCATCCCACCTTCTCTTGGCTTGCCCATAGCCGTGCCGGGGCAGGTACCCATGCAGGACGTTGAGATCACCTGCCTCCCCCGTGCCCCTGCCTTCGTCTGATGCTGGTGCCACCGCGCAAACTTTCCGCAGGCCTGGCAGCCATGTAGCACATCCGGATTGCCTGTCTCCCGCCCTGCCCCTGCCTCTATACTCTGACTTATCGGCACTGCACCAAAGGGCCGGTGGGCTGAGGCACCTGCCGGATACCGTCAGGCCCCACGTGCTCACCACCTCTTGTGCTGGCCATGCCCATTTCCCCCGGGCTTATTTTTGGGGTAGTGCTTATATTAGGCCCACCCTAAAAAATCAGGCTAGGGCTTATTTTCAGGGTGGGTCTTATTTTTGGGTAAACGCGGTAGCAAACATGCGTGATTCACCTAACAACAGCAACCAGAATTTCCATTGTGCTTTTGAATGGCATTATTTAGCAACAGAATTCCTGATTCAGTTATTGTCATTAACTGAGGACTACAGGTGGTTCTCAACTTACAACCACAATTGAGCCTAAAATTTCTGTTGCTAAGCGAGACATTTATTGAATCTCACCCCATTTTACAACCTTTCTTGCCACAGTTGTTAAGTGAATCACTGCAGTCGTGAAGTTAGCAACAAGGTTGTGAAGTGAATCTGGCTGGTGCTACTGTCATAAATATGAGTCAGTTGCTAAGCGTCTGAATTTTGATCACAGGACTATGAGGCTGCCACAATCCTTTGCTCTCAAAGACCTGCCTTTTCTACCTTGCTGTTGGCTTTTCTAACTTTGTTAAATGGTTGGACCGGTTTTTGCTTTTGAAATCTTAGCAGGAAGGCTGGGTTTGACAGGCATTTTTTTGTGAGTCTGAGATTTGTGAGAGGATGACAATGTTTCATTCCACTTCATATGTGCAAACTGTGCAGAATCTACTGACATGGGTGAGATATATATATATGTATGTATGTATGTATGTATGTATGTATGTATGTATATGTATATGTATATGTATATATATATTTGTTTATGTAAGTTTTCACGGGTATGTATGTGTGTATATTTAATATTTCGGGTTTCTTCCCATGTAATTGTGGATATATCCCTAAAAGGGTAGAAGCGACGTTTCGACAGAATCCCATCTGCCATCATCAGGCTTATGTCAGCAGTCTTTTGCAGTAACTGCCGTTGCATATATATATATATGTCTATGAGAGGCAGTTTGGTGTAGTGGTTAAGGCAGCAGGCTAGAAACCCAGAAGCCATGAGTTCTAATTCTGCCTTAGGCACAAAGGCAGTTGGGGAGCTTTGGACCAATGTCAGGTCTAAGAGCAGGCAATGGCAAACCTGAGAAAAGGAAGGAAGGAAGGAAGGGAAGGGAAGGGAAGGGAAGGGAAGGGAAGGGAGGGAAGGAAGGAAGGAAGGAAGGAAGGAAGGAAGGAAGGAAGGAAGGAAGGAAGGAAGGAAGGAAGGAAAAAGATACATGATGAGGGAGGGAAGGGAAGGGAAGGAAGGTTCACAAACACAAACAGACAGACATAATTCCAGAATTCCTAGCAACCATCTTCATACTGCAATCCCAACATGTCTAGAAGTACCAGGTGTGGGATAGCTGGAAAAAAAAAGTCGCCACTGCATAATGCGACAGGCAAACAAGAGACTACGTGAGGTAAAGCAGACTTATTGTGTGAGGTAGGCAGACTTATATATGGGATGGAGGTCTGAGCAGATACCTTTTGCTCACTGGAGGTCCGTTGATGTATTTTTCTTCTGCTGTCTTGTAGTCTATCTGATGCACAACAGAAATTGCATAAATGATGGCCTGGAGAAAAACAAACAGAAAAGGGCACAGCTTAGAGCAGTGCTTCTCAACCTTGGCCATTTTAAGATGTGTGGACTTCAACTCCCAGAATTCCACAGCTCTTGAAGTGGCCAATGCTGAGAAACATTGGTTTAGAGGCCATGTTTGCCAACATGTTCAGGAGGAGGAGGAGGAAGGAGGGGGCTGCAATTTAGTGGCAGAAGAAAAAGCTCTCCATTCAAATTCTGGTGTCTCCAAGGATGGCTAGGAAAATCTTCTACCTGAATCCTTGGAGAACTGCAATATGCTAATCTGGTCAGATACAAGCAGAGGGATCGAGTTTTACATGGGGAATGACTAGGGGTGGGATTCAGCCGGTTCGGGATTTTACATCCGGTTTGCCGAACCAGTAGTTGAAAAGACTGGCTGGCCCCGCCCACCCCTCCCCTCCCAGGAGTCTCCATGCGGCCCATTTTGGATGCCAGGTAAGTGCAGGGCCTGTATAGGGGCTCTTGGAGGGCGAAAAACAGGCTTCCCAGAGGTTCCGGAAATGGGCCCATCCCGCCATGGTGCAGGAGGCCAAGTAGGCGCCACCCACCATGGCCCCGCCCACCCAGCAACCGGGCAGAAAACCGGTTGCTAAAATTTTTGAATCCCACCCCTGGGAATGACTCAGTATATGCTTACAGTATTTTCCATGTCCCTGTATGTCCCCATGTCCATATTCACTTACTTCTGGAAAAAGTACTTCGAGGACAAATTTGGCACTGTCTCTATTTTTAACCGGCAGCGTCTTGGCTCCAACTTCCCGATAAACTTCCTTTAAGTAGTTGAGCACAAGGTCCTGCTGATAATCATCCTCCAGGTAGGTCTCCAGGATCAAATACCGGGGTGTTTTGAGGGATTTCCTCAACCAGCGCGACTGTTTCTGGCTCTTCAGGATGGAGCGGAGGTGCTCGTCAGCTCCTTTGGCGTTTACAATGAATTCCACGATCCGCTTGTTGGCTCTGTCTCGGGCGGCTCGCGTCCGGTCAGGAAGAATTTTCTTCACTTGCTTTGGGGGGGTTATCTCAGCGAGAAGCTCCCCACTGTCCAACACCTCCATTTGAGGGAAGCTCATCTGGGATAAAGTATGGAAGGATTCTTTTCGGACCGGAGAGCCTTGGGGAAAAAGGAAGCCAGGGTCTTTTGCTGAAAGTTGGAACAGCATCTAAAACAGGAAGTCTCCAAACTTGGCAACTTTAAGACTTGTGGACTTCAACTCCCAGAATTCATGGCTGGCTGGGGAGTTCTGGGAATTGAAGTCCGTAAGTCCTTAAAGTTGCCAAGTTTGGAGATCCCGATTCTAAAAAGTTGCTAATCCCTACTTCTCTCCCTGTCGCACAACCACAGGTGGTCCTTGACTTATAACCAGTCACTTAATGACTGTTGAAAGTTATGACAGACACCCCCACCTCCCAAAATTGCATGAGACATTTCAAGTTATGACAGCTGCACACACACACACACACACACACACATATACCCTGCAGTTACGTGATTGCATTTTGTGCACTTGGCAACCTGCCCAACTTTATGGCTATTTGCAAGGTCCTACGGTCAAGTAACAATAATTTCTGATGCTTTTTTTGCCAGTTTTTGGCAAAAATACACCCATTGGGGAAAGTTGATCCCATTAATGATTGTGGCATCCATTTGAAGACTGTAATGTTTTGCTTAATGGCCACCATAAAAAGTGTAAAAAAAAAAATTGGGTCCAGTCACACAATACCTCGACTTATGACCGCAATTCCAGGCTCAATTACTGTTGTTAAGTCGAGGACTATCCATAACAAGAGCATACAGCTAACATTCTCAGGATGGTGAGCATCAGAAGTTTAAAGACCGCCAATACATGGAAGTGCAGAAGGCCTGAGCATTATTAACGACATCAAAAGAGTTTTACAAGGAAAGAAATTCCAAGCTGTCCCTTTTTGTCTTTAAGCTGCTTTAATTTTGTTATATAATGTGCACCACCCTTTTTCAAGGAATGGGGCTTCTTAAGATACAAAATGAAGCTTACTCACTCATGTCATCAGCACAGTATTCCAGGAAGGATCCCCCAAAAGAATGGCAACCTAAGAAGGCAAGATGACGATGTTATCCATTCAGTCATGTCCACCTTTTGGCAATTATAGGTCAGGTCTCTCCATATCTTACAATCTTGCACTATTTCTTCACGTTCTTCTATGCACTGGCCAGAGGTGGGATTCACACAGTGGTGAAATCCAATTTTTTTTACTACCGGTTCTGTGGGTGTGGCTTGGTAGGCGTGGTGTGGCTTGGTGGGCGTGGCTTGGTAGGCATGGCAGGGGAAGGATACTGCAAAATCTCCATTCCCTCCCCACTCCTGGGGGAGGGATGTTGCAAAATCTCCATTCCCTCCCCACTTTGGGACCAGCCAAAGATGGTATTTACCGGTTCTCTGAACTACTCAAAATTTCCGCTACCGGTTCTCCAGAACCTGTCAGAACCTGCTGGATTTCACCCCTGGATTCACACCATAATTCGCCCAGCACTGAAAATGTGAGAGAGTGCGGCGTCCGCACATGCGCCCAGCCTCAAAAATGTGCCTAAATAGGACAGCATAGAGCGGGGGAGCGCCCAACTGTGATTTCCACTACCGGTTCGCCCGAACGAGTCCGAACTGGCTGAATACCACCTCTGGCACTGGTTGGTGTCAACTTTGATGGTATCCAACCACCATGTTCTTTGATGGCCTGGTTTCCTTTTTCTGCTAAACTCTTCCAAACGTAATTGCTTTCTCCTGTGAAATTCCCCCGCATGGCATGGCCGAAATAAACCGTGATTTTTTTTTTCTCCTTCCAGTGAAAAAAAGAGGACAAGAAAAATGCTCAATTTGGGGATGGATGACTGTGTGCAGATGCAGTCCTGGTAGGCCTTGGAAGAGGCCCCCAACATTCTAAAACTGATGATCAAACTACTGGTATAATCTTATTTACTACCCAAAGAGAAAATGATTGACTGCAAGGCTGAACAATATTACTTAAATTCAATGTTAATGTAAATCAAATAAGGCTTATCATTTTATTATTAGACTAGCTGGATACCCGTGCTTCACTACGAAATGTGATGGGGCTTCATAAATGGACATTTAAAGCTTGAAAATTAATGAGTAGTTACAATCGGCCTCTCCTCTCCCCTTCTCTCCCTCAGCCTTGCCCCACAGAAGCCTCTCCTCTCCATCCCCTTCTCTCCCTCAGCCTTGCCCCACAAAAGTCTCCCCTATCCTATCCCCCTTCTCTCCCTCAGCCTTGCCCCTCAGAAGCCTCTCTTCTCCATCCCCTTCTCTCCCTCAGCCTTGCCCCACAAGTCTCCCCTATCCTAATCCCCCTTCTCTCCCTCAGCCTTGCCCCACAGAAGCCTCTCCTCTCCTATCCCCTTCTCTCCCTCAGCCTTGCCCCACAAGTCTCCCCTATCCTATCCCCCTTCTCTCCCTCAGCCTTGCCCCACAGAAAGCCTCTCCTCTCCTATCCCCTTCTCTCCCTCAGCCTTGCCCCACAGAAGCCTCTCCTATCCTATCCTCTCCCTCAGCCTTGCCCTACAGAAGCTTATCCCGCTTGCTGATATGAAAGTAAAACTGAAACTCCTCTCCTCTGCTTGTGTTTTGCATTTGGAACAGATTTTTTGACAGGTGGGAAGGGGGAGTAGAACTCCTTAGCATCAGAGCATGTTAATAATAATACAGGAAATACTAATGCTCTGATGATCATTTCGAAAAATCCTTTCTTAGTGAGCACCTAGAAGCCAAGAGGGACATATGTGGCAAATTTCAAATTTGTATGCTTTACGGTTCTGGAGATTTTGTGATGATGCGTGAGTGGTATTTTACTTTTATATATATAGATTTATATCCTACCGTGTTTCCCCGAAAATAAGACAGGGTCTTATTTTCTCCCCCCCCCAAATATGGCCTTGGCCTTATTATCGGGAGGTGTTATCCCTAAACCTCGGCAGGCCAGATTTGATAAACCAGACTTGGGAGAAGGAGAGAGAGAGGAGGCCTGCGAGAGAGCCCATTTCTCACATTCTTCTTCTCCTGGGTGGCAGCAGCTCGTTCAGGTCCCCGAATCTGGCCTGCTGATCTTGGCCACCGAGGGGGAGTGGCAGGTGGGGAGTAACTGGGTGGCGGAGAAGCGAGACACATGGAGCGAGACATCTCCTCCTCTTCCTCCTTCCCTTCTCCAGCTTCTGCTCATTGCGGATCGTCCGTCTAAGTCGGACCGGTCCCTGGTGCTCAAAAGGTTGGAGGTCACTGTAGGATACAGATAGTCCTTGACTTATGACCAAGTTGCTTAGTGACTGTTCCAAGTTCAGATGGAACTACCTGTCAGCCGCCAGCCCCTCCAGCAGCCAAATCAGATGAGGAGGCATGGGAGTCAGGGTCAGCATCAAGGTAACCTGAAAGCTCCGAGGGGGCAGAGAGACAGAGCCTGGGCCATCCGTCAACCCTCAGATGGAGAGTCAACAGCCCCCAGATCTGGAGGTGACTGATGAGGAAGAGAAGGAACAGCTGGCTCCAGTGCCTGACGCGTGGATGCACAGAAGGCAGAGGAGAGGAGAGCAGTGGAAATCTATGGGCTGGTCCTTGGGACGCAAGAGCCCACCGCTGCTGGCGAAGCCCCACCCTAGCTCTGGGGATAAAAGGCAGGGGACGGAGATGAATAGATGTGACAGACAACTATTTATCTTCCGGCCAGCCGGCCTTGTTTGCCTGCGTTGAGAGAGTAACTTTTTGCCAGGGCTGCCGGTGCTCCTAATTTAAGGAATCTTCACTTTAGAGGGTTTGTCGTGTTTGGGGAGCTGGGTCAGGTTATTTATGGCCCAGATTCAAAATTCCGATGGCATCCTCCCACTGCAGCCATGTAACCACACTTTGGGCATTTGGCAACCAGACATGTTTGCAGCATCCTGCAATCATGTGACTGCATTTTATGAACTGGCTTTTAATTCCAGTTTTTGGCCAAACCATGCCTATAGCGACCCATCGGTTTGCTTAATGACCGCTACAAAAACGCTCGTGAAATTGTGTTGGTCGCGTTTTATGACTTCGATGGGCAGCCTCTATAACAGTGTTTCTCAACCTTGGTAGCTTGAAGATGGGTGGACATCAACTCTCAGAATCTCCCAGCCAGCAGCGCTGGCTGGGGGATTCTGGGAGTTGAAGTCCACCCATCTTCAAGCTTGAGAAACACTGCTCTATTATGATCATAAATTGACAACAATCTGCAGGTCTGCAAAGAAGAGTTAAAAGGAGACGATGCAGTTATAGCAGAAGAAACGTGCGAGTACAATTCAGCCCAAACTTTCCACTGCTAAGCAAGGCAGTGGTTTAAATGAGCTTTGCCCCATTTTACGACCTTTTGTGCCACAGTTGTTAAACAAATCACTGCAAACATGAGGTGAATCATGCGGCTGTTAATGAATCCAGCTTCCCCCGTTGACTTTGGTTGTTGAAAGCCAGCTGGGAGGGTTACAAACAGTGATCATGTGACTCTGGGAGACGGCAGCTGTCATCAATACACGTCAAGTTGCCAAGCTGCTGGAAATTTTGATCACGTGACCATGCGGATGCTACAATGATCGTAAATGTGAAAACCGGTCATGTCCGGTTTTTTTTTTCAGTGCTGTTGTTAACTTTGAACGGTCACTAAACAAACTGTTGTAAGTCGAGGACCAGCAGTAAAGCTAATTGGAACAGCGCAGCAGAATCTCCAGCTGCAAAATGCAGGAAAAAAGTTGAGACCAAGCCGCAAAAAGATCCCCCCCTTCCCCCGCACTCATAAATTTAGGATGGGAATCAAGAGAGCTCCTTGGGCCTTTCCATCTTACCTACTCTAATTCTGTAATCTGCAATCAAGCTGATGCACCAGTTGAGCTCGTGGCTATAGTTCTCCCTGGCTTTCTCCTACGAAGAAAAATAAGTCAGGCAAACAGGCACCGCTTACAGGACAGGGCCGGGGTGTCAAACTTAATGCCCAGGGGCCGGATCCGGCCTGTGGGGGTGCTTAGATCTGACCAATGGGGTTGCCTTGGAAACAGCGAAGGACCAGCCCGCAGTGCCTCTGCCAGTGAAAACGGAGCTCGGGAGGGCCTTTTCACTGGCAGAGGGCTGCAGGAGGCCGTCACAACCAAAAATGGAACTCGGATGGGGGCACGCGGGGCTCCCCGAGCTCCGTTTTTGCTGGCAGAGTGCTAGCAAAACAAACTACTAGCACAAGTGGATCCCGCCCCCCAACTCCTCCCGGGCCACCATAGTTGCCCTCAACATAAGTGACATCAAGCTGGCCACGCCCACCATGCCCCCCCCCACATAACCCCCCCCCCCCCCCCGAGGTCAAACACAACCCTGATGCAGCCCTCAATGAAATCAAGTTTAACACCTCCGGAATAGGGCCATGCAAGCTTCCCAGAGCACAAGCGGCATTTGTTCCTGGAGGCTTTACTCACTATCAGCGTCTGTTTCTCTTTGCAGTCAAAGTGTTTTAGGTTTCTGAGGGAAGTAGAGAACCTGCATCAAGAAGAGAGAGAAGACAACATCATAGCCCTCCCTCCCAGAGGAACAATTTTTTTCAGCCCCCTCCAATATCCAGACCGGTGTTTCTCAACCTTGACCATCTTAAGAAGTGTAGACAGCAATTCCCAGAATGCTGGCTGGGGAATTCCGGGAGTTGAAGTCCACACCTCTTAAGATGGTCACGGTTGAGAGATACTGGCTTAGAATATGAACAGCCTTCCAATTGGGAAATTCTGGAATTTGTAAGCTCAGTTCCTCCTCTTTTGGTACTAGAATTTGGTGTGTGTGTGTGTGTGTGAAAAATGCCTGAGTGGCGTAGGAGGCTAATGCCTCCTACTAAGGCAGCATTTAACATCCAGCTGCCTGCAATTACTGCGAGTTCAATTCTCACCAGGCTCAAGGTCGACTCAGCCTTCCATCCTTTCTAAGGTGGGTAAAATGAGGACCCGGTTTGTGGGGGCAATAAGCTGACTTTGTATAAAATATACAAAAAGTATGAAGGCTATTGCTTAACACATTGTAAGCCGCCCTGAGTCTCCGGAGAAGGGCGGCATATAAAAATAAATTAAAAAAATAAATAAAAAATAAAAAACCCAATAAAAATTAATGCCTTATGTTAGCTATTTGTTATGTTTTAAATAACTTTTAAGGTCATTTCAGCACTAGGGACTTATAGCATCCTCATAGCATCAATCAGGTGTTGCTGAAGTTATATTAAGCCTATCTGCATCACCAACATTTTGACACAATGAGGGTTGGTGGTGTTACTGCAACCGTAAAATGAAATAAAGCTAGTACTTCTGGGTGTGCTTTTTGTCTGGACTACCTTGCGAGGTTCACATCTACGATTAAACTGAAGATGGCAATGCACACCTGCACTCTAACATGCCAAGCGGTCCTCCGAGAGATATTACCAGATGCCTAACCTAGGTAGGTACGTAGGTACCCTGTTTCCCCCAAAATAAGACATCCCCTGATAAGAAGCCCAATTGGGCTTTTGAGCGCATGGCAATAAGGCCAAGCACTTATTTCAGGGTTCAAAAGAATATAAGGGTCTTATTTTGGGGGAAACACGGTAGGTAGATACATATGGATGGAGAGATAGGTAGGTACAGAGAAAGGGGGGAGGGAGGGAGACACAGAGAGAGAGAAAGAGAGAGATGGATAGAGATAGATATGGATAGGTGGATATGGAAAGATAGATAATGGATGGATAGATAATGGATAGAAATGAATGGATATAGATAGATATGGATGGATAGATATGAATAGATAGAAACAGCCAGCCAGCCAGATAAAATGGTAGACAATGGATAGATATGAAAGGTTAGAGAGAAATGGATATATATAAGTGGATAAATAGATAGATATGAATGGATAGATATAAATCAGTGGTGGGTTGGCAGTTCAGCGGTTCGAATCCCTAGTGCCGCGTAACGGGGTGAGCTCCCATTACTTGTCCCAGCTTCTGCCAACCTAGCAGTTCGAAAGTAGGTAAAAAATGCAAGTAGAAAAATAGGGACCACCTTTGGTAGGAAGGTAACAGCGTTCCGTGCGCCTTTGGCGTTTAGTCATGCCGGCCACATGACCACGGAGACGTCTTCGGACAGCGCTGGCTCTTCGGCTTTGAAACAGAGATGAGCAGCACCCCCTAGAGTTGGGAGCGACTAGCACGTATGTGCGAGGGGAACCTTTACCTTTACTTTACACAGAAGCCTAGAGTTGGTCAAGAAAACTCATTGCAAGTCAGAAATTTTCCCAGGCTCAATCCTGGATTTACTTCCAGGAAGACTAACCTGACTCTGGAACATTCAGTTTGGGAGAAATGCGGAATGTTCCAGAATGTGAATGAGTCTGGTTCTCACATGGCTGCTGCAAATTATGTCTCCCAATCCATTTCTACACAGGCAAAATGGGCAGATGAGCCCTTTTTAAGCTCATATATGGGGGAGAGACCATTTTCTGCAGAAGGAGGAGGCAGCCTTGTTTTGGACAAGGAAATACAGGTAGTTCTCCACTTACAAATATTCATTTAGTGACAATTTGAAGTTACAACAGCACTTAAAAATGTGATTTAAGACTGATTTTCACACTTACAACCATTGCAGCATCTCCATGGTCACGTGATCAAAATTCGGATGCCTGGCAACTGGCATGTTTTTATGACCTTGTTCTGGGGATCATGTGATTTGCCTTTGGTGACCTGCCGACGAGCAAAGTCAATGGGGAAGCCTGATTCACAGTAACAACCCGGTTACTAACCGAACCACTGTAGTGATTCGCTGAACGACTATGGCAAGAAAGGTTGTAAAATGGGGCAAAACTCACTTAACTTACTGCCTTGCTTAGCAATGGGAAATTTGGGGGCTCAATTGTGGCCATATGTCAAGGACTACCTGTAACTCAGCCATCAGTAGGAGGTGCCAGAAAAGGGCTGCTCAACAAATGCTGCACATTAGCAACAAAAACCAGAACACCAAATACAAGCTGGGCGGATACGACCTTGTAGACGATCGTCACTCAGTCAAACACCTAGGAGTACTCATCTCAAATGATCTAAGCGCCAGAGCTCACCGTAACAGCATTGCCAAAAAGGCATTAAGAGTAGTAAACCTAATTTTGCGAAGCTTCTTCTCTGGGAACATTGTACTGCAAACCAGGGCATACAAAACCTTTGCTAGACCAATTCTTGAATACAGCTCATCTGCCTGGAATCTGCACTGTATAATGGACATTAATACAATTGAGCGAGTCCAGAGGTATTTCACGAGAAGAGTACTCCACTCCTCTGCTCACAATAGAATACCTTATGCCACCAGGCTTGAAATTTTGGACCTGGACAACCTAAAACTACGCCACCTATGGCCTGACCTAAGCTTAGTACACAAAATTGTCTGGTACAATGTCCTACCTGTCAATGACTACTTCAGCTTCAACCACAATAAAACAGGGGCAAACAATAGATACAAACTCAAAGTAAACCGCTCCAAACTCAATTGCAGAAAATACGACTTCAGCAACAGAGTGGTCAATGCCTAGAATGTACTACCTGACTCTGTTGTTACATCCTCAAACCCTCAAAACTTAAAACTGTCTACTGTGGACCTCACCTCATTCCTAAGAGGTCTGTAAGGGGGCGTGCATAAGCGCACCAGCGTGCCTTCCGTCCCTGTCCTACTGTTCCCATTTATTTGTACTCATTTCTTATGTATATACTTATACCTGTTTATATTAATATGTTTATATGTTATGTTCATACTTATACTTGTTTTCTCATACATGCTTGACAGACTAAATAAAATAATAATAATAAAAAAAAAAAAGAGAAGGAAGGGAGAGGAGCTCTACACCAGGGAATTAAAATAGCTTTATTTACCCCTTAGTTTTCGTGGCATCCATGCATTTCTCTATAAGGACGACATTGGCTTTCTTAGCTTTCCGATTTACCTTTTTCACCTGCCAGGAGACAAGCAGAACAGATCAACAGCTGGGAGGGTCACAGGTTTGCAATCAATGTATCTATTCAAAGGGACAATTACACAGACTGGTTGGTCCTGCTCCATCTCTGCAGCTGGCCCTTTGCAGCACATTATGAGCTAATCGGGAGGGCAGCACATTATGAGCTGGATCAGGGGTGGGCAACTATGGCCCCTTTATTACCTATGCACTTCAACTCCCAGAATTCCTGAGCCAGCATGAAATTCTGGGGGTTTGAAGTCCACAGGTGGCAAAGGGGCCATCGCTACCTACCCCTGAGCTAGATCATCCCATGTGAGCACAATTAATTAAAAGGAGACCAACACTTTAACTGCTGTCACTTTGATTTTTTTTTTTTTTTAATCACAACTTTCTACCCCAAAGGTGCTCCAGGGCAGTTTTCTCAACTTAAATCAACTTTTAAGAGGTGTGGATTTCAACTCCCAAGAATTCCTCATCTAGCATGAATTCTGGGAGTTGAGTTGTCCACTCATTTGGACATCAACTGGGGAATTCTAGCCAATTCCCTGCTCTGTGGACATTTGTATCATTAGGTCCCCAATGTTACTTCCAGGAAAAGGAAGATGCGATAAAATTGTGGCTATTTTGTGGTTGCTAGGAGTTGAAAATGACTCGAAGGCACATAAGCAATCAATCAATTATAGGTTGACCGCAGCATTGAAAAGGGAGGGGTCATTGATGGGCTCTCTGAGCTGTTTTCCTGCAGACATTTCATTACCCAAACCAGGTAACATCATCAGTGCTACTAAGGAATGGGATATGCTCTCAATTTATCCTTTAGCCTTATTAGCACTCATGATGTTACCTAGTTTGGGTAATGAAATGTGAATACTCATTTCATTACCCAAATAATGAATAATGAAATAATAATGAAATACACATTTCAAGTATTTTAGCAGAGAGATTTCTATCAAAACAGGATACACTCCCAGATATCCTTGGGAGTAAGGTATGTACATATATACATACCAGGGGTGGGTTCTAAATTTTTTTACTACCGGTTCTGTGGGTGTGGCTTATTTTGTGGGCGTGCTTTGATGGTCATGTGACAATCTTTAGGATTTAGCAGAGGTACTGGTCTACCAGGCTTTTAACTGCTTGCAGAGCTGTACTGGTCTACTCATTTGTTTTTGGAGGCACCGGTCTACCACCACACTGCCTTTTAACACTGATCAGCTGTAGGGCGGCCCTTTGAAGCCCCGCAGCAAGAGTTTAAACAGTTTTTTTCCTTCTAGCCGATCAGCTGGGACTCGGGAGGCAGCAAATAGATTGGGTGGGGGGCAAATAAAAGGTAAGAATAACGCGGGGCGGGCGGGAGGGCCTAGTTCCCAAACAAAGAGAATCGGTTTGGTGACTTCATATCATCACCGCTATCGGCTCGACCAAACCGGGCTGAACCGGGAGGAACCCACCACTGGTACATACATCTTATGTATTAAAATTAATTATTTAATTGAGAACTTTAATATGGAATTAAAATATCTGGATAGTCCCTCCAAGATTTGAGCCAGGAAGTTAAACCAGCCCAGTTGGCATCTTTTGTCTTGACTATCCATGGAGATTCTTGAATGAGAAGGGAAACATCTTCAAAGAAAAAACAAAGACCAGTTGCCTTTTGAAAAAGCGCCTTTGGGACTTCGTCTTGACCTCTTTTTTTTTGCTGATTAAAATGGAACGATTTTTAGATTCCGGGTGTAATGGTTGTACAGTTATTATTTTGGATGTTTACTTTGTAAATTCAAGGGGTCATGTTGCTACTTTGTGCAGTTCCTAGAGCCGCGATGGCGAACCTATGGCACGTGTGCCACAGGTGGCACGCAGAGCCATATTAGTGGGCACACCAGCTCAGCTCTGGGGTGCAAGCGCGCCAGCCAGCTGATTTTCAGGCCTTCTGGGCCCACCAGAAGTAGGGAAACAGGCTGTTTCCTGCCTCTGGAGGGTCTGGGCGGGGTGGGGAAGGCCTGTTTTTTTTTCTTGCCTGGCTCCAGATCCTCTCTATTTATCTGGGAAGGGCGAAAACAGCCTTTCCCACTCCCTTGGAGGCCCTACGGAGGCTGAAAGGGCCCATTTCCCGACTCCCGGTGGGACAGGAAGTGACGTTTTTTTCTGTCCCCAGCCTCCAGAGACTCCTAGAGAGGCTCCTACAGACTCCTAGAGAGGCTCCTACAGACTCTAGAGAGGTTCTGGAGGCTGGGGACAGCAGAAAACATCACTTCCTGTCCCACCAAAAGTTGGGAAATGGGCCCTTTCAGCCTCCGTAGGGCCTCCAAGGGAGTGGGAAAGGCTGTTTTCGACCTTCCCAGATCCATAGAAAGGATCTGGAATCAGATAAGAAAGAAAAACGGGCCTACCAGGCCATCATGTGCCAGGAGCGGGGGTGGGTGGGGTTGCGTGCGCATGCGCGTGGGCACCTGCATGCACGACCCTCCCCCCCCCACCCTCTCCTGGCACGCGATGGCAAAAAGGTTAGCCATCACTGTCCTAGAGTCACGGCTTCCAGATGGGACAACTATATAAACTGCTTCAATAAGTAAATGATTAATATTCTTACCACAGCTGGCCAGTAGGGATATCTTGGGAGCTTGCACCAAACCATCATCCCGGCTTCAAAACAACAAGGCTCTACGATACACAGAGTTTGGAGAAAGGATTAAAACTGGAATGATACTTTTGCAAGGAATTCCTAGTGAAACGTCTACTGTACTGTTGTGCGGCCTCACATCAGAGAATTGTATAGAGAGCTTGCCACCTTCCCTGGTTTCCTCAATGTGTCTTCCAGCTTTATTGTTATTATTTTAGGGCACTGTTTCCTAACCTAAGTAACTTCTGGATGTATGGACTTCATTTCCCAGAATTCTCATTGGTTGCCATGCTGGCTGTGGAATTCTGGGATCCGAAGTCCAGCATCTGGAAATTGCCAAGAACAAGAACACTGTATTAGGGGAAGGTGCCAATGCTAGATCACCCTTTCTCAATCTTTTGTCCTGGAGGAACACGTGAAATAATGTTCAGTTTTTCCAGGAACTCTTGCATAAGCATTATTAGAAATATAGCTACCCTGTTTTCCCCAAAATAAGACATCCCCTGATAATAAGCCCAATCGGGCTTTTGAGCGCAAGGTAATAAGGCCAAGTGCTTATTTCAGGGTTCAAAAAAATATAAAACAGGATCTTATTTTTGGGAAACATGGGTAGTGGTTGTATGCACTGCCAATTTTTTTTAAAAAAAATTTAAAAAAATTCCTAATGACTTTTAGCAATCTTTCATGGAAATGCAAAGCTTCATGAAACTCCATTTGGAAAGGCTGTGCTACAGCAACAAGGCAATGCCTCTGAATGAAATACAAATATAAATTTCAATATAGGTAGTCCTCATTTAGCAACTGCTTCCTTTAGTGACCGTTCACAGTTACGATGATGATGGAAAAATAAGTTTGTGTCCCACCCTCGCATGGACGGCCTTCACAAGTCTTAACACAAAGGAAAACTGCAGTAAAATCATAAGCATAGCCATGCTTGCAGTTAATGACCGAGTTGCCGGTCCAACTGTGGTCACTAAGCAAGGACTACCTATATGCATGCTGGGAAATCCACAAAACGGCTGAAAGGGATGTGGGATTGAAAAGAGGTGAACTACACGGAGAGCCAAACATCTGTATGAAGATTTCAGAAAGATGGGGCTTCCAGGAATTGTGTTCATCTCATGCATTCGCCGAAACCGAATAGGGGAAAAAGTGTGTGCACATCATGTACACGTAATGCCTTATTGTGGCTTTCCATTTTTAAAATAAATTTGGTCCTTTTGAAACCTGGCAACTGTCTGGACAAGTCCGTGCGTCACCATGGCCAACTCGCCGCAGCCAACTCAACATGGCCAACTTGCCACGGCCAACCCTACACCTGCCTAAGCAGGGGGTTGGACTAGAAGACCTCCAAGGTCCCTTCCAACTCTGTTATTCTATTCTATTCTATTCTATTCTATTCTATTCTATTCTATTCTATTCTATTCTATTCTATTCTATTCTATTCCTATTCTCTACTGTATTTTTCGGAGTATAAGATGCACCTTTTTCTCCCAAAAAAGAGGGTGAAAATCTGGGTGCGTCTTATACTCCGAATGTAGCCCTGCCCAGCTTCTCAAACAGAGGTTTCAGAGGCTGAAAAAAGCATCAGAAACGAAGCTTCAGAAAAGAAGGCCCCAAACAGAGCTTCAGAGGCTTTTTTTCTGAAGCTGTTTCGGAGGCTTTCAGAGGCAGAAAATAAAGTTTTTTCTGAAACGGAGTTTCAGAGGCAGGAAAAAAAGCAAAAAAAAAAAAAAAGCAAGGCACAGAGCTCACAACCAAGGAACCTGTTGCTAAAATTCACCTCTGGGAACAGCTGATTGGGGGTATTCCAGGAGGCCGATCCACCTGCCAATCAGCTTTTTTTCTTATTTTCCTCCCCAAAAACTAAGGTGCGTCTTATACTCCGAAAAATACCACAGGACAAGTGACATTAATACTGAAGAAATGGTGGAATAGAACCATTAAAGAAAGGATGCCAAAGGAGGGATGAAATAAAATGTGAATGACAAAAATTAAAATCATTCTTTTTTTAATTACTTGAAATAATTAAACTGAATTGTTGAATTGTCCCACAGCAAGTTGTCCTGGGCAAACTGTCCCGCAACAAGCTAGCTGCGGCAAATTGGCTGTGGTGAGTTGTCCCATTTTATCCACAGGCAGCTTAAACGAGACATAAGGGCAACCGTATCCCAGTGATCAAAGTGACACACACATACCCTTTTACTTAGGTTTCAACATCTTTGTGGTTGAAGTGAGCAGAAGAGTCGGGGCCTTCTCGGAGTGGCCCCAAGCCTTGGTCAACCATCCCCCCTATCCAAGACATTATAATTCCTTCCATGTACTAGAAGGTTTGGTTATATTGCTTATTTTTAAGGGAAACTACGTGGATTCGGACGTACAATATTTTGAAGAAAGCCGCAGGGGGAAAAATAGTAACTACCTTTATGCAAGAAAATGCTGGGTAATTCCTCCTCCTCTTCCTCTTCTTCATCCTTTGACTCTGGGCTTGGACTCACTTTCCTTACGGGACTCAGCTGCAGTGAAAGATCAGATGCCTGATCTGCTAATGAAGGAATACCGCGCCGATTTCAGTTTTACACATACAGCATTGGAATTCGCACTGACAAATCTCAAAAGATGGGCCAGGAGATACTGCAGGCAGTCCTCGACTTATGACTGTGATGGAGCCCGGAATTTATGGTCTAAGTCATTGCTGGTTGTTAAGCGGATCGCCATGTGATCACCCTGCCCAATTTTTTTTTTTTTACCTTTTTTTAATTGGCAATCGTTAAGCGAATCCAGTTTCTGGGGGGGGGGAACCCATCGTAAATCACATTTCCGTGACCCTGAGGCTCTGCAAATGGCTGTAAATTCACGTAGGTTGCTAAGTACTCAACAGAGGATCATGTGACTAGACCAGTGTTTCTCAACCTTGGAAGCTTGAAGATGGGTGGACTTCAACTCCCAGAATCCCCCAGCCAGCGCTGCTGGCTGGGGGATTCTGGGAGCTGAAGTCCACCCATCTTCAAGCTACCAAAGTTGAGAAACACTGCTCTAGACCCAAGGGAAAGGGGGCCATTGGGATGACAATCCAGGTTGTGAGTAACCCTGGAGAGATCCATCGTAACTTCAAACAGTTGCAAAGCAACGGGTCGTAAATCGAGGACGTTATCTGTAACTCAGGTTTTACCTTTTAAACCAGACATTTCATATATTGTCTGGGTTTTGCTCTGGTTGCTCCCACAATATACAGGGAGAGTCTTGGGCAAAGAAAATTGTTCTTCATTGGTTTGAGACAAGCCAGCACAAATATCCCAGGCAAAAAGGATTTGGGGGGGGGAGGGAGGATAATGCTCCCCATCTGTGCCTCCCCCAATAGAGGTAATTCCTTGATTTATGGCCCCAAGTGAGCCCAAAATTTACATTGCTAAGCAAGACAACTACCGTATTCTTCGGACTATAAGGTGCACGTAAATTTAGAAGAGGAAAACAACAAAAAAAGTTTTTGGCCTCTTTGTGCCCCATTTTTGGCCCTCTTCCAGCCTTTTTTCGGCCCATTTTTGAGGCTCTTTTCAGCCCATTTTTTCCAAAAAAAGCCTTGAAAACAGGCCATAAAAAAAGCTTCAAAAATGGGCCAAAAAAGTCTCAAAAACAGGCTGAAAAAAGGCCTGAAAAAGGCCGAAAAAAGGCCTGAAAACAGGGTGTGCGGAGGCCAAATAACCGCTGGCAGGTGGCCGGGGCTTCGGCAATATTCAGTCTATAAGACACACAGACATTTTCACCCCATTTTGGGAGACGAAAAAGTGCAACTTATAGTCTGAAAAATACGGTAAGTCAGTTTTGCCCCATTTTACAATCTTTCTTGCCACAGTTGTTTGTTTGTTTGTTTGTTTATTATTTATTTATTTAATTTATTTATTAAATTTTTATACCGCCCTTCTCCTGAAGGACTCAGGGTGGTGTACACCCAAGATAAAAAACCAACAATATAAAAGTTAAATGAATCCAGGGTGGATAAAAATCAATGATTTTTTTTAAAAAAATCAAAAAAAATCAGATTTTTTAAATTTAAATTGGATTTTTTTTTATTTAAATCGGATTTTTTGATTTTTATCGAATTTATTTTAATAAAAACCGTTTGGGGTAAAAATCTATCGTAAGATAGTTTTCTATTTAAGATACATAAATAATTTAGTTTATTCAGCATGAAATGGAGCTTAGTTATGTAGCATGAGGCTGTATATTCTGCAACACTGGGACTATCGGTGAGTCAACAGTGGGTCAAAGGAGTAGCAGAGATGACAGTCGCTCTTTAAAAATTATGATTTAAATCGAGTTGATTTAAATCAAGCCTTTTTACTAGTGATTTAAATCATGATTTAAATTGTGAATGAATGAACGAATCACTGAGATAGTTACATGAATCTGGCTTTGCTTTGTCAAAAGGTGGCAAAAAGTGAGATCACAAAACCCTGGAAACATATATGATAAAAAAAAAGATAATATTTTTGCTTTTTTTTTTTCCATAAAAGAATCCATTTCCAGTTCATGGGTACTGGGCCATACTGGTTTTCATTTGATGACAATGGTATCCATTCGGTCGTGTTCGATTCCTGGCGATTCTATGGGGCCAGGGGTCTCTCCACATCTTCCGATCTTGCATTATTTTTTTGAGATTTTCTACGCTCTGGCTGGTGTCAGCTATGATGGTGACCAGCCCCCCACAGCTCTTCAGCGTTTCCTTTTAGCGCTAACTCGTCCAAAAACAAAGGCTTTCTCCACTGAATTCCCCAGCATGACATGTCCAAAATAAGTGAGATGCAGTTTTGTGATTTTGCCTTCCCGTGACATGTCTGGTGTTATGTGTTCCAGTAGTTGTTAGCCGCCTTTGCTGTCCAAAGAGATTTTCATTTACAACCCTGATGCTCTCCCTAATTTTTTTACAAAGCAAATATTTTTGCATGGGTTATTTCAAACCAAATGCTGCCCCAAAGGTGCTTTTTTCAAGAGGCAACTGGACTTTCTAGTTTTTCTTTGAAGACGTTTCGCTTCTCATCCAAGAAGCTTCTTCAGCTCTGACTGAAAGGCTGCTTCATGATCTGGCCTACAGGTAGTCCTTCATTAACGACCACCAGTTCAGCAACCGTACAAAATCACAACAATGCTGAACAAGTGGTGGTTATGACTGGTCCTCAAAGTTGTGATCATCCCAGCATCCCTACGGTCATGTGATCGTGATCTGGGCACTGTACATTCTCAACTTACGACCGGTTGCTTAGTGACTGTCCAAAGTTATAACAGACCCCTCAAAAGGTACTAATGACCTGGTTCCAAAGTTTTGATGGCCGCTCATTTTGAACACATTTTGAAAGTGCTGTTAAGTAGCACCAGCTGCCTGCAATTACTGCAAGTTCGAATCTCACCAGGCTCAAGCCTTCCATCCTTTCGAGGTAGGTAAAATGAGGACCCGGATTGTGGGGGCAAATAAGCTGACTTTGTATTAAAAAAGAACACCGCTCGGGGGGGCCAAAAGCCCTACTGAGCAGGTATATACAAAAGTATAAAGGTTATTGCTTAATGCATTGTAAGCCGCCCTGAGTCTCCGGAGAAGGGCGGTATATAAATTGAACCAATAAATAAATACAATAAATAAACACTTGGCAACTGGCCCACATTTATAACTGTTTATGGCAGGGGTGTTGAACATGTGGCCTGTGGGCTGGAGTAGTCCCACGCTGGGCTGCGGAGTTGGCCCGCAGGCTGTCCTGGAGACAGTGAAGGACCGGCTCCTGCTGCTTTGGGCCTGGCCATGCCCACCCAGTTGGCAGCGATGACCAGGCCACGCCCACCCTGGTCCCTCAAGGGCAAACAAAATCCCGATGCAGTCCGCGACGGGATTGAGTTTGACACCCCTGGTTTATGGCATCCCACAGTCAAATCTCATTCAATTTACATTTTTGCCAATAACCGGTGTGTGAAGTTTCCGAAAGATGCCCTAATTAATTCATGAGCCATGAGCCGAACTTCAAAAGAAATACAGTCATTTATTAGGAGCATCATTTCAGCAATATTTGGATGCAGTTAGAACTAATCCCACGTAGATTTACATTCCCCTATGACCCTGTCTCTCCCCTCCTCTCTGGCCATGTCATAAATCACATTCTCCAATTAACCCCTTTGGCTGGCTGTGAAATCCAACACTCTCCTTCTGATTGCGGTCAGGAAGAATGTATGGAATGCACTTCAGTTAGGGAAATCAATCAGCTCTATCAGTTCTCCCTCCCTCCTGCTCATGGCAACTTGAAAGCTTTGCAAGTTGACACGGTGTTTACTTCCGGTTTTTGGCAAAACTGCACCATAGCAAACAAGTTTCCTTAAAGACGCCCGCAATTAAGGTAATAAAATCAAGACAGTCGTGTGGGTGATCTGCTTAATAACCATCACGACTTACAGTACGTCCATAGTGGGCAGCCTCCATCATAGTTGTAAGTTGAGGACCACCTGCACAAACATCCAGGCTCAAATCCCCCTTCAGACATGAAGTCGGTCACTTTCAGGCAACCCACCTTACAGAGGTTGTTGTTGCAGACAGAGGAGGCAGCGAGCTCTCCTTATAAGCCACTAGTAGGATATAAACTTAAAACAAAAGTTGGATGAAGCGCAAGTTGGTGTTTAACTGGGCTGGGTTACAACTATGGTTTGAAAACTAGACCACGATGATTTGTTCATGCATCAGATTCAGCTATAAGCTGCTCAAAGTGAAATGGATGGCAAATAAATACATATAAATAAATAAATAAATTATAGCGTTTCCCGCCTTCTAATCAGTTGTGCCTGGTTCTCAGGGACTGCCTGGAAAAGTCCCTACGGTTTACTTGGCAAGGTTTTAAATGGTTTGTTGCCACCTGCCTCCCAGGACTGAGAGAAAGTGACTGGTCCAAGGTCACCCAGCTGGCTTCGTGCCTAAGGGTGGGGTGGGGAGAAGGGGGCGGGGAAGCTAGAATTCACAATCTCTCAGTTTCTAGCCTGATGCCTTTAACACTACACCAAAATGACTCTCTTTTTAAGTCATGGCTGGGAAGCCCCAATGGCTGCCACGTTCACACTGCATGCCAAATGTGAGCCAGCAGCAAGCTGTGTAGCTGCCAAAAAAGCCAACACAGTCCTAAACTGGATTAACAGAGAGAGAGAATCAAGATCATGTGAAGTGTTAGTACTGCTTTATAAGGCCTTGGTAAGGCCACACTTGGAATCCTGAATCCAGTTTTGGTTGCCACAGTACGAAAAAAATGTTGAGATTCTACAAAGAGCGCAGAGAAAAGCGACAAAGATGATTAGGGGACTGGAGGCTAAAACATAAAAAAAAAATGGTTGCAAGAATTGGGTATGTCTAGTTTAGTGGAAAGAAGGACTAGGGGTGACATGATAGCAGTGTGCCAATATTTAAGGGGCTGCCACAAAGAAGAGGGGGTCAAGCTATTCTCCAAAGCACCTGAACGCAGGACAAGAAGCAATGGGTGGAAACTAACCAAAAAGAAAAATAAACCTAAAACTAAAGAGAAATTTCCTGACAGTTAGAACAATTGATCAGTGGAACAACCTGCCTTCAGAAGTTGTGCAGAGGTTTTTAAGAAGAGATTGGACACCATTTGTCTGAAATGGCATAGGGTCTCCTGCTTGAGCAAGGGGTTGGACTAGAAGACCTTTAAGGTCCCGTCCAACTCTGTCATCATTCTGTTACACAGGGTGGATAAAAATCAATGATTTTTTTAAAAAAAATCAAAAAAATCAGATTTTTTTGACTTAAATCAGATTTTTTTTATTTTTATCGAATTTATTTTAATAAAAAACTTTTGGGGTAAAAATCTATTGTAAGATAGTTTTCTATTTAAGATACATAAATAATTTAGTTTATTCAGCATGAAATGGAGCTTAGTTAGGTAGCATGAGGCTGTATATTCTGCAACACTGGGACTATCAGTGAGTCAACAGTGGGTCAAAGGAGTAGCAGAGATGACAGTCGCTCTTTAAAAATTATGATTTAAATAGAGTTGATTTAAATCAAGCCTTTTTACTAGTGATTTAAATCATGATTTAAATTGTGATTTAAATCAACTTGATTTAAATCAAATCCACCCTGCTGTTACATAAACCCACACCTGTAAGAAAATGTCCAGGCTGAGCCCAAGGGAGAGGTTAAACATCATGAGTGCCTTCACACTTGCAAGTCCAGCCCACTGTGCATTCCTTATTTACCACCAAATTGCTTGAACTGTTAGTAGTTCAGATTCTTCTGGAGGGTTTAAGCTTACCATAAATCTTCATACCTATTTGATCTGCCTGGATTGCCCAATTTCCCTGGCGCCTGACAACACCAGTTCACTGCACTTGAAGACAGCACATGAACCCTCCCCTCCAATTCTAGGTCTCCCCAAAACTCACAACTTCCCCCAACATGTCTTTGGCAGATGCACATCATCTTACCTTCGTTATCTTCAAATTCTGGGAGCCAGCCTCCTCGAACTGCAGCTCTATAGGGGTCAGGGTCTCTTTTCAGTTCCCAAGGAGCACAGTCCAGAGAAGGTTCTCTGTGCTCTGTGGGCTGTCTCCCACTCATCCATTGTGACCTTTCCAGGGAGGGTTCCTGAGTGGCCAGGATTTGCTTTGAGGAAGTGGCTTCCAAGCGCGGGGAGCACCGGCTGCCCTTGGAGGGCTGCTGCCATTTCTTCCGTTTCCGTGCCTCTCGCTTGGCCGGAGGAGCACCTGCTGGCTGCGATGAAAACCCTTCGAGGGCGGGTCCCAGCAAATTCCTCCGCAGTTTTGAGGCCGTCTCGTCTCTTCCTTTTGCTGACGGGAACCTGGGGCGGCACTTGTGAGAAGTAGAGTCCGGGGTGCTGGTTCTCACCGGCCGGTTTGAAGGCGCCTTCCTTCCAGATGGACCACCAACTTGCCGATGCTCCTTGGAGGCCACGGGAGACTTCTGGGTGAGTTGGGGTGGTGCTGCAAGACTACGTGAGATGTTTGGCTTTGGGGCTGGCTTCCTGACACCTGGAAGGTCTCCCGATGCAGATGAGGGAGGTTTGCAGGTAGGCAGGTTATTGGTTCTCGACTCCAAAGGTCTCAATGACTTGGCTGGAGAATCTGAAAGGGTCCTGCCTGCCTCCATCCTCTTTGTCCCACGGGGGCTTCTTCGGGGAGAAAGGGGTTCCGGGGGCGCCGAGGATTGTCCTTGCTGTCCTTTCCTGGTTGTTGCCTCTTCACTCCTTCGCCTACAAGGGTCAGGACTTTTAGGGGCTGCCCGTTTCTTCATGATCTCCAGCAATTCTCGCAAGGCTCGGCGGTAAGTTAACTCTTCTACCACCTTCTGGGCTTCATTGCTCGGAGCTGGGAAGAGAGTCAATAGTGATCAGCGATGTGTGTGTGTGTGTATTTATTATTTATCCAACTTATATGCCACCCATCCCACCTGGAGGTGACTCTAGCTGGCTTACAACCGGTAAAAACCAATAAAAAACATTAAAACATTAAAGCAATAAATGGTAACATTAGTTTAAAATTGACAAAAGATGGGGAGGAAGGAGCAAGATGCACATGGGGAAAGGCAGGGTCTTATCTTAAGTCGGTTAACCACCTCCAGAAAGATGCACTCCAGTGGTGGTATTGAGCCAGTTCTATCCGGTTCGGGTGAATCGGTAATGGCGGTGGTGGGAGACTCCGCCCACCCACCCGGACATAATCACGTCCCATTTTTGATGATCTACGCATGCGCGGAAGGACCTGCGCATGCACGAAGGTAGTGCGTGCGAGTGAAGCGAGCACACGTGCTCACATTTGCAAACTAGTAACGAAGGTAAGTGGATACCACCCCTAATGCACTCCTATTGGCACCCCAGGGCAGTTGGGAGAGCCAGGTCTTCAGACCCTTTTAGAAGGACAGGAGTGTGGGGCAGGCCAATCCCTTTGAGGTGAGACTGTTCCTCAGGTAATCTATACCCTTCCTCAGGTAATCTATACCCTTCCAATGCAGGGTTTTAAAGGTAATAACCAATACGTTGAATTGCACCCGGAAGCAAGCCGGCAGCCAGAACGTGTAACATGGGCCCCAAGAACTGTCCGTGTGCCTGCATTCCATGCCAATTGTAGCTTCTGAATACTCTTCAAGGGTAGCCCCATGTAGAGCATGATGCAACAGTCCAGGAGAAGGATGACCAGGGTTTGAATGACTTGAGCGCTGGAACTCCTGATCCAGGAGTTCAGGCTATGACAGAGGAAAGAGCTGGTCAAAAGAAGATAAGAGCTTCTATGTTTGGGGTGATTGACTTCTCCACTCCTTGAGGGCTTTAGATAAAGAAGTAATTAAATAGTATTCAAAAAATGCACACGCACACACAGATACACACACACACACACACACACAAGCACCAATTTTTCTAAAATCTGATGGTTTGGAACAGTCACAATTGCCTTGTCATCCATTCTGGACAAAGAAAATGCTTTAAATAACTGGCTTAACTTGGGAGATATTGTGAGTTCAGTTCTAGATCACAGCAAAAAAGTGAATCACACATTTTTTTTTTTTTTGGTTTCCCAGTGCAAATAAAAGTTGTATTTATGCTATACTGTAGCCTATTAAGTGTACAAATAGCATGTCTATGCTATTAACACTCTCATTCATGTAACTTTTGCTCTGGGCAAAACGGTGCATTGCAGGTCAACAAGATTTTTGAACCAAGGTAGCTCAAATGGGCTAACTTACAGAATGAATCCGAAATCTGGAATCCACGACTTCCACGGAATTGAAACACTGCCAATTTTATGAAACATTTTAATGACATAAAAATGGTCATAACACATTTTATGACATAATATAAAATGTCATAAAACCTTTCCTGGGGTCAACTGCAGGATAACTTACAGCTTCCTTTTACACCAGCCTGATCCCATCCTTTGCAAGGCTTTTCTTTAAGTTCCCAAATGGGAAACAGAGAGCCACGGCAGAAGGCTTTATATTTCATCTGTGGAACTCCCTGCCTCTGGAGGGTAAGTTAGCACTCACTTGGGTTTTTTCCCCCACCCACTGGTTAAACCTCTGTGTTTAGGAAAGTGTTAAAAACCTTCAGCATTTTACAAAGACATATTTGAAGAAATATATTCCCTGCTATATCATCCCAACCTTATTGAATAATCTTTTCTGTCACCATTTTGAATCTTGTAGCATCTACGTAACTATGTATCTACCATGTTTCCCTGAAAATAAGACGCTGTCTTATATTTTCTTTGAACCCTGAAATAAGTGCTTGGCCTTATTGCCATGTGCTCAAAAGCCTGATTGGGTTTATTATCAGGGGATGTCTTATTTTGGGGGAAACAGGATATCTATGTATCTATGTCTGTCTTTCTGTCTCCATCCATCTCTCTCTTTCTGTATCTATCTATGTATCTCTCACTATCTATCCATTCATGTCTTTCTTTCTGTCTCCATCCATCTCTCTCTTTATATCTATCTCTGTCTATCTCTAACTCTCTCTAGCTCTGCATGTCTGTCCATTATCATTATCTATCTATCTATCTATCTATCTATCTATTTTTAAGAAGATGTTGGATAACCATTTGTCTGAAGTGGTGTAGGGTTTCCTGCTTAAGCAGTGGGTTGGACTAGAAGACCTCCAAGGTCCCTTCCAACTCTGTTATTCCTGTTCTGTTCTGTTCTATTCATCTATCTATCTATCTATCTATCTATCTATCTATCTATCTATCTATCTATCTATCTATCTATCTCTCAGGGGTCTCCAACATTGGCAACTTTAAGACTTGTGGACTTCAACTTCCCAGAGTTCTTAAAGTTGTTAAGGTTGGAGACCCCTGGCTTAGAAAGTACACTATGAAGCAGTATATAAAGTGCTGTTGCTATTAACAACGATTTAATAGAAACTAAAAACGAAGAAGACGGGTGGCTCTGGGAGTTGAAGTCCACAAGTCTTAAAGTTGCCAAGATTGGAGACCCCTGATTATCTATCTATCTATCTATCTATCTATCTATCTATCTATCTATCTATCTATCTATCATTTGTCAAACTACCATCTCCCTCACTGAGGCAATCTAGGTGGTACACAAATAAAATATTAAAAACGTAAAAAAATTAAAAAGAGGCAAGAGATGTGAAAATTTAATTAAAATGTGTGGGGAGGGCTTTCAGGGCGCTAACCAGCCCCACCGTGGCTGCTTCTTGGTACGCCTCAAGCAGGAACCATATTTCCACAGCCTTCCGGAAGGCCAGGAGAGTGGAGGCCCACCTCACCTCTTGGTGGTGGTGGTGGGAGTGAATGTTCGACAGGGCGGGGGGCAGAAGGACAAATTTTGCACTGGTTTCTACCCTGGCTGGGGAATTCTGGGAGTTGAAATACACACATATCAAACTTGAGAGGGTTGAAAAATACCAGGTGTATGGAAGAGATGCGGGGGAAAAAAATTTTGGGTATTGATCCCTCAGAACAACTTGCTTTTTAATGTTGTGGTTTTCTTTTCCTGCTTTTTAACTTGTGAAGCTGCTCAGAGTCCTTTTTGGAGTTGGGTGGCCTAGAAACTAAATAAATTAAGGGGGGGAAATGCAGAGAGGCTTATAAAAGGAAGCACATATGACCTCTAATTAACCAGAAGAATTCACTAGCTGAAGATACGGCCCTGCCAGAAATTTGGATAGTATCAAAAATGTATAAATGGACCTCTGGTCAATGCTGGAAATGTGGGGAAAAAAAACATGAAGGAACATTTTATCACGTAGGGAGGACTTGTGACAAAGCCAAGAAACTTTGGATATAAATATACCAACAATACAAAGAATTTTAAAGATTCATATTGTAACAAAAAAATAATAATAATCAAAAAACACCCTGGAGATTTTTTATTGGGACTTATGGCTACTAAATTATAAAAGACTCACAGAAGATTAATTTTCTGTATGATAACACCAAAGTTATTAAATCCACAAAGATGGAAGAGTAGTGAAATTCCCACAATGCAGGAACAGATTGTTAAAGTGACAGAAATTGGTCAGGGAGAAAACAATAAGCGTGGTTTTTTTTAAAGACTAGAAATATTTTATGGTCTTTTTGTTAAAGGAAGCCAAAACATTAATATGGATTTATTAATTGAAACATGTAAGAATTAAATAAAGGGTTGAAGGGATGTCTGGAAGAGGGAAGAGGGAAGGGATACGATAGATTTGTTAATAACTGTGGAAGAGAAAAAAGGAAGTCATTATATTTCATAACTTTGGTTGTATTTTCTTGCACTTCTTTTCTTTTTTGTTTTCCCTCTTTTCTTTAGATTTATTTTTTACTTTATGTAAAATTCTCAATAAATACAAATAAATAAAAGAATTTGGATGGCTATTCAACAGGTAGAATGAATTTATGAGGGAGGGCAAATCTCTCAAGAGCTTAGAGTCACCTTGAACCACGAGATGGGCAACAAATAAATTTAATAATAATATGCCAAATGCAGTGTGAACATCTGGCTGATTGTGCAATGAGTCAAAATAATAATAACCATTCTTACTGGTCAAATGCAAAAGGCAGCTTTACTTGGAATAGCTTACATCCTGCAACGATACTTATAACACCATCAAAGATCAACATCTGCTTATCTCAGGTCCTTGGGAAGGACTTGATAGGTGAATAAAAATGCCAAATCCAGACTGAACATCTGGCTGACTATGCAACAAACCATGATAATATTGATCCTAAAAATTCAGAATTAACCCCCCAAAAACATGACTTGTTTCATAACTGTAATTGGCTGGCTCTATTATGGTCATAAGTCAAGGACTACCTCTACTGGGTTTATTATGACCTCACCCAATTTATTCTTTTCCTCACAAGATGCCTTTCAGGTTGTGTCCGGGGTTACGAATAACAGAGTAACAGAGTTGGAAGGGACCTTGGAGGTCTTCTAGTCCAACCCTCTGCTCAGGCAGGAAATGCTATAGCATTTCAGATAAATGGTTGTCCAATCTCTTCTTAAAAACCTCCAGTGTTTGAGTGTAGGAAGTTAGCACCCACCCATCTCCTAAGAAAATGAGATATTTTAGGAAATATTAAAAGGGCGGAATATTTCCCCTAAAAGGGAGGCAGAAACTCAGCCCCCCCACCCTTTTGTGAATGGGCCATTAAGGCCTGGGCCAGTCTATTCTACATAACAAAGATCTCCCTCCTTCAGACAGAGCCATAGTAGGAATTGCCCAAAGCCCTTTCATTACATCATCACCCAGCAAGACTCAACCAAGCCTGGGACACAGACAACCTACAAAGTTACCCCTGCATGGCCCCATGGGAGTCATGCAGGGGTAACATGCTTGAATACAAGCTTAAATTCAAAGCCCAACAGAGGGTATAAATCTCTCTCTCTCTCTCTCACCCATGTGCTTTTTGCCCAGGATCTCAAACTATGTGGTCCTCTCCACCATTAAAAACCATCTTTCCAATCAGCCACCATGTTTCCAGTGTTTTTCTCCCCACTTGGAACTGAATCCAGAAGGATATTTCTTCCAACAATTGGAAGAACAAGTTCTGTTCCTTAATCTGTTTTTAATCTGTCTTTAACTCCAATTTATATGTAGGTTGGAACTGGAGCTTACAAATGGACTGCATTGTTCTTCCTCAAGCCAATGAACCACTAAAGCCACGCAATGCTTTCAGGAACTGCTGAAAACGGGCTGTATATTAAAAACACACAGCAAATCTTGGTTCCTGCAAGCACTGTGTGGTTTCAGCAGTTTGTCGGCTCGAGGAAGGGGAACACTGCCAGGCATTTTTCGTAATAGGCAGCCTATTCATATCTACAAGTTGTCCTTAAGTCTAACCCATTCTTACGTTTTCAAAGATTTTTTTTTTTAAAAAAAATTCAACAAAACACACTAAAAGTGCTATAACAAAAAAGTGAAGAAAAGAAACCCCCCCCCCAGTCCATTAGGAACAATGACATAATTTCATCCCTGAGTATGTTCCCATCCCTTTATTCCTTTTCTTTGGAATTAGATCTTTTACAGATGCAAATCAGTGTTATAACACAAAAACCATTGTGAGAATTTTGACAAAGAAGACATCTAAACACAAACAGAATCAAGAGAACCATTTTTAACAGTTTGCCTGACTTCAGCTACTTAAGTCTAGCCTGAGATTTTTGGGCGCCTCATTATCTAGATCCGTGATGACGAATCTATGGCACGCGTGCCACAGGTGGCACACAGAGCCATATCTGTGGGCACGCGAGCATTGCCCTAGCTCAGCTCCAGCGCACATGCCTGTGCAAGCCAGCTAATTTTCTGGCCTTCTGGGCCCACCGGAAGTTGGGAAACGGGCCATTTCCAGCCTCTGGAGGGCCTCGGGGGGGGGGGGGGGGGGCTGGGGAAGGCCGTTTTCACCCTTCCCAGGCTCCAAGAAAGCCTCTGGTGCCTGGGGAGGGTGAAAAACAGGCCTACTGGGCCCACCGTGCCATCTCGTGCCAAAAGCGGGGGAGTGCGGGGGGGGGGGTGTTGCATGCGCAGGCGCGGGGGGTGGGGCACAATGAATTATGGGTGTGGGCACGTGTGTGCGCGACCCCCCCGCACTCCCCCTGCTTTTGGCATGCAATGGCAAAAAGGTTAGCCATCACTGATCTAGATAGAATAGAATAACAGAGTTGGAAGGGACCTTGGAGGCCTTCTAGTCCAACCCCCTGCTTAGGCAGGAAACCCTAAACCACCTCAGACAAATGGTTATCCAACCTCTTCTTAAAAACTTCCAGTGTTGGAGCATTCACAACTTCTGGTGGCAAGTTGTTCCACTGATTAATTGTTCTGTCAGGAAATTTCAGGAAAGATAACTTCGGAAAACAGGATTTCATGGTCACGGCTGAACAAATAAAAGAAAAACCTACCCAATTTTTCTGCAATGTCTTCAATGCTTTGTACTGTCAGAGGCACAATATGGGCAACGCGCATGGTGACCCTTGAAAAAGGGAAAAAGAAAAGCATTAAACTTTTGGTTTTACGTGTGTTGTGGCCTGCCAGCTGCCAGAGGAACTGTCGGCAGACTCGGATGATGAGGAGGTTGGGGAAGAACTTGAGCCAGTTCTGGAGCCTGGTGAAGGCTCTGATGGATGCTCAGCATCGGACATAGAGATAGAGCCAGGGATGTCCGGCATTTCCCAGCTACCGGAGAGGCAGCTGCCTTTGAAGTCAGAGATGAGTGAGGAGGAGGAACAGCTGGGGCCTGTTCCAGATGCGCCTATGCACAGATAGGTGAACGAAGAACAATGAGTCGTCTCGGGAAGCAAAACAAACAGGGACGCTGAATGGCTCGTTCCTGGCTGGGGAATAAATAGGAGGAAAAGGGAGGGGTGGTTGTATCAGACAACCATTCATATTTCTAGAAAGTTTGTTCCTTGTGTGTTTCATTGGACAAAGACTGCTTTGCCGGAACTGAGGTTTGTCTATTTCTTTGACTTAATTTGCAGCCTTCCGGCTGGTTGGACTAGAAGACCTCCAAGGACCCTTCCAACTCAGTTCTATCTATCTAGCCTTGCATTTATCTTAACGAGCCAATAAGGACTATTGCTTCAGTTAACTCCTTGCAGGACTCTTGCCTGGACTTTCTGTTGGTGAATGAAGTTAATTGCCAAGGTGTAATTAAAGAGGGGGTTTTCTTTGCGAGGAGCCTGTTTCTTGCTTCTACGAAGGCCAGGTCAGAACAAGAATGCTTTAGTTCAACAGCTGTGATATTTTTAAATAAATTACACTTTTAACCCTAACCCACTTGAGCAAATCAACACCACCACCTTCCCTTGCCTAGCATTGTCTTTGATAGGATTACAACTCTAAGATTGCTTGTCAACATTTTGCCAGCCTGTAAATAGCTGTGACTATTCCTGTTTATCCCAAATAACATCCCATAAAGAATTTATTTAAAAAACAAAACAGAAGGGAGACCAGGACCTGGCTGCTTTAATGGGTTTATTTTGCAAATCAAAGTCAAACTTACTGGTGAATTACCGTATTTTTCGGAGTATAAAACGCACCTTTTTCCCCCCTAAAAGGGGGTGAAAATTTAAGTGCGTCTTATACACTGAATGTAGCCCCGCCCACCCACTGGTCCCCACCCTTTGTCCTCTGCTTCCCAGCAGTTACCTCCTTGCAGCAAATAGCAAGAAAAAACCAGCTCCTTTCAGCTTCAGCACAGCCTAATTAACACAAGTTGATTGGATCAGCCTCCCGACTCTCAGCTGTTTTGCTCTCAGCTGTTTTGCCTGGGCCTCTGCTGCTTGCTTCAAGGAGGTAAATTGCTGGGAGCAGATTTTTTTTTTCTTTTGCTAATCAAGCTATGCTGAAAACGAAAATGAAAGTAAAGCAGGCTGTTTGCTGCAATGAGGCAAAATTGCTCAGAGGCAGAGGGAAATTTCTTTTTTTTCTTTTCCTCACCAAAAAAGGTAGGTGCGTCTTATAGTTCAGTGCGTCTCCAGTGCGAAAAATATGGTAAGACATATATAAAAGCAGCATAAGAGGCTGCAAATCCTCAGAAACTTAACTGTTTATTTTCAGCGATAATTTTGAGCCGAATGGAACCCAGCTTCTCAGGAAGCAGACGCCCTCTGGAACTCTGGCTTCTACACAAGATCTGGAAAAAAAAGTATGGATTTTTTTTTTAAAGGTCCAAATTCCGAGAAACAAAAAAATCCAGAGAACGGCAGCAGAGAAATAGAAACGTATTTCTATTGTGAGAACTGCATTAATACCGAGCATTGAAGTCGAGTTTTTGTTTTTTGTTTTAAATGTTCTTCAGAACGCTCAAGGCCAGAAATTTTCCCTTCCAATGCAGGTGTGGAAGAAAAAAAAACCTTGAAAATTTATAGCCCATCAATTTAAAAATAATTAAGATGTGTGGAAGAGGATGTGATACTTCAGTCAGATCCTGAATTACAGCTGACATTCCAACATGTAGAAGACAAAGAAATTCACCTGGAGACTCCGTGTGTATACATATAATTTTCTTGGCAACAATATGAGCAAAACAAGCAATACAGTTTGGTCTAGTGGTTAAGGTACCAGGCTAGAAGCCAAGGAGACTGTGAATTATAATCCTGTTTCAGGCACAAAAGCCAGCTGGGTGACTTTGAGCCAAGGAGATAAGTACCAGTCCTGCCCTTGGCAAGAAAACTGGCTGGGTGACTTTGGCCAGTCTTTCTACATGGGGCGAGGAGTGAGGTGGGTTGTTGTTGTTGTTGTTGTGGAGAAAATAAGATGAGAAAGGAATATTCCTTCCAGACCACCCTAATGATGCCCTTGCAGTGATGTCCCGGTGCCTTGAAGCCATGCGAATCTGGATGGGGAGAAACAGGCTCCGACTCAACCCTTCCAAGACCGAGTGGCTGTGGCTGCCGGCGTCCCGATATAGCCAGCTGATACCATCGTTGACTATTGGGGGCGAGTCATTGGCCCCCACGGAGAGGGCTCGCAACTTGGGTGTCCTCCTGGACACGCGGCTGTCTTTAGAAGAGCATATGATGGCCGTGGCCAGGGGAGCTTTCTATCAGGTTCGCCTGATTCGCCAGTTGCGACCCTTTCTAGATCGGGACTCCTTATGCACAGTCACCCATGCCCTCGTCACTTCCCGTCTGGACTACTGTAATGCTCTCTACTTGGGGCTCCCCTTGAGGTGCACACGGATGCTCCAACTGGTCCAGAATGCAGCTGCGCGGGTGATATTGGGAGCGACATGTCGCTCCCATGTAACACCTCTCCTACGCGAGCTGCACTGGCTCCTGTTGATCTTCTGAGTGCGCTTCAAGGTGTTGGTTCTTACCTTTAAAGTGCTCCATGGCTTAGGACCTGGGTACCTATGAGACCACCTTCTGCAACCGATAACCTCCCACCAACCAATACGGTTGCACAGAGTGGGCCTCCTCAGGGTGCCATCACTAAAGCAATGTCGACTGGTGGTTCCCAAGGGGAGAGCCTTTTCTGTGGGGGCACCTACCCTTTGGAACAGGATAACCCCAGGGATACGAATGATCCCAGATCTCCATACTTTCCGTCGTGCACTTAAGATCTTTCTGTTTCACCAAGCTGGGCTAGCATAAATTTCTTCTAATTGTTCTAAATTTTATGCTGAAGATTCTTAATTGATGAGTTTTTTATCCAAATTGGTTTAATTATTTTAAATTGCTTTATTTCACATTTTATAAGTATGTTATTTTGACTGTTCACCACCCTGAGTCCTTCGGGAGAAGGGCGGTAGAAAAATTAAATAAATAAATAAATAAATTAGCTATATTCTCTGCCTTCGGTTACTTATAAAGTAATAAAGGCAGGCTACAAATCAAATAAACACAGTGGCTTGCAATAACTCCCACACCTTGGCCAGTGGCACAGCTGGTTGGCTTTTGCAGAATTCGAAACAGGGTCAGGCCTGGTTCGTTCTTGAGATGGGAGACCACGGTGAAATCCTAAATCGGTAGTGTGGATTTGAAAGCCAAACAAATATTTAAGTATATAAATAAATGAAAATGTATCCTAGAAAGCAGAGCCGCAGACCACTTGTATGATTGCCAAGAGGTCCATGAAACTACCAAGAATCACCTCTTACTTAAGGGAATTTTTTCTTTGTATTAAGCCAGAGGTCTTCACACTTGACAGCTTTAAGAATTATGGACTTCAACTCCCAGAATTCTCCAGCCAGCACAGCTGGCTGGAGAATTCTGGGAGTTGAAGTCCACAAGTCTTAAAGCTGCCAAGTTTGAGGACCTCTGTATTAAGCTATCACAAACCATGATTACACTCTGTGGGATTTTCAGAAGTAGTAGTTCATGTCTCCTACATCCCAACATTATTTACCGCTCCCAAATTATGGCAAACCCCAAACCAAATACAGTTGAACTGCCATCTGAGCTCAAGTGGGTAAAGCATTTTTTAGCCAATCTGGATATGACTCTTCCACAAATCAGAAATAATCAGGGTTTGGCCCATTACATACCTGTGCTGGCCATAGCCGCTTTTTCCACTTGCAAAAGACATATTCTCCTTCACTCATCATCATCCTTGATGGATGTTCCGCTGGGGATCCAGGTTAAAGGCTTGCTAGCAGAGACGTCCTAGGTTACAATAACAAAATAAATCATTGCACGGGTAGTCCTCGACTTACAACAGTTCGTTTAGTGACTGTTCGAAGTTACAACGGAACTGAAAAAAGTGAGCTATGACGATTTTTCGCATTTGCAACCATTGCAGCACTCCTGTGGGCATATGATCAAAATGTGGATGCTTGGCAACTGACTCATATTTATTTATGACGGTTTTAATGTCCCAGGGTCATGTGATCACCTTTTGTGACCTTCTGAGAAGCAAAGTCAATGGGGAAGCCAGATTCACTGAACAACCATGTTACTGACTTAACAACTGCAGTGCTCCGCTTAGCAACTGTGGCCAGAAAAGTCATAATATGGAGCAAAACTCACTTAGCAACTGTCTTGCTTAGCAACAGAAATTTTGGGCTCAACTGTGTTGTACGTCATGGACTACACGTATGCTCCATAAACTGGTATCAACCTTTTTTTTTAGATCAATCTCAAGGAATTCCACTAATAAAAATATTTATTTGTTCACATTGATATGCCAGAAAATGTTTAGAATATTTAGAATCATAGAATTCTAAATCATAGAATTCTGGGCCTGGTGGATCAGCAGACTGATAACACCAGCTGTCTGCAATTACTGTAAGTTCAAATCTCACCAGGCTCAAGATTGACTCAGCCTTCCATCCTTTCTAAGGTAGGTAAATTGAGGACCCAGTTTGTGGGGGCAATAAGCTGACTTTGTATAAATATACAAAAGTATGAAGGCTATTGCTTAACGCATTGTAAGCCGCCCTGAGTCTCCAGAGAAGGGCGGCATATAAATCAAATTTAAAAAAAAAAAGAATTGTAGGGTCGGAAGGGGCCTTGAAGCAGGGGTGAAATCTACTTACCTTCTCAACCGGTTCGGAAGTGCACGCGTCCCACGCGTGTTTGGACCCTCTGCGCATGCGCAGAGGGTAAAAAACAGGTTACTTCCTGGTTAAAACCAGGAAGTAACAATGACCGGGCGGGTGGGCGGAGCCTTGCGCCATCGCTACCGGTTCTCCGAACCAGTCCGAACCGGGAGCATTTCACTCCTGCCTTGAAGGTCTTTTAGTCCAATCCCATGCTCAAGGCAGACTTGATACCATTCTGATCAAATGGTTGTCCAGTCTATGCTTGAAAATCACCCGTGATGGAGCACCCACAACTCCAATAGGGAAGCTGTTCCATGTTTTATTTATTAGTATCCCGCCCTTACTATTTTCACAAATAACTGGTGACGGACATAGCCAACACACCTTCTTCCTCCTATTTTCCTAACAACAGCAACCCTTTGTTTTGGGCTGAGAGGGAATGTGTGAGTGACTGGCCCACTTGCCCAGTTGGCTTTCATAGCTATGGTGGGTTAATTGTTCATTTCTTATTTATTTATTTATTTATTTATTTATTTATTTATTTATTTATTTATTTATTTATTTATTATATTTCTATACCGTCTTTCTCCCCTAGGACTCAAGGCGGTGTACAGTCAAGAAAAATATAGATACACAAACATCATAACATTGGTAATTAAAATTATTATTATAACATAGTTTGGCCCAATTAAATAGAACCTAAAATTAGATAACATTTTAAAAACATTCACATGTTCATATGTTTAGCCCCGCTTGTTGGAACATCAGGGTTTTGAGGGGGAGATCAGGGATATTCCGTATCTCCGGGGGCAGTTCATTCCAAAGGGTTGGAGCCCTCACAGAGAAGGCCCTCCCCCTGGGAGTCGCCAGTCGGCATAATTTGACTGACGGTACCCTGAGTAGTCCCTCCCTGTGAGAACGAACTGGTTGGTGGGAGGCTATTGGTGGCAAAAGACGGTCTCGTAGGTTTCTTAAATTTCTTCTCCTTAGTTTCAGGTTCGATCTCTCTTTAAGGAGTTCCACCCACTGCTTCTTGCCCCGCCCTCTTGTGCTTTGAAGAATGGGTCGACCTTCTTTTCTCAGGGACAACCCCGCAAGTACTGGATGTCACCTCTAATCCTTCTCCTTCATCTGCACCACAGAGCGGCAAAGGAAGTTAGGCTGGAATAAAACTGATTGGCCCAAATCCATTAACTATAATATGTTTGGCCAAGTTGCAATGCAGGATCTTTGACCAGAGAAGGGGTTCTAAACCAACAGCAGAAACTTAGATCTAAAGATAAATTTTCTGACAGTTAGAACGATTAATCAGTGGAACAACTTGCCTGCAGAAGTTGTGAATGCTCCAACAGTGGAAGTTTTTAAGAAGAGACTGGACAACCATTTGTCTGAAGTGGTGTAGGGTTTCCTGCCTAAGCAGGGGGGTGGACTAGAAGACCTCCAAGGTCCCTTCCAACTCTGTTATTCTATTCTATTCTAACTCATTCCGACTGCAACTGCCCAAGCAACGGACAGCAGCACCAGCAGAATTCTGCCTACCTAATCTGACTGGTTTGAAAACCAAGAGGATTTGATTAAAATTTAAATGTCCAATAGGAACCCCAGAGACTACGCAGAGATGTAACCCTTTTGGGTTTTTTTTTAAAAAAATCTCGCCTTTGTTATTTTTATAAAAAACAACACGGCAGCAAACATACCTAATATTTTTTCCTCCTAGGAAGAACTAGAAACTTAGGAGAAGGAAGGAAGAATTGGTATGTTTGCCTTGAGTGATGATAAATATGCAAGATAAAAATCTAAAACAAACTTTCAGAAAGCCAAAACGGACCGATAGTTGCATACTTTCATGCTGGCTAAATGTACTAATTGATGTAAGTGGAAGGCCACCCACCGATTAATGACACATATTGTTCTTCCATTTGGAAAGCAGCACGTCCTCACTGAGGTTTATATCAGAAACAAATACATAAGACGGGCAGTTATATAAATGTATCAAATAAATAAGAAAATATGCCTGCTGGGTTAAGAAAATGTGCCCTGGGAAGGCCGGTTCACATGTTAAGAAATTAGGGAAGCAAAAAATACATATTTGATTGGAAAAAATGACAAAACAACACATAGACTTGAAACCAGAGATATTTTTTGTTGGGCATTCTACCGGAAAAATATGATAAAAAGACTATATATCTGGTTTTGCATATACTAACCGCAACTAGAATTATATTTGCACAGCAATGGAAAAATGATGAGATTCCGTCAGAGGGAATGTAATTAAGAAAATACTAGAATCCGCAGAAATGAATAGATTAACGCTCACTATTAAGGATAAAGAAGAAACTGAATATTTTTTGATATGGGATGTATTTTATCAATGGCTAGACAATAGAAACAGTTAGTTAGAAAGGAGGAGATATAAAAAGAGGAAATGTTAATCTGGAAAAGAAGATGATGTTAAGTATTATTATATTATTATCATGATGAATACAACAAATACATGGATTATGACCGTTTAAAAATAATTGTACCCAGATCACATACTGTTTGATGGAAATAGAATGTTCTATAAATCAAACATGAAAAAAAGAAGAAAGAAAGAAATCAGGGAAGCCAGCAGAGCACTTCAAAATAATCTCATTTACCTTTCAACTACATATTGCAATATATATATTTGTATAAAAATAAAGGTAGCCCTTGGAAATGGCACTTAAACCACCAAGTCGAATCAACGACTATCCCGATAATCTTACATCTGCTTTCTTGCGCTGTATAGTCCTGCAAAAGCTCATTAAAGGCAAGGGCTGGAGACGAGAAATAATGGATAATAAAAATAGGGGTGAATTTGAAAATGGAAAGAACGAATATGATAATGCATAGAATGAATACAATCAATATGCTTGTTAAGAAGTATAATGTAATTAAGAGAGAAAGGGACAAGAAGAAAATTAAGTACCCTGTTTCCCCCAAAATAAGACATCCCCTGATAATAAGCCCAATCGGGCTTTTGGGCGCATGGCAATAAGGCCAAGCGCTTATTTCAGGGTTCAAAAAAAAATTTAAGACAGGGTCTTATTTTCGGGGAAACACGGGTAGTATAAAGGGAATCGGGGGAGAATGTAAATATTAGAAGATGACCATCACGAAATAGCTGTAAAAAGTGTGTGTGTGTGTGTGTGTGTGTGTGTGTGTGTATATATATATATATATATATATATATATATATATATATATATATATATAAAATTTATTTATTATAACACCAATATGACAAACACAAAAATATATATATATATACATGAGATGTGGGTGTGGCTTACTGACGATGGCTAACGAGCCAGAAATAGATCTATATAAGTCTCTCACTAGGCAGCATAGGGCAGCATAGGGCCTGCTGGCTGCCAGAAGAAAAAAGCCCATAATCGAGTGGATGTGACTCCACTGAGCTAGGGCTGTGGAAAGAAAAATCTTGGTTACGTAGGAGAAACCTGGCTAAAAGAAAAACATATATATATATATATATATACATACATACATACATACATACATACATACAATGTTTTGTGTTTGTCATATTGGTGTTATAATAAATTGTTGTGAGATCCGGCCATGAATGGTGTGAATGGGTTTTAATGTTTTAATTTCTAAATGTTTTTATAATGGTTTTTTAAATGCATTGTAAGCCGCCCTGAGTCTTCGGAGAAAGGCGGCATATAAATTGAACTAATAATAATAATAACTCCCACAATTCCCCTGGTTGAGAAACACTGCAGTAACGTGTGAAGTGGGTACAAAGGGACTCCCCCCAAGATGAGGCTAAAGTACCCCATTAACCCAGAGGTAGGGATCTATGGCCCCTTTAAGGACTTATGGACTTCAACTCCCAGAATTCCTGAGCCACCATGCTGGCTCAGGAATTCTGGGAGTTGAAGTCCATAAGTCCTTAAAGGGGCCATAGATCCCTCCATCCCTGCCTTAATCACAGGGGCAACCCTCCATGTTTTTGGTTTCCCCCGCATCTCTCTAAGGACCAAGAAAAAACTACCCAAGTTCCTGCGGAAGGCTGAAGTAAAGCAATCCACCCCCCCACCCCCCAATGGAGTGGAGCAGGAGAGGGGAATAGCCACAGGTTAGCCATATTTAGAGTGGGGGGGAAGGAAGTCGTCTTCCTTCCTTCCTTCCTTCTCTACCCATGGAAGCAATCCCACTCCCCAGGGCAGTTTTTTTCTTCCGCCTTTTTCCACCCCACAACCACCACCAAATTGGGGAGAGCGGGACTCGAACTTACCACACCCAAAGCGTCGTCGTTCTCTTCTCGGTCGCATTTGAAAACTGCAACGCGTAGCTCCGCCCTTTCCTCTCCGCCCCGCCCCCTCCAGAATGTTGAGGCCGAGAACTAGGGATGGCCACGCCCCCTCCGTCTTTTCTAGCGGAGCCCCGCCTCTTTGAACCTCACTCGGGCTCTTACATTAAGCGCGAGTATCCCGCTCTTTGCCTTCCAGCTCGGGCACTTCCGCCCTTTCCTCATTTGTTTACTGGAGTCTCCGCCCACTCATTACAGCAGGGGCCAATCGTCTCGGAGGATTCGTTCCCTCCTTTCTCTTCCCCCCTCCCCCAAAACCCTTGATGGCAACTCAGATACAACGCAAGGGGCGGGGCTAAGCCGTCGACATAGCACGTGGCTCATTTAAGTGGACAAAATGCGCGTTTGGTACCAGAGCGGGACAAATCAATCCGATCTGAGGGTTGTCCTTCCTTACCACCAATCAGAATGAAAAGCGAAACGTCAATCTCGGCCTCAATTTTGCCCTCTCTTCGCTTCTCTAACGACCGCAGGCCCTCCCGACCTTTGCGCGAGACAAAGCTGTTACGCGCTCTGTGCGGAGGCGGCTCGAGACAAAGCAGCCAATCACAGAAGACCTTTGGTTATGCGCTGCCTCCTGAATGGACGTTGCATCCATCACACCCACTTTATTCCCGCCCTCCCAAGTTTTTCCCCCTCCCCACTTTCCACCTTAATTTATTTTCTCAAGAGTGAATTTTGGGTTAGGATCCCGCGCAACGCAATGAAAGCACAGTTAAAAGTGGAAGGGCTGCAATGCACACTGTGATAACTTTAATGTTTTTGCAAGTTGTAGGAAGGTCATTCATTTAGTGACAGTTGGAAGTTACAACCGCACTGAAAAAAGTGAGCGATTTCACACTTACGTCCGTTTCAGCATCCTGATGGTCATATGATCAAAAAAATTCAGATGCTTGGCAACTGACTCATATTTATGATGGTTGCAGAGTCATGTGATCACCTTTGGAGACCTGACAAGCAGAGTCAGTAGGGAAACCAGATTCACTTAATGACTGTGTGATTCATTTAATAACAGCAGTGATTTGTTTTAACAAGTGTAGCAAAAAATGTCATAAAATCAGGTGCACCCCAACCCTAACAACTGCCTTGTTTATCAGCAAATTCTGGTCTCAATTATGGTTGTAAATTCAGGATTATCTGTAAAGGAACTATACCAGTGGTGAAATGTAAAATTTGTTATACCAGTTCTGTGGGCGTGGCTCGGTGGTGGTGTGGTAATATGACTGAGTAGGCGTGGCCAACTTTTTTTTTTTTTTAACTTTTAAAACATTTTTTCTACAACCTCTTCGGCTGAAGAGGTTGTAAAAAAAATGCTCTCAGCCTCTGATGATCCCAGCTGACTTGCCTAATCAGCAGAGGCTTTCTTTTCCTTTTAAAAACATTTTTTCTATAACCTCTTCGGCCTAAGAGGTTGTAGAAAAAATGCTTTTAAAAGCCTCTGATGATTCCAGCTGAGCCATGTGATCATCAGAGGCTTTTTTTTTTACTTTTAAAAGCATTTTTTTGTCCAAAGGTGGTAGAAAAAATGCTTTTAAAAATTAAAAAAAAGCCTCTGATGATTGCGCGGCTCAGCTGGGCAATGGGGGGGGCAGGGACTTTTGCTACCAGTTCTCCGAACCACCCGCCTCTATCGCTACCGGATTGGGCGATCTGGTCCGAACCGGGAGCATTTCACCCCTGAACTATACCGAATAGGGTTTATTGCCTATGAAGAATTTTGCCTTAAGTCTTAAAATGAAGCTTTAGTCATCAAGAACAGGTACTTCTTGACTGTCGATCACAACTTTTTTGTTGCTAAAATAGCTGTTGAGTTCTGCCCCATTGTACAACCTTTCTTACCACAGTTGTTATAGCAATAGCACTTAGACTTATATACTGCCTTATAATGCTTCACGGCCCTCTCTAAAACGGGTTACAGAGTCAGCATGTTACCCTCCCAACAATCTGGGTCCTCATTTTACCGATCTTGGAAGGATGCAAGGCTGAGTCAACCTTGTGCCGGTGACAATCGAAGTCCTGGCAGTCGTCAGAATTAGCCTGCAATACTGCATTCTAACCAGTGTACCACCACAGTTCTGTTAAGTGAGTCACCGCAGTTGTTAAATTAGTTGTTAAATGAAACTGGCTTCCCTGTTGATTTTGCTTGTCAGAAGGTTGCACCTGCATGTCATAAATATGAGCCAGTTGCCAAGCGTTTGAATTTTTGAAGTTTGGTCATGTGACTCTAGGGATGCTAAAACAGTCGCTGCTTTAAATGCTGTTGTTAACTTTGAACACTAAATGAATGGTAACAATCCTTACTACAGGTAGTCCTCGACTTACAACGGTTCATTTAATTATTGTTCAAAGTTACAATGGCACTGAAAGAAGTGACTTATGACTTTTTTGCACAATTACGATCTTTCCAACATCCCCATGGTCACGTGATCAAAATTGAGACGCTGGGCAACTGGTTCATATTTATGACGGTTGCAGTGACCTGGGGTCATAGCATCCCCTTTTGCGACCTTCTGATAAGCAAAGTCAATGGGGAAGCCAGATTCACTTAACAACTCTGCTACTAACTTAAGAACTGCAGTGATTCACTTAACATCTGTGGCAAGAAAGGTCGTAAAATGGGGGAAAAACTCACTTAACTGTCTTGCTTAGCAACATAAATTTTTGCCTCAACTATTGTCGTAACTGTAAATGTTGCACATATTGTATATAACCTGTGAAAAGGAAGTGAGGACCGATAGCTCTGGAAGGACAGAAACTGTCTGTTACATCTAATCCTTCGTACTTGAAGTACAAGTAGTCCTCAACGTATTTATTTATTTATTATTTATTTATTTATTATATTTCTATACCGCCTTTCTCCCGTCGGTGTACAGTCAAGAAAAATATAGACACACAAACATCATAAAATTGCTAATTAAAATTGTTACTTAGTTTGGTCAATTAAATAAAACCCAGAATTAGATAACATTTTAAAAAAAAAATCATTCACATGTTTGTATGTTTAGCCCTGCCTGTTGGAACATCAGGGTCTTGAGGGCACGGCGGAAAGCACGGAGATCAGGGATATTCCGTATCTCCGGGGGCAGTTCATTCCAAAGGGTTGGAGCCCCCACAGAGAAGGCCCTCCCCCTGGGAGTCGCCAGTCGACATAATTTGACTGACGGTACCCTGAGTAGTCCCTCCCTGTGAGAACGAACTGGTAGGTGGGAGGCTATTGGTGGCAAAAGACGGTCTCGTAGGTACCCAGGACCTAAGCCATGGAGCGCTTTAAAGGTGATAACTAACACCTTGAATCGCACCCGGAAGACCACCGGGAGCCAGTGCAGCTTGCGTAGGAGAGGTGTTACATGGGCGTATGACCACAACTGAGCCCAAAATTTCTGTTGCTAAGTGAAACATTGGTTAAGCGAGTTTTGTCCCCTTTTACAACCTTTCTTGCCACGGTTGTTAAGTGAATCACTGCAAAAGTTAAATTTAGTAATCCAGTTGTTGAGTGAATCTGGCTTTCCCATTGACTTTGCTTGCCAGGTCACAAAAGGGAATCACATGTCCCTGGGACATTGCAACAGTCATAAATATGAGGTAGTTGCCAAGCATCTGAATTTTGATTACATGACTACATTGATTAGTCAGTTTTTTTCAGTTCCATTGTAACTTTGAACGGTCACTAAATGAACTGTTGTAAGTCTGGAACTACCTTTAGAGCAGGGGTGTCAAACTCATGGCCCGGGAGTTGGAGCTGGCCCACAGGGTGTTTGGATCGAGCCCGCAGGGCTGCCCTGAAAATAGCGAAAGACCAGGCTTAGGACCTGGTTATCTATAGGACCCCATTCTGCCACCGATTGCCTCCCACTGACCAATACGCTCCCACAGAGAGGGACTCCTCAGGGTGCCGTCAGCCAAACAGTGTAGGCTGGTGACCCCCAGGGGGAGACCCTTCTCTGTGGGGGCCCCGCCCCTATGAATGAACTGTCCCCGGACATACGAAGGATCCCCGACCTCCGTGCCTTCCGTCGCGCTCTGAAGACCCTATTATTCCAGCAAGCTGGACTGACAGGATAAAGGTTTTTTAAATTGGGTTTTGATAGGGGTTTTAAAATGATCTTAGTTGGATGTTTTAAATTTGGCCGAATGATTTAATTATTTTAATAAGCTTTTAATTTTTATTGTACATCTTTTACCATGGCTGTTCACCGCCCTGAGTCCCTCGGGAGAAAGGCGGTATACAAATATAATAAACTAATTAACTAACTAACCAGCCTGTGGTGCCTCTGCCAGCGAAAACAAACTCCTGAGCTCCATGTTTGGCTGCGACGGCCTCCTGCCACCCTCTGCCAGCGAAAACAGATCTTGGAGGGAGCCTGTTTTCGCTGGCAGAGGGTGGCAGGAGGCCGTCGCAGCCAAAGCATGGAGCTCGGGAGCCCATTTTCGCTGGCAGAGTGCTCAGGCCACCACAGGTGCCCCCAATACGAATGATGTCTAGCTAGCCACGCCCACCCCAGCCACACACACCTGCCCCCGCCCAGGTCAAACACAACTCTGATGCGGCCCTCCATGAAATCGAGTTTGACATCCCTGCTGTAGAGACTAAGCAAAGTTTAAAAGAAACGGTTTGATGCGCTCTCCAGTCATTAAACAGAACAAAAACACCCAGGTGTGAACTGATGTGCAGTAGTTGGATCTGAAGCTCCTTTTTGCATGTGAAGGGTGCCTAAACTGGATCAGAAGCACTTTTTATCCAGGTTAACCCGACACTCCCAGCTATGCCTACTCCAAAAGAAGCAACTTAACAACAACAAAAACAATCTAATAAAAAGCACAACACAAACCCACCGGGTGTCCTTTTAAATCATTTCCACAATTTTAATCCCATCGGGTTTCTTGGATTAATGTATTTATTTTTAACACGTAACACGAAACAGTATCTTGGTTAATTGAAAACATAATTGTATTCACAAGCCCTTTAGGATTATGGTCATCGTAGGAAGCATACAATTTTTCGGTGATGTATTTCCCCAACCTTTTATTAACCCATGTAAATAACATCTAAAATCTTTCACTTATGACATTTGTGCCACACTTGTCTTCCAGTCATAACCCAAGTTTAAAAAAAAGCTTGTGCAATGGTACTGGTGAGAATGCCTAGCCTAATCTCACTAAGTGAGCCTTGAGCTGGAGGGAAAGTACAGGCAGTCCTCAAGTTATGACCATTCCTTTAAGAACCATTCAAAATTATGATGGCAATGAAAAAGGTTACTTACAACCCACATATGACCATTGCTGCATACCTTGGTAATAAAATAAAGAAATAAATAATAAAGTAATAAAATAAATAAATAAAATAAAATAAAAGAGCCTTGGTGGCGCAGCAGACTAAAGCACTGTTAAGATAACACCAGCTGCCTGCAATTATTGCAAGTTCAAATCTCACCAGGCTCAAGGTTGACTCAGCCTTCCATCCTTTCGAGGTGGGTAAAATGAGGACCCGGTTTGTGGGGGCAATAAGCTGACTTTGTATAAAAAAAGAACACTGCTTGGGGGGGGGGAGGGCGAAAGCCCTACTAAGCAGGTATATACAAAAGTATGAAGGCTATTGCTTAATGCATTGTAAGCCGCCCTGAGTCTCCGGAAAAGGGCAGCATATAAATCGAACCAATAAATAAATAAATAAATAAATAAACCTGTCATCACGTGATCAAGATTCAGACGTTGAATTTTGTTATTTTACATTGCCATTTGCAATCCTCTCGGTGATCTTCCAACAAGCCAAGTCAATGGCGGAAGTTGGATTTGCTTAACGGCCGTGTGACTTACTTAATGACCATGGCAAAAAAAAAAGAAGTTATAAATTGGGGATGGCTCACTTAACAATGATATTACTTAGCAACGGACATCTTGATCCCAACTGTAGTCATAAGTTGAGGTCTACCTGGATAGAGTTCCCTAGATCCAATCTAATATTTTACCTTGTTCGATCTATCACATTTCTTATAGCATCCGGACATAAATCTGGACATAAATCAAGTTCGATCAATACACTTATTGGGTTCCGTCCCCCCCTCCCCCGACCCACCTTCCATTGTCAGCTTCTTTTCAATTTCCCATTCATACATCTATTTGCTTACAGTGTAACCGAGTATCGTAAAATTTACTGTAGGTTGCTTTCCAGGATTCTCCAGTTCATCCCAGCATCACCACATGGATAAATATTTCAAGATCGATGGCAGCATCACAGTTTCTCTTCAGCTGTTTTTTTTTGGGGGGTGGGATGGGGTGAGGGGGAGAACAGAAACTGTTTTTTCCACCCTCTAAATTCTGGATAGCTGTTTCATGTCCGTGTTTGAAATTAAGTCCAACGTTAAGCGACGGACTCGAACGGGAGCCTAGCCCTTGAATTTCTGGCAATATTTCAATCGAAAATATTGTGTTGTTAGTGCTTATTATTAGAAACCGAGGCAACGTCCAAAACAAAACATGCCCCCTGCTAGTTCATATTGTTGCACCGAAGGCAATCGCCATCCAAATTGGAGCATCACTGATCTGTTAATAATAGATGTTTTTCATACCAGCAAATTAATTCTAAAAGAGTTGCGATTTAACCAGAATACTTCCAACACACTTATTTCTGAGGGTAGGTGGGTGAAAGGAACACCAGCCTGTTTCTCAGAGGTCACTGTGTCAACCGGGCAACTGGCACGTAACTCTCAATGTCTCTTTTCGTGAGAGGCCACCACAACTGGCGTTTCACAAGGTGGGGAGTTTTAACAAATCCAAAATGACCCGTGGTCTTAGTGTCGTGGTTGTGTTGCAGCACCAGGTTTTGCCAGCTCGCCGCCACGTACAATCTATTCCCCATCCATGCCAGGTTGCCTCTTCGTGAAAGTTCTTCTTTATGTAGTTGGAGCCATTCGTCTGTCGCCAGAGCCCCTTTCAACGCTTGGGCTATATATCCCGTTAACTCGCAAAGCATCCCTGGCCTGCTCTCGAGTTGCCATAGGCAAGGGGGATGGGAAACCGACGAAGCAGCACAGCAGCCAAAAACAGAAGTACATTCCAGACATATCTCTGTCAAGGCTGTCTCCCAGGGTTACCCACAGTGCCCGGAGGGGAGTGATCTCTTGGCTCGAGGCTGATGATTTAATTAGGGCATCGGAACCGTCGGAACCTTGACATCCCCAGCTACCTGTTCTTTTGGGATTTTTTTGTTGCCTTGTGAGGGCTGATGCGGCTATTTGTGACCGCATGATGCACGGACTTCCAAATGTGTAACAAGGTGCCTCTTAGGAAGTGAGAAGGCCACATCCCATTAGCCCCAGTGAAGGTTGGATGTCCCGTTGTTTTGCCACGTACATCCCAATTTTTAAATGCTTTTCGCAAAATTGTGGTGCCTAGCGAGACAATAACCTAATCGCTTGTCCTGCCATTTCTGACTTTTGCAGAAACAGAACTGAACCTTGTTTGGAAATTACTACAGTAGTTACTGCAGAGACTCTCAACAAACCTTGTCCTGTTTTGTTTGTTGCTCAAATACAAAACTGTAAAGCAACGGCAAGGAGAATAAATAAATGTTTTCTGCAGAGCAGTGGAGAAGAAAGCTATCTTGTCCACAAGCTCCATTTAATTCTTCCAGTTTCAGATTGCTCTTGGCCCCATATCAAGCTAACAAAAATATTATTTATCACTTTGGCCCTTTGCCTCTATCAAACCGGCATCGTTGATCCTTGTATTTTAAGTTCTTTGAGGTGATGAACACTCTTTCTGATGACCTTCTTCTCACAGTGTGTATAAAGTCAGAAAAACCACTTCCAAAATTTGAGTCCATTTTGCGGTGAGATATTTTAAGAAGGATGTAGCAAATTGGGAACAGAATAACAGAGTTGGAAGGGACTTTGGAGGTCTTCTAGTCCAACCCCCTGCTCAGGCAGGAAACCTTACACCATTCCAGATAAATGATTGTCCAATCTCGTCTTAAAAACCTCCAGTGTTGGAGCACCCTCAACTTCTGGTGGCAGGACGTTCCACTGATTAATTGTTCTCACGGAGGTGAAATTTCTCCTCAGTTCTAGGTTGGTTCTCTCTTTGATTCGTTTCTATCCGTTGCTTCTTGTCCTGCCTTCAGGACAAGAGAATAGGTTGACCCCCCCCCACTTCTTTGTGGCAGCCCCAGATCAAGTGGAGGGCAAAAGAGTCGGGACGAAGTATAGAAATAGATCCGGGTAAGGAACAGTCGAAAGAAATGTGCATCTTGAGCTTGGTGAAGAAGATGGGGCGGGCAGAAACAGATTGGAAAGCATTCTTCAAATCAGAGGTGGGTTTCAGCAGGTTCTGACCAATTCTGGAGAACCAATAGCGGAAATTTTGAGTAGTTCGGAGAACCGGTAGTAAAAATTCTGACTGGCCCCGCCTCCATCTATTCTCTGCCTCCCAAGTCCCAGCTGACCGGGAGGAAATGGGGATTTTGCAGTAACCTTCCCCTGGAGCGAGATGGGAATGGAGATTTTACAGTATCCTTCCCCTGCCACGCCCACCAAGCCATGCCACGCCCATCAAGCCACGCCCACAGAAATGGTAGTAAAAAATTTTGAAACCCACCACTGCTTCAAATCCCTAAAGAAGGCAAATACTCACTCTACAAATTAAGTCTGGAAGGCAAGACTTAATTTAAGGAGTTAAAGTTACAGTGCAGAGCCTGTGTGGAATAGTAGTTGAATGCATCAGGTTGGAACTAGCAGACTGGGAGTTCTAGTTCTGCTTTAGGCGAGAAACTAGCTGAGTCACGCTAAAATACTAGACATTTTCTTTTTTAAGAGCTGGGGGAGCATAATATACACATAATGTTCAGACGAGTAAGGGCCATTCTGTCTGGAATAACGATGCGAAGTGGATGACACCGGATCACACCCTGGCAGAATCAAAATATTCTTATTTTTGGGGAAGCGTTTTCCCCCAGTTATATTTGGTGAGATCCCTGCTTCAAGGTGGCCGGAGATGGTGGGACCAATTTTTTGATCCTGTGGAGATCATATAGGTCAAATGCACTCTGCAGAGTAAAGACAAGTCCAGAGCTATTTTGTATGGAGAAATCACTTTTCTCTGGGTGGATAATTTTGCTGCAGTCCTTTGCTCTTGGAAGGAGACAAAATTTGGGCCTAATGGCAAGAAAATAATTCAGAGAAGCAACAATGGCGGCACCTATTTATTGGTTGGAGGGTGCATCTGGAGGCAGCTGTTCCTTAATGTATTCCATCTGGCTCACAAACAGTTGGAAAAAATCACTGACTAGGTAGAAAAGCACCTTATCCTTCTGGGTATACATGGTTCAAAGGTATTTGCTGAATAGAAAGACGGCAGTGGCTTTAGAGCAGATATTCTGAGAGTGGAACGCCTCAGATTCAAAGATGGTGCCTGCAGTTAAAAGAATCTTATGCAGCAATAGAAGAAAAGTTCTTTTCTCCCGCTTCTCCCTGAATTATTACTATGGGATTTCAAATAGAAAAGAAATAAACTTCTGGTAGTTTTGCCTTTTAGGGAGCCACCAAGAATATTTACCCAATAAAAATTGGGATATATTACACACACACGTTATGTTTGTATATATGTATGTATTTCATCCTATTTTTATTGTGTGTATGTATGTATGTGTGTGTATGTAGTGTATGTATATATGTGTATATACAAAGAAAGACGCAGACATCCTGCGAGCTCCAGAACTTAAAATTTTAAAATCATTAAAATTTTATTTTACTAAGCTTTCGTCAGCCATCTGCTGACATCGTCAGAGTATTAAACTGTAACTACCATTACTGAGATCTCTGCCTTTATATGCCATTAATATAAATATAATATCATAAATATAATATATATTTATATGCCATTAATGGCATATCATCAGAGTATTGAACTACCATTATAGAGATCTCTGCCTTTATATGCCATTAATATAAATATAATAAATATAATATATATTTATATGCCATTAATGGCATATCATCAATTAAATTATATTACAGAGATCTCTGCCTTTATATGCCATTAATATATATATAATATAATAAATATAATATATATTTATATGCCATTAATGGCATATAAAGGCAGAGATCTCTGTAATGGTAGTTTAATACTCTGATGATGTCAGCAGATGATTGATGAAAGCTTAATAAAATAAAATTTTAATTATTTTATAATTTTAAGTTCCGGAACTCGCAGGATGTCTGCTTCTTTTTTTACAAATATACCTGGAGCTTGTATTTTTAGAATAGTTTGTAGTGTGTGTGTGTGTGTGTGTGTGTATCATATATATATACCAGGGGTGGTATTCACTTACCTTCCCTACCGGTTCGTACATGCACATTTCCGCGCTTCCGTGCATGCACAAGGCCTTCTGCATATGCACAGAGCCTCGAAAACATGAAAAAATGGGACATCATGACATCCGTGCGGGTGGGCGGGGCATCCCGCAGTCGCCCCTACCAATTCGCCTGAACCGGATAGAACTGGCTGAATACCACGACTGATATATACATATATCATCATATATATATATGATTTCTAAGCTACCTGGGTCCAAACAAATGCACGTATTCTTATCCTTTTGCTGTATGCTTGTGTGTACAAAGACACACACAAAGACACACACACACACACACAGAAAAGATATTAAAGAACATGGATGTCTCTGCAAAACAAGACAAACGGCTCTTCAGCCCAGAGCAGCCTATCCTTAGTGCCGTCCCTAGTCTGGTGCTCTCCCAAAAAAAATTGGATCATAGTTCCCATCAACCCTGGATGAAGATGATAGGAGCAGGAATCCCATATAACCAGAAGATGCCAGGTTGTAGAAGATGTCCCCGTAGCACTTTCTCATAATTTCAACTAGCTTTCGGTCCGCCTCCATCTGAATTGCTCTCTCAATCCGGCTGGTAGTCTTTGATGGTCATTGTTAGAATTTGGTCTATCGGGCGGTGGTGACAGACACTTGGTGGTGACAAGAGCAATGCGGTGATGGGCCATAGGGTTAAGTGTTGCAGCCGGAACCATTAAGTATCATCACAGGGGTTACGGGACTCTCGTTCTGGAAACCTTCGAGCTTCTCGACCTTGGCTAAAGGGGTGTTTATGGTCATGGCTTCTTCTGTGTCAGTCTCCATCTTCTCAACCTCCTTGTAAAGGTTCCCTTCTTGGAGAAAGAGGCCACTCTCTGCTGAGGGAGCTGCACTTTCTTCTTTGGTAGCATCCTGATGGCGCTCATTTCTGCATCCCTCGTGGTGGCTGTGGTTGCCGAGACGGCTGGATGCCACCACTGCTTTCACGGCAGCCTGTTTGTATTAGACATGAGAAGACAAAGAGTCAGGGGTGAAATGCTCCCAGTTTGGACCGGATCGCCCAATCCTGTAGCGATGGCGGCGGGTTGTTCTGAGTACCGGTAGCAAAAATCCCTGAGCCCCCCCCCACCATGCCCAGCTGAGCCGCACAATCATGAGGCTTTTTTTTTTTTTACTTTTAAAAGCATTTTTTTCTACAACCTCTTCCAACAGAAAAAATGCTTTTAAAAGTAAAAAAAAAAAGCCTTTGATGATCGTGCAGCTCAGCTGGGATTGTCAGAGGCTTTTCAAAGTAGTTTTTTCTGCAACCTCTTGGCTGAAAGAGGTGGTAAAAAAAATGCTTTGAAAAGTCTCTGACAATCCCAGCTGAGTTGCCTGATCGTCAGAGAGGCTTTTCAAAGCATTTTTTTAAAAAGCCTCTCTGACGATCCCAGCTGAGTTGCCTGATCCGCAGAGGCTTTTCAAAGCATTAGAAAAAATGCTTTCAAAAGTTAAAAAAAAAAAGTTGACCACGCCCACCCAGTCACATTAACCCCCCCCACCAAGCCACGCCCACAGAACCGGTAGTAACAAATTTTACATTTCACCCTTGCAAAGAGTGACTTTGGTTTGAATGTACATGTTTATTATTTTAAAGGAGCTGTAAAAGGGATGTTGTTGGCAGTGACTGTTAAAAGTCTCTTTGGCTGGCCCTGTTTATTATTATTTATAGTTTGGTCTAGTGATTAAGACGCCAGGCTAGAAACCGGGAGACTGTGAGTTCTAGTCGCGCCTTAACCATGAAAACTGGCTGGGGGACTTTGGGCCAGCCACCCTCTCTCACCCCAACCTACCTCACAGGGTTGTTGTGGGGAAAATAAGAGGAAGAAGAAGTATTAGATATTTAAGTTGTTTGTAAAAATAACAAAAGCAGCATATAAGTTAAATAAATAAACAATATTGCTTGTTTTTACTGAGTTTAAATTCTATGTTAGCCACCCAGAATTGGCCCTGTGAGATGAGGGACCGCACAGGCAGTCCTGATTTAATGTCCATTCATTCTGCGACTACTTAAAGTTATGATGGTGCTGAATGAGGGATAAGGCCCACCCTAGTTGTGGCTCAGTGGCTAAGACACTGAGCTTGTCGATCAGAAAGGTCAGCAGTTCAGCGGTTCGAATCCCTAGTATAGGTCTCCTGCGTGAGCAGGGGGTTGGACTAGATGAACTCCAAAGTCCTTTCCAACTCTGTTACTGTTACCTGTTACATATTCACTATTTGGATGCTAGGCAACTGGCTCATAATTATGACATCATAGCATCACGCAGTCATGGGATCAGCCTTTGGAGCCTTCCCTGCCAGCTTCTGACGAACAAAGTCAATGGAGAAGCCAACAGAAAGTTGAAAATGGCAGTTGTGTGACTGTGAGTAAGGGTTCATGGGAATGATCTTTTTTTGGGGGGGGGGTAATAGATTTTATTGATTTTCTGTTGTTTACATTTTGTTGGTGCTTAATAATCATTGTGTTGTCTGGGTTATTAAATTTGTTTAACAATACAGATTACATTCTTAATCTCCACCTCTTGTTTTTTTCTGATGTTATACCTAATAAAAACAGTTCAGGTTTAAGATCTACATATTTTCCTATCATCCTTTCTAACTACTTATGCATTTTCCAATGTTTTTTTACTTTAACCCAAGTCCACCACATATAGTAAGTAATATATGCCAGTGGTAAAATTCATTTTTTTTACTACCGGTTCTGTGGGCGTGGCTTGGTGGGTGTGGCCTGGCTTGGTGGGCGTGGCAGGGGAAGGCTACTGCAAAATCTCCATTCCCACCCCACTCCAAGGGAAGGCTACTGCAAAATCTCCATTCCCACCCCACTCCAGGGGAAGGATATTGCAAAATCTCCATTCCCACCCCACTCCAGGGGAAGGATATTGCAAAATCTCCATTCTCACCCTACTCTAAGGGAAGGATATTGCAAAATCTCCATTCCCACCCCACTCTGGGACCAGCCAGAGGTGGCATTTGCCAGTTCTCCGAACTACTCAAAATTTCTGCTACCGGTTTTCCAGAACCTGTCAGAACCTGCTGGATTTCACCCCTGATATGTGCCCGTTTTTGGGTTACACTTCCAACATTTGCTAGACAAATTTTTAAACACTTTAGCTAACCTAGCAAGTGGTAAGTACCACCCATAGAACATTTTGTATAATTTTTAAAAATAAGTTGCCATTGTCAATTTATAGTTCCTTTTCATAAATTAATTCTTCATCAGAGTTCAACACTATCTGATCAAAGACTATTCGTCCTTTATAAAAATCATACTTGTTCATGTCTTTGTCGTATCTAGATTGCATCTGCAATTGAGGCCACCATGATAATATAATGCCCTGGTCATGGGAATGATCTTGAGGGATGAGGGGAAGGGATGCTGTTTAGCGAATGGTCAGACAAGAAGGGGCTTAATGGTCAGGGGGAAAAAAAGTTAGGAAGGACCCATCCTAATGAACCAAACACTTAAAAGTGACGGTGGGAAATGTGTATTTTCAGACTTGCAAAATGGATGTCAGCCCTTCCAGGTAAACCAGACCAGGAAAGGTGAGCTAATTCTATTTAATTGTAAGGTTACATTGCTGTATTAATCTTGCAAATCTGAAATGGCAAACCTCCCGCCATCACTTTTAATAACCTGCTCAATTAGGGTGAGTCCTGCCTAAGTTTCTTTCTCCGACCATTATGCAACCGAGGGCTCCCACCTCTTTTATCTGATTGTTTCCCAGACAGCATCTCTTCCCCTCCTCCCTCAAGGTCATATACATGGGACGTTGGCCTGTATGGGATTTACCCTAACAACAGCACTGGGTACTGCCAGAACTGCCACTGTAAATTGGCATGATAACATGATACCATGCTTTATGATTGCATTGTTTAGCAATGAAGTTCCTGGTTCCAATTACTGTTGGTCACCGAGGACTGCTTGTATACATTTATTTTAATTAATTACATTAATTAATTCTCATCGGCACCGTGTTTTCTAATACTAAACCCAGGTGGCTGAGTGGCAATGGAACAAACATGTGAAAAAGGGAAGTAATAGCTGCAATTGGATCACTGTTACAAACATCTGCCAGGCTTCAGGGGGGTAGAGAGCCAATCCACCAAAGCCAGCCATTGGCTACAGGTGTTCCTGTTATCCTAGAATTCCCTTTTACAGTCTTAGAAGAATCACACACTTAACATCTTCTGCACAAGAGGAAAATATCAGGCACTCTATTTACCCCGGACAGAGCCATCCCTGGGTTTAAAAATCACCCTCCCTGCAAAAGGGAAGATTTAAAAAAAAAATTTAAAAAAAAATTTCTTTAATACAAACATTCCATCATTCATTAAACAGTGTGTCATCTGGGTACAAAAGCTTACCACTGTATTCATTGTCTACATCTACTCTTATTTTAATACTAATACTAATACATTTTCTTCTTAACTTACTTCACTTTATTATACATTCATATTTATTCTCTAACCATTGATAAAATAAATCCCATATATGATAATAATCAGATTCTTCCTTTCCTTCAATTGCAAGTGTTAATCTATTCATTTCTGCACATTCCAATATTTACTTAATCACATTTTCATCTCTAGGAATCTCTTCACCTTTCCAATTCTGTGCAAATACATTCTAGCCGCCATTATTTCATGAATAATCAAATATCATTTTCTTTACTATAATTTTCTGGAATATCTCAGGTTTTAAATCAATATGCTGCTGCGTCATCTTCTTCAACCACATACGAATTCTTGCCCAATATTTCGAAAGGGAAGATTAAGGAACAAGAATCACCACTCTGTTCCTGTTCGATTGTAAGTCGGGACAGTTGTAAAATGGGTCAGTCATGTGTCTGACCTGATTTTATTATCTTTTTTGCAGTGGTTGTTAAGCGAACCAATGATTGGCTGTGCGCATGGTTTTGTTGAAAGCAGGTGCTGGTTTATGGCATGAAAAGCAGTCACATGACCATGCGACGTGTTGTGGCCCATCAGCGGCCTGTGCGGATTGTAGCTGATTCTGACAGCGAGGAGGCTGGTGTGGTGCTGCGGCAGCAGCCTGTGCAGCTGGCATTCGAGTCAGACAATGAGGAGGCTGGAGAAGATGTGGTGCTAGAGGCGGGGATTCAGCCAGGGCCTTCAGAACCTCCAGAAGCTTCTTTAAGTGAAGAGACGAAGAGGAGGAGCCTCTTCTCGATACACGGGCACGCAGAGCTGCCAAAAGGCAGGAGTGGCTCCTCAGGAGGAGGTCTCCTCGAGAGTAAGGATTGGGGCTAATTGGCCACTCCCTTAGCCTATTTAAGGAGGAATGCCGAGTGAAGCAATTTGTAGGGAACAACTTTAGTTCATTCTACTTCGTGTCTGGATTCTCTGCAAATTGCTTCTGGGCCTTCTGCCAACCTTAGTAAGATTGTGATTACTTTATCTTTGGTTTCTTGTAGGCTGTTAAGAAAGTTTATTAACAGCCTTTGTTTTGAAATAGACTGAGTTATTTTAGTAAATTAAGTTTTGTACAAACTTTGTGTGTGCTGTGTTCTTTGGGGTCCGTAGCTGGGGCAGAACAGGACACTGAAAATCGCAGTAAATATGTGTCAGAGTATGAATATTCATGGACTGGAATAGATCAGCCAATGGGGACTGAATGGAGACATGGTAACAAGGTCAGCCAATGAGGCTTATTTGGAAACAGAAACTTAAATCTGAAGTCTGGGCATGGCTTAAGGCAACTGAGTCTGTGCAGAAGCTTAACTGCCCTATATAGAGGAGGCTCTCTTTGTATTCAGCTCTGTGCTCAGCTCTGCAATGAAACGAGCCTGGGCTTGTCTGCTCTGCTGAAATGAAACTAACTGTTCTCTCCTGCCTGGTGTTTTGCTTGTAACTGCTACTATGTTGAAGAAGAATCTATATTGGTATTGTACATTTATCTTCATGTATTATTATGTATATAAAGAAGTTAATGAATCCTGCTGCATCAGTCTGCCTGTGTGTGCTTTCTGGATTTGATTTGTGCAACAAACTCTGACAAGGTGGTCATGTTGCCAAGGGTCTGAAATTGTCATGTGACTCTGTGTGTGTGTGTGTGTGTGTGTGTGTCATTCTCAGAACTTTGAATTTGGGTTGTACAGTAAGTAGCCCAAAGTAGGTCCATCATAACTTTTGGTTATAAGTCAAGGTCTACCTGTACTGGATTTTGACCTGCCCCCGCAGGCACCTGTCCTATGCTTTTGGGTGGCTTGCCTTGCACCCTGATTCTGAGCCTCTGCCACTGAGCTTGGACTCCTAGTTCCCAGTCCCCATGTGGGACCCCAGACAGGAGCACAGGATCCCCAGAATCTTACCTTTAATTTCCTCCTTGCATTAAACTCCTGCAGTTTCTTCTGGGTGCTGTCCATGTGAGCAAACTTAGCAGCTTTGCCAGTCACCCAAGGGTGCTCTAGGGCTTGATGGACTGTTAGCCTCTTCTGGGGATCCAGGACAATCAGCTTTTGCACCTACAAGGGCCAGAGAGAGATTTACTGCGACAACTCCAGTGTCATATCATGTGGGATCTACCTAGAGTAGCCCCGCTGTGAGATAGGCGGCAAATAAATTTAACAAATAATAATGGATGTAAATAGCCTTTATGGTATGGGCCAGGGGTGAAATGCTACCGGTTCACTCCGGTTCAATAAGTGATAAAGCATGCGCCAAAAGGTGGCTTGGGAAGGTAAGTAGAATAGCGGGGGGGGGGGAGAGATCAGCTGTGGCGCATGAAAACAAGAAAGCCTGCTTTCTAGCAAAGCTATATCGCATGCCACAGCTGATCCCCTCCCCCGCTTTTACTTACCTTCCCAAGCCTCCTTTTGGCCCGTACTGCACATGCACACAGAGCATGCATTTGGTGCGCATTGCACATGCGCACGCAGCATGCATTTGGCACGCAGTGCATATGCGCAGCCAGCGAACCGGTAGCAAACTGGTTCGGATTTCATCACTGGCATGGCGCCAGGCTTTATGACATGGGTCCAGGAACCATCTCACCCCATAGGACTGTCCTGTCCCATTTGCTCCAGCAGTCCAGCAGACTTGCTACAGAGCCCCTCTGTCAAGGAATTCCATTGGGCAGGGTCCAGGAGCAGAGCCTTTTCTGCTGTGGCCCCTGCTCTTTGGAATATTCTGCCTCTCAAGATGAGATCCACCCCTCCACACCCTCTTGGCCTTCCAGAAGGACCTTAATCCTAGCCTGGTTAGTCTGTGGCCCCAGTGGGGGTGCCCTGCACTGGGGGAAGCTGATGGGGTATGCAGGGGACCCCACTCCCATGCCAAAGCTGGCTGAGGAATTCTGGGAGTTGAAGTGCACAAGTCTTAAAGTTCCCAAGGTTGGGAGACTCCTGTTCTAAGCAGTTTACAGAGTCAGCTTAATGTCCCCAACAATCTGGGTCCTCATTTTACCAACCTCAGAAAGATGGAAAGCTGACTCAGCTTTGAATGGGTCAGGATCGAACTCCTGGCCGTGGGTAGAGTTTGCCTGCAATACTGCATTCTAACCACTGAACCACCACGGCTCTTTAAATTGTTTTGAGACTGATCTTTTTTATCACTTTGTGAGCTTCCCACTTCAACAGTGAAAGGGATGGCATAGAAATTTAATAAATAAATAAAATTGTGCTAACTGAGGGTGTCTGGCCGGGCAGGGGAGAGGGATGTTGAAAAAGTCAAAATGGCAGCCTTGCTGTCCAGTCCATGCCTTATCTCTTAGAATATTGGAGCAACATTTTTTTTTTTAATTTTTATTTATTTGATTTATATGCCGCCCTTCTCCGGAGACTCAGGACGGCTTACAATGCGTTAAGCAATAGCCTCCATACTTTTGTATATTTATACAAAGTCAGCTTATTGCCCCCACAAACTGGGTCCTCAATTTACCTACCTTAGAAAGGATGGAAGGCTGAGTCAACCTTGAGCCTGGGGAGATTCAAATTTGCAATAATTGCAGACAGCTGAATGTTAATAACAGGCTTTTAGTCTGCTGCGCCACCAGGCTCTTTCAATGATCCGGTCTTGGGAGCTAGGAATACATTTGATATTTGGAGACCATTTGATCTTGCCCTAGCAGAATGGATCGACTAGGAAAGTGTCTTTTTCACATGGTGTGGACTCGGCCAGTCAAGGCACTTGTACCAATAGAAGAGAATATGTATAGCTCAGAGTTGAACTGTGAGGTCTTTTGTGCTCTCTGAGCTTGGTTGTTTTCTTGCAGACATCTCATTATCAAACTAGGTAACATCATCAGGGCTAGAAGGGCAAACTCCACTCCCTTCTAGTCTAGCCCTGAAGAGGTTGATTAGTTGAGTAATGAAATGTCTGCAACAAAACAACCAAGCTCAGAAAACACCAAGGACCCCACACCCCACTGCTCTCTCCCACCCCAGAGAGATCCAAGCAGAAGAATGGAAGGTGAGTCTGGTACTTTCATTTGCAGGATGATGCTTGAGGGGATGTAGTGCAGGGGTGGGATTCAGCTGGTTCGGACCGGTTCAGGCAAACTGGAGGCTCCCGGAGGGCTCTGGGAGGGTGAAAAACAGGCCTCCCAGAAGTCTGGAAATGGGCCAGTTTCCGGCCTCCGGAACCTGGGGGAGGCTTTTTTCACCCTCCCGGAGGCTCAAGAAAAGCCTCCGGAGCCTGGGGAGGGTGAAAAACAGGCTGACCTGAAGTACCGGAAGTCCAGAAAAGGGCCTGTTTCTGGCCTCCAGAGGGCCTCCGGTGCCTGGGGAAGGCTGTTTTTGCTCTCCTGGAGGCTCGAGGAAAGCCTCTGGAGCCTGGGAAGGGCGAAAACACCCCCCACTGTGGTGCAGGAGGCCGAGTAGGTCATGGCCAACATGGCCATGGCCACCCAGCAAGGGCAGAGAACCGGTTGCTGAAGTTTTTGAATCCCACCCCTGATGTGGTGCCTGAAGAACATGAGTTCAACCTTTCAAAGCAATAGCATTTAGGCTTCTATACCACCCGGTATATTATATCACTGGGCAGTTTACTGTGTAGAGCAGAGGTGGGGAACTATCGCTCCTTTATGACTTCTGGACTTCAACAGCATGGCTGGCTCAGGAATTCTGGGAGTTGAAGTCCACAAGTCATAAAAGGGCCAGAGTTTCCCCACCCCTGATGTAGAGCATTATTTACATATTGCCTCCAACAATCAGGATCCTCATTTTAGTGGCTTCGGAAAGATGGAAGGCTGAGTCAACCTTGAGCCCCATCAGGATCGAACTCCAGGTTGTGGGCAGAGTTAGCCTGCAATACTGCACTTTAACCACTGTGCCACCAGGGCTCCTTAATGCATGCCAGAACAAGCAGATGCAGACAGGGGGCGATCATCTGCAAGGGCAGTGCTCAAAATACAGGAACTCACCAGGTCCTTGGCATTGAGGGACACTTCATCCCACCAAGGGGAGACAAACTCATAGTCACAATTTAGGATTCGGCTGTACATGTACTGATCTCCTCTTGGGTCAAAGAAGGGCTCAAAGCCACACAGCCTAGGGGAAAAAAAAGGAAGAAACAGATCCCTATAATTTGGGGATTTGATTTATTTATGTATATTTATGTATATTTATTTTATTTTATTAAAATTTATATGCCGCCCTTCTCCCGAAGGACTCGGGGCGGCTCACAAGTATAAAATGACAAAAAAACAATATAACTAAATAGCATTAAAAGTCCAATTTAAAATCCTACAGTTAACTAAAAAACCCAACCAGATCAGGTGATTTGAGTAAAAAGCCAGGTCTTAAATTCTTTGCGGAAGGAACGGAGATCAGGGGCTGTCCGGAGCTCGGTGGGTAATTCATTCGAGGGTCGGCGCAGCCACCGAGAATGCCCTCAATCTGGGGGCCACCAGCCGACATTGTCTGGCCGATGGCACCCGGAGGAGGGCAGCCCTATGTGACTGCACTGGGCGGTGGGAAGCCGGTAGGAGGTGGTCCCGCAAGTACCCCGGGCCCATGCCATGTAGGGCTTTATAGGCGAGAGCCAGCACCTTGAAGCGGATCCGAAAGGCCACCAGCAGCCAGTGCAGCTCGTGCAGGAGAGGTATTACACGGGAGTAACGAGAAGCTCCGGTAACAACCCGCGCAGCCGCATTCTGGACCAGCTGGAGCCTCTGAATGCAATGTATATCCCGCCTTTATTATTTTTACAAATAACTTAAGGTGGGGAACATATCCAACCCGCCTTCCTCCTCCTATTTTCTCCACTACAACAACCCTGTGAGGTGGGTTAGGTTGAGAGAAAGTGATTGGCCCAGAGACATCCAGCTGGCTTTCATGCCTAGAATAGGACTAGAACTCAAAGGCTCCTGGTGACCGCTGGCCTCCATTTATGGTCATAAACCGAGGATTACCTGAAGTTGGTTACCCGGGGGTTTAGCTCTCTTCCTTTTTCCCCCCTTTCTTGATGTATTTCATTTTCTTTTGCTTTTTATTTGTTAGTCACACTGAGTTGTTACTGAGTCATGCTTGAAACTGAATCAATCAATCAATTAATGTGGGAGGGGTGTAATTACAGTAGTGGCCAAAAGTGTGGAAACCTTTTGGGAAAAGTGTATTTTCTAAAACAAGCTAATAACACCCCTTTTTTTTTTGGAGTAGTACCATAAAATTATATATCAATGGAAAGATAATTTAATCAAGACTGTAATGCAATAAGTTTTATGAAGGATTTGCTATTAGAATAGCAGTTACAGTATAAAGAAGAAAAGTGAAACACGTAGAAAAAACGAGATATACAAAAATTATCACCATGTCAGTTAATAGTTGGTTAACCTTTAGCATAAATTACGGCCTTACAACATCTTTCCATGGAGTGAACCAAGTCTTTTAGTTCTGCAGCTATTATAATGTGAAACCAAGATTGAATGATTGCTTCTATTAACTGGGTTTTATTGCTGGGTCGCTTCTGACTAACACGTTTCTTTAATTGGCTCCATAGATTTTCAATTGGGTTAAGATCTGGGCTATTCCCAGGACATTCCAGCAGTGGAATATGATTATCTTGAAACTCAAAAAAAAAAAGTGATGTTATTAGTCATCAAACCTCAAAAATACACTTTTCCCAAAAGGTTTCCACAATTTTGGCCACTACTGTAGCTGGGTTTTCTTTTCCGCCTCTGTAGCTTTCCTGTTCACTGCTTCCTTCTCCCACCTCATCTCTGAGGCACTGTAGGCCCTTCACTTACATTGCAAAGTAAAACTAAGACTCCTGCCCTAAATATACCGGTAGTCCTCAACTTACGACCACCATTGAGCCCAAAATTTCTGTTGTTAAGTGAGACATTTGTTAAGTGAGTTTTGCCCCGTTTTCTTGCCTCCGTTGTTTAGTGAATCACAGCGGTTGATAAATTAGTAATCCGGTTGTTAAGTGAACCTGTCTTCCCCATTGACTTTGCTGGCCAGAAGGTTGCAAAAGGGAGTCACATGACCTTGGGACACAGTAACGGTCATAAGTGGGAAACAGTTGCCAAGCATCTGAATTTCGATCATGCAACCGTGGGGATGCCACAAAGGTTGTAACTGTGAAAAATTATCATAAGTCACTTTTTTCAGTGCCATTGTAACTTTGAACGGTCACTAAATGAGGACTACATTACAATGTTAAGGATTTGTTTGTGTTTTGGCATACGCCACTATGATTAAACAAATCTCAGCAAAGTAGAAGTCAAATGAGTCAAATGAGGCACATGAGTTATCCACGATAATCGAATTAAGGTAAAGGTAAAGGTAAAGGTTCCCCTTGCACAAAAGTGCTAGTCATTCCTGACTCTAGGGGGCGGTGCTCATCTCCGTTTCAAAGCCGAAGAGCCAGCACTGTCCGAAGACGTCTCTGTGGTCATATGGCCGGCATGATTAAACGCCAAAGACGCATGAAATGCTGTTACCTTCCCACCAAAGGTGGTCCCTATTTTTCTACTTGCACTTTTTACGTGTTTTTGAACTGCTAAGTTGGCAGAAGCTGGGACAGGTAACGGGAGCTCACTCTGTTACGCGGCGCTAGGGATTCGAACCGCCGAACTGCTGACCTTTCGATCGACAAGCTCAGCGTCTTAGCCACTGAGGCACCATGTCCCATTTATTTATTTATTTATAATGCAATTATAGAAGTTAAAAATCATAACTCCCAATAACATAAACACAGATAGGGTATTCCTTCCATCAGCTACGTTTTTAAAGACTTCTGGAAGAGCTCTGATTTAATATATGCTTCTGAAATGAGGTTGAGGTTAATCTAGCTTCTCATTAGTGAGAAACATTTCCTGCTGGCCTCAGTGCTCCTAACTTCATGGTATTGGAGAACTACAAAGCATTTTTCCGGAAATATTCTTATTGGGCTATCGATTCTTAGCTGAAGGAGGTGACCCTTAAGGCATCTCAGTACCGAGCCAACTACAGTTTTATAGGTTAAAAAACAACACTACTTAAACTAGAAACCTGTTAGCAACAGATTTATTAGCCTCATGCAGCAGTTATGATGTGAGGATGTTCTCCACGGCTCGGGGCTGTTCATCAGTCTTTCTGCTGGCAAAAACAGTTTGGCATAAAATCGTATTGCCAACCTGCCAGCAGGTGGTGGTGCCCATATTTGCTGTGTGCAGGGCAGCTTAAGGAAAGAGAGTGTTGCATAGTTAGTCCTTGATATATGACCACAATGGAGCCCAACGTTTCTGTTGCTCAGCAAGGCAGTGCTTAAGTGAGTTGGGCTCCATTTTAATAATAATAATAATAATAATAATAATAATAATAATAATAATAATAATAATTTATTATTATTATTATTATTATTATTATTATTATTATTTTATTTCTATACCGCCCTTCTCCCGAAGGACTCAGGGCGGTGTACAGCCTATTTAAAAACGCAAAACAAAACAACGATTAAAATTTAAAATCATTAAATAATTAGGCTCCAATTAAAATCCCAAAAATTTAAAATACCCCAATTTAAAATCGTTATGTTGATAGCCCGGCCTGGCGGAACAACAGGGTCTTCAGTGCGCAGCGAAACACCCGGAGGTCGGAGATCTTACATATTTCCAGGGGCAGTTCATTCCATTTTACAACTTTTTTTTTTTTTTGGCCACAGTTGTTAAGTGAGTCACTCCAATTGTTAAATGAATCATACAGTGGTTCAGCGAATCTGACTTCCCCCTATTGATTTTGCTGGACAGAAGCCAGCTTGGAAAGGTTACAAATGGGAATCACACGACTCGGGGACACTGCAACCGTCAGAAGTACATGTCAGTTGCCAAGTGCCTGAATTTTGATCACATGACCGTGGGGATGCTGCAACGTGTCATAAATCACTTTTTTTCCCAGTGCTGTTGTAACTTTAAATGGTCACTAAACAAATGGTTGTAAGCAGGGGTGGGATTCAAATATTTTAGCAACCGGTTCTCTGTCCGTTTGCTGGGTGGCCGTGGCCATGGTGGGTGTGGCCTACTCAGCCTCCTACACCACAGCGGGGGGGGGCATTTTCACCCTCCCCAAGCTCCAGAGGCTTTCCTTGAGCCTCTGGGAGGGTGAAACCACCTCCCCCAGGTTCCAGAGACCCTCCAGAGGCCAGAAATGGGCCTGTTTCTGGACTTCCGGAACTTCCGGGAGGCCCGTTTTTCATCCTCCCAGAGCCTCCGCACAGGAACTGCACTTAGCTGGCATCCAAAACGGGCCGCGTGGAGCAGGAGTGGGTTCTACTTACCTTTACTACTGGTTCGCATCATGCTCGCGCACTCTTCTGCGCATGAGCAGAAGCTTCTGCGCATGCACAGATCAACTTTGATGACATCCGGGTCAGTGGGCGGAGCCTCCCACCGATTTTACTACTGATTCTTGCGAACCGGTCCGAACCTGGGGCAACCCACCACTGGTGTGGAGGCTCCTGGGAGGGGAGGGGCAGGGTGGGCGGGGCCAGCCAGTCCCTGCAACTACCAGTTTGGCGAACCAGATATAAAATTAGCATCCGGTTCTCCTGAACTGGTCTGAACCGGCTGAATCCTACCTCTGGTTGTAAGCTAAGGATTACGTGTACTCTTTTTGAAGCTTTGTGGACAAGAACAGGAAAAGATGTTTTTTACCAGAACAACCTGAAAAAGACCCCTCTTGACATTCTTATACTTTTGCCTATTCCTTTTTTTTAAAATAATACACTGAAAGCACATAAAAAAGAAAATAGCATGCCTGTTAGTGTGCATTTATATGTGTGTATGTGTGTGGGGGGGGAAGTCAGAAAAATTTCGTGAATTTATTTGGAGAGAGAAATAAACAAGAGAGAGGGAGTGGGAGGTAAAGAGATGGGGCTGAAAGGATCTAATTTATTTTTAAGCTGAAAGCAGAGAACAGCAGAAATTATGAGTGGGTGAGAATCACCTCCTCCTCCAAAAAACCCCCCCCAAAACCCAGAATAAGACGAGGCATATTTCACATCATGCTTGTTTGCTGGGCCATGCTTGAAAGGAACAGTGCGATTGAGCAAATCACCACGACAGGAGTTTTGTGTCAAAGTATTTTAGCATTACTCACAAAATGTATGTTATGACGCCTACAGACCACATATCCACTTCAGGGCCATATGGTGAGCCATGGAGAATTTCGGGTGCTGAAGGTATTTGGAAAATAAACAAAAGACAGAATCGAGAAAGAGAGAGAAGAGTTGGCAGACATACCTTGGCTTCCATTTCCCACCCACCCCTCTCCCGCTATGACTCTCTTCCCTGCTCATTCCCCTAAGCATAAATGGTGAAAACTCACACTCCTTCACGGATGACGGGCAATTTTCTTGGATGTTTTCCAACCTGACACTTGCTATCACTTCCACTTTTGCAAACTCATGGGGAAGGAGAAGAGAGTGGCATATTATTGTTTGCCCATTCTTCCCTGGTGGCCCTTGGAAACAGAACGGATAAAGCCTAAAGATACCTGTAGCCCAAATGATCTGCCCAAAAGCCTTCTCATTTGAGACAGGATAAGTGGTAAAATGAGGATGCTAAAACCAGATGACCACTAGATGGTAGAAAAGCTCCATAAAACTTTCTCTGTTGCCATCTGGTGGCTGTCTGAATGTCTGCAATTCAGATCCTTTAGGCCAGGCAGCCATTATCTCAGCCATTAAGGCAGGGGTGTCAAACTCTTATTTCATTGAGGATTGCATCAGGGTTGTGTTTGACCTCGGGGGGCAGGGGTGGGTATGGCCAGCTTAATGTCACTCATGTCGGGGCGCCTATTGAGGCTGAGCACTCTGCCAGTGAAAACGGGTTCCCGAGCTCCATTTTTGGTTGTGATGGCTTCTTGCAACCCTCTGCCCGAGCACCCTTTTCGCTGGCAGAGGCACCGCAGGCTGCTCCTTTGCTGTTTCCAGGGCAGCCTTGCGGGCCAGATTTAAGCACCTTGCGGGCCACATCTGGCCCGCGGGCTTGAGTTTTTTTTTTGTTTTTTGTTTTAATTTGATTTATATGCCGCCCTTCTCCGGAGACTCAGGGCAGCTTAAAATGCGTTAAGCAATAGCCTTCATACTTTTGTATATTTATACAAAGTCAGCTTATTGCCCCCACAAACTGGGTCCTCATTTAACCTACCTTAGAAAGGATGGAAGGCTGAGTCAACCTTGAGCCTGGTAAGATTCGAACCTGCAGAAATTGCAGGCAGCTGTGTTAATTACAGGGTGCATTAAACCACTGTACTACCAAGGCTCTGTTTGACACCCCTGAACTAAGGCATCTTTCCACCAGCTTTGTAACACTTCTCCAATGGGCTTTCCAGAGGGGAATACTTCAGCATGCCCATTGCTGAGAATTCTGGGAATTTCAAAGAACCTCTCTTTAAGGAAACCTAGTATAGCGGGTAGCATAAACCATATGACGAACGGTTGAGGGAATTGGGTATGTCTAACCTATGGAAGAGAAGGATTAGCTGACACCAGAGCTATTTTCCCGTACTTGAGGGACTGACACAGGATGGAGGGGATCGACTTATTTTCCAAAGTATCTGAGGGCGGGACAAGAAGCAATGGGTGAAAGCTCCTTAAAGAGAAATCCAACCTGGAACTAAGGAGGAATTTCCTGACACAGAAAATAATCAGTAGAACAGCTTGCCTCCCAGAGTTGTGGGTGCTCCATAGCTGGAGGTTTTAAAAAAAAGGTTGGACATCCATTTGTTCAGGATGCAGTAAGATCTCCTTTCTTGGAGACGGGTTTGGACTAGAAGACCTCCAAGGACCTTTCCACTCCTATAATTCTATGATTCTAGAAGTATTTATTCCAGGAAAGTTTCCTTCAGGTTTTCTGCTCCTTAGAGAATGGACAGAAGGATGGCTGATCTGAGATGATGAAAATTCTTGGTTGCCATGCTGAGGAGGCACTAGAACCTGGGTCTCCCCATTCTTAGTCCACCTCTTTCATCATTAATGGGCCCACCTTAGCTCTTGGGCTGAGAGGGTGGGCTTGGCTCAAAGTCCCCCCTGAACCTGGATTTCCCCACTTCTGGTCCAGTAGCTTCACCACTAAATCCTGGCTCTTGAGAACTCAATGTCGTGGTTAAGGCAATGATGGTGAACCTTTTTTTCCTCGGGTGCTGCGCGATAGTGCACATCCGTGTGTCAACACCCATAATGCAATGCCCTCCCACAGGCCCTGTTCCCGCACACACAACCCTCCTGCACTCCCCCCACCCTCCACGCATGCATGTGCGACCCCCATTTTGGTGCTAGCAGGCCTCCCTGAAGCCTCCTGGGACCAAAAATGAGGTGCGTGGGGGGGGGCACACTCCACCACCCCCTGTGCATGCGCGCATGTCTCCCGGCAGAGACCGGAAAATCAGCTATCCAGCAGGAGGCGCGCGGGCATGCACGGTGGAGCTGACCTGGGGATCGGCTTGCGTCCCCACAGAGATGGCTCCGCGCGCTACCTGTGGCACGCGTGCCATAGGTTCGCCATCATGGGGTTAAGGCATCAGGCCATAAACTAGGAGACCATGAGTTCTAGTTCTGCCTTAGGCAGGAAGACAGCTGGGTGACTTTGGGCCAGTCCATCTCCCTAGCAGGAAAAAGAAGGGGAAACCACTTTTGAAAATGCTGCCAAGAAATCTAAGGGATTAGTTCTACTGGTTGGTTGGAGTCAACAGTGAGTCAAAGACACATACGCACATGCGCACGCACAAACAAAGAATTAAGAAGAGCCTTGGTGGCACAGCAGACTAAAGTGCTGTTAAGTAGCACCAGCTGCCTGCAATTACTACAAGTTCAAATCTCACCAGGCTCAAGGTTGACTCAGCCTTCCATCCTTTCGAGGTAGGTAAAATGAGGACCCAGATTGTGGGGGCAATAAGGTGACTTTGTATAAAAAAAGAACACCGCTTAGGGGGGCCAAAAGCCCTACTAAACAGGTATGTACAAAAGTATGAAGGCTATTGCGTAACGCATTGTAAGCCGCCCTGAGTCTCCGGAGAAGGGCGGCATATAAATCGAACTAATAATAAATAAATAAATAAATAAATAAATAAATAAATAAATAAATAAATAAATAAATAAATAAGGGAAAGGTTTCTTCTATGAAACTAAGTTCCTATGGAGAGCTAGCTGATATTCAGAAGATCAGTGGGTAAAGCTAAATGAAAAATTCCGTAAGAAACATGATATTATCACTATCGTTCTGTAATGGGCGCTTGGAAGCAGAATATCTGTATCTTTCTGTGTGTAAAAAGAGACCGGGTAATAACCCAATTCAGGAATGCTACCTTATTAAAGGTTACAAAGGTTTGCTTTGGTTTTTAAAAGGATAAAGAGGCTTTCCTCTAGGGAAAATTTGACAGAACAATTATTAAGTATGGCCCAGGGTTAAAAAGGCAACAAGAGATAAAATGGAATACTTTATAGCAGTGTTTCTCAACCTCAGCAATTTTAAGACAGATGGACTTCAACGCCCAGAATTCAACATGTTAGCTGGGGAGTTCTGGGAGTTGAAATCCACCCGTTCTTAAAATTGCTGAGGTTGAGAAACACTGCTTTATAGAATAAAATAGTGCCTGAAACAGATGACACTTTCTATCATGTGCAGTTTACACACTGGTTTGGGAACAGTAGCAAGAAACAGGTTTTAGGTGGAATAACACTGGCTGGTAAACTGAAAGAAACCACCAGATCTGAGTTGCAAATCTTCACATGACCACTAGGAAGCAGTAGAGAGAAAGAAAGTCTAACATTTTGCTGGCATCTAGTCGACATCTGGATTTTCACACCCCACATATAGTACTCCTGCAAAATATCTTTTCTTAAAAGAGCACAGTTGTTTATAAAGCTGGGCACTTTCTTCTTAGAAATAGGGCCCAGAGTAATGAATGAGCTTCCCTTCTCTTGCAACTGTTACCTCCTTAACCTGGATAGAGTTCCCCATTGCTCTCCATCACATACTCACCACAGTATCCTGGTGTGCCGCATACGGTTTTCATCGTATCTTGCTCATCCACAATTTTAGATAAACCGAAATCACCTGGGAGAAAACAGAGATTGTTGTGTTGTGCGTGAAAGAGAATATTTGTAGCTCAGGGTTAAAACGGTGTGATCCTTGGTGCTGTCTGAGCTTGGTTGTTTTCTTGCAGACGTTTCATTACCAAGCCAGGGAACATCATCAGTGGTTGTAGGGAGTGGGGTTTGCTCTCATTTTATAATCTAGTGGCTCGCCCAGGCAGGGTTGGTGGGAGTGGTGCTGGAGGTCCTTTGGTTGTATATTTACTCTGGCTGCAGCATCCCGAAATCATGTGGTCACCATTTGCAGACTTCCCAGGGGGCTTCCAACAAGGGAAGCCAATGTGCGAAGCCAGATTCGCTTAATGAACATGTGATTCATTTAACAACTTCAGTGGTTCGTTTAACAACCGTGGGAAAAAAGTCATAAAAAATCAAATCACCCGTGGCCGCACGGGTGGTGACGGGAGCAATATGGCGCTCTCATGTGACCCCCCTCCTGCGCGAGCTGCACTGGCTCCCGGTGGTCTTCCGGGTGCGCTTCAAAGTTTTGGTTACTACTTTTAGAGCGCTCCATGGCTCAGGACCAGGGTACTTACAAGACCGCCTCCTGCCACCAATAGCCTCTCACCGACCAGTTCGCTCCCATAGAGAGGGACTCCTCGGGGTGCCGTCGGCCAAACAATGTCGACTGGCGGCCCCCAGGGGGAGAGCCTTCTCTGTGGGGGCACCTGCCATCTGGAACGAGCTCCCCCCGGAGATATGGAGGATCCAAGACTTACGCATCTTCCGCCGCGCCCTAAAAACGTTTTTATTCCAACAGGCTGGTCTGGCCTAACTCTCCTTTTAAATTAGCTTTTAATTGGCTTTTAAATTGGATATTAAAATCTCTTTTAGATAAATTGGATGTTTTTAATCTCTGAGCCTAAATTATTTAATCTGTTTTTAATAGTTTTTAACTTTTGTATGTCTTTGTATTTTATTTTTGGATGTTCACCGCCCTGAGTCCTTCGGGAGTAGGGCGGTATACAAATATGAAAAATAAATAAATAATAAAATAAATGCAACTAACTAAATCTCCTTGCTGAGGAACGGAGATTCTGATCCCAATTGTGGTCACAAGTCAAGGTCTACCTGAACTATCTTTATCAGTAGCTCAGGGTTGAACTGTGGACTCCTTGGTGCTCTCTTAGCTTGGTTGTTGTTTTTCGTAGTTCATTACCCAGTGAATGACTAGGTAACGTTATCAGCATAAGAAAGCCAACCAAATAAGAATCTGGAACTCCAAGAGAAGAGAATATTCGTAGTTCAGGATTCAGTTATGGAGTCCTTGGTGCTCTCTCTTTCATGCTCTCTGAGCTTAATTGTTTACCTGCAGACGTTTCACTACCCAACTAGGTAACATCAGCAATGCTGATGGTGTTACCTAGTTGAGTAATGAACCATCTGCAAGAAAACCACCAAGCTGAGAGAGCACCAAAGACCCCATGGATATGCATTCTTTGTGGGATGAATTTTAGATCAATTGATTCTTAAGCCATCTCCCACCCTTGAGACTCAGTTAGGATTTGGCCCTCTGGTCCTCACTAGAGTAATTATTCCTGTATATTAAAATCATAGTAATTAACAGAATCATGCAGAATGTTACTGATATTCCATTATGGGCTATAGTAATAGACAAAATTATTTGTAAGGAAAGAATGCTGTGTCATTCTGCTTAAAGATAAAGGTAAAGGTTCCCCTCGCACATATGTGCTAGTCATTCCTGACTCTAAGGGGCGATGCTCATCTCCGTTTCAAAGCCGAAGAGCCAGCGCTGTCCGAAGACGTCTCTGTGGTCATGTGGCCGGCATGACTCAACGCCAAAGGCGCACGGAACGCTGTTACCTCCCCACCAAAGGTGGTCCCTATTTTTCTACTTGCATTTTTTACCTGCTTTCAGACTGCTAGGTTGGCAGAAGCTTGGATAAGTAACGGGATCTCACTCCATTACGCAGCGCTAGGGATTCGAACCGCCAACCTTTCTGATCAACAAACTCACCGTCTTAGCCACTGAGCCACCACGTCCCACATCATTCTGCTTAGAGCAGAAAATATTGTTAAAACAGTAATTCTAGTACAGGTAGTCCTTGACTTACGACCGCCATTGAACCCCAAATTTCTGTTGCTGAGTGAGACATTTGTTCAGTGAGTTTTATTCCATTTTACGACTTTCCTTGCCACAGTTGTTAAGTAAATCACTGCACTTGTTAAATTAGTAACATGGTTGTTAAGTGAATCTGGCTTCTCCACTAACTTTGCTTGCCAGAAGGTTACAAATGTGATCACATGACCCTGGGACACTGCAACCGTCATAAATATCAGCCTGTTGCCAAGCGTCTGAATTTTGATCACATGCTGTAATGATTGTAAATGTGAAAAACGAACAAAAATCACCTTTTCAGTGATGTAACTTCGAACGGCCAATAAATGAATTTTTATAAGTCATTGTGGTTCTGTGTGTGTGCTGTTAAATTAGTCAACCCATATTTTAAGGTATAATCTAATAGAAAGAACACCCATTTCTCCCAAAAGTCTGTTAAATTCAAAATCCTGTCATTTGTGTAAGCTGCATAATGCAAACCATGTAAATTTATACAAATATCACATTAGATAACATCTTACAAAATGTATCATAAATTCTTTTTTCCCCCCCCTCACTTTGGATCAAATTTCTATTGATGATTTATAACCTTTATATCAGTTTACGTCAAAAGACGTGAATTGACGCAAAGGACATAATTTGCAACGCCTGCAAAACGACATCATCACACAATTGATGTTAATTGCCATAATGGTGCATTTTTCCACCTAGGGGATATTTGTGAACAATGGATACCACTCTCCCACCATTAGTCTGTTAAAAGAATTTCATTATATAATATTTTCTGTTTACTTCATCCCACACATACCAATTTTGAGAGGAGCATCAGGGGAGAGATCTGCGTAGAGAAGGTTTTCTGGTTTGAGATCACGGTGGACAACTCCATTTGAATGCAGATACTAAAAGCGACAACGACAGAAAATCACACAACATTTCTGTAATAAAAAGTCCTTTACCTCTATATGCTGTCAAAAAGGATTCCTTTTGACACAAGCCAATGAATTATTTCTTATTTCTTTAATGTATTTAATCAAGTTATTAGCTACCTCAAATGACAAAATAACTTTAGGTGGCATTTTGATGGTGTTTCAAATTTTTCCAACTTGTGGCATTTTTGTACCACCACTTAAAACATCATGTATAGGTAGTCCTCAACTTACAATAGTGAAAGTGCAAAGTTACAACGACGCTGAAAAAAATGACTTATGGCCTTTTTTCAGCTTTGCAGCATCCCCATGAGCATGTGATCATAATTCAGATGCTTGGCAACTGGTTCCTATTTATGACAGTGGCAGTATCCCAGGGTCATGTGATCCCCATTTTGCGACCTTCTGACAAGCAAAGTCAATGGGGAAGCCAAGTTCACTTGACAACTGGGTTACTAACTTATCAACTGCAGTGATTCACTTAACAACTGTGGCAAGAAAGATCATGTAATAGGATCCTGGGATACAGCAATGGTCGTAAGTATGAACCAGTTGCCAAGCATCTGAATTTTGATCGGGTGACCATGGGGATGCTACAAAGGTTGTAACTTTGAAAAATGGTCATAAGTCATTTTTTTCAATACCGTTGTAACTTTGAACAGTCACTAAATGAACTGTTGTAACTCAAGGACTATCTGTAGACTTTTCAAGCGTAGTGTACCATTATTTGGTATCTTATTATATAGGGTCTCCTGCCTGAGAAGGAGGTTGGACTAGAAGACCTCCAAGGTCCCTTCCAACTTCGACGATGTTCTGTTTTGTTCTGTTCTAAATTTATTAGCTTGCACCAACTCTATCTGCATTCTGTGCAGGGTAGTTATAGCCTTGTTTCTGAATTATTAAGATATTCAAATAAAAGTCTAAGTTCCCAAGCACAATAGTGACTTCAATTGCTAATTTCTTTTTATTTTATCGTTTTCTCCCAAATCATTAATAAAGGCACATACAGTATATTCACAGATTACACAGCAACCACAAACTGACCAAATGATGGGCAATTCTACACTCGTGCTGTGAATAAATTAAAGTAGAGGCACAATTACAGGCACGAGAACAAATTATAGGAACAAATGATATTCTCTCCTATTGAAATGATAGGCAGAAAGTGCAAAGGAGCTGCTTCTGCTTAAAAACGGTGGGGAGCCTTTGTTGGATTATTTCTGAATAATTCTAAATAATTATATCAGGAGTTTAAGCACAGCAAAAGCACATTGCTCTGTATTGTTGTTCGGATGGCTGGGGGATTCTGGGAATTGGAGTCCACAGGTCTTAAAGTGGCAAAAGTCGGACACCCTTGTCCTGCATTGAAAAAAACCCCAATTGTTCTTTTCATTCACTCAGCTGTTAACAACTCTGTCCGTTCGATAGCATTTCTTTCATACCCCCGAATGATGGAGCCAAATTTTGCACAAAGCTAACGATGGGACCACTTTTGTATATGAATTTCTCTCATATTTTAAAACCCCTGGTTGCCTTGGAAACCATCTTCCCTGACCTTTAGTACTGAGAAACAGCGGCCTACTAATATTCCCTCTTAAGAGTTATAGATTTCTTCTTGTTCTTTTATGCCGTGCTGAAATTTAGACCGCAGGAAGGAGCTTAATGCCAAATACACGCTGCCATTTTCCCCCCCTGCTTGTCCTGTTTTTTAAGCTGGTTTCTCTTCAGGGAGCAATTCCTCAGAGGCCGGGCGGGAGGGGGCTGAATACCAAATATGGAATTCTCTGCATTTCAAAGGATTCGGGAATGTTATTTATGAAACTCGTGCTGAATAGAATTACACGTTAAGAGCGAGTAAGAACAGTCCCTTAAGGGGGTGTCACTGCAAACCAAGATTAATGTACGATTTGCAAGGTGAAACCAGCCACCTTCTCTCCGCTTGTGAATTATTCTCTCCATTCCCTCCGTTGCTGGCAGCTTCCACACTCACAAAGCTCAAATACTTTCACAACGAGCTGTAAAATTGGTTGGTTAATCTGTTTGTCAAATTAAACAGTTTATAGATAGTCCTTGATTTACAACCATTCATTTAGTGACCATTCAAAGTTACGACGGCATTGAAAAAAGTGACTGACAACTGTTTTTCACACACAAAACTGTTGCAGCATCCCCATCCCCATCATGGTTGCATGATCAAAATTTGGATGCTTGGCAGCAGTAGTGGGTTGCTACCGGTTCGCCCCGGTTCGGTATGTGTGTTGAAGTGATAACCTTTTGCGACCTTCTGACAAGCAGAGTCACCGGGGAAGCCAAATTCACGTAACAACCATGTTATTAACTTAACTCCCGAGTGATTCGCTTAACAACTGTGGCAAGAAAAGTTGTAAAATGGAGCAAAACTCGCTCAACAACTGTCTCGATGAGCAACAGAAATTTTGGGCTAAACTGCGGTCGTAAGTCGAGGACTACTTGTTGTAATTAGACATAAACAGCACTGTACAGGTAACGCCAGAGGTGGGTTTCAGCAGGTTCTGACCAGTTCTGGAGAACCGGTAGTGGAAATTTTGAGTTATTCGGAGAACCGGTAGTAAAAATACTGACTGGCCCCGCCCCCATCTATTCTCTGCCTCCCGAGTTCCAGCTGATCGGGAAGAAATGGGGATTTTGCAGTAACCTTCCTCTGGAGTGGGGAGGGAATGGAGATTTTACAGTATCCTTCCCCTGGAGTGGGGAAGGAATGGAGATTTTACAGTATCTTTCCCCTGCCACGCCCAGCGAACCATGCCACGCCCAGCAAACCATGCCACGCTCACCAAGCCACGCCCACAGAACCGGTAGTAAAAAAATTTGAAACCCACCCCTGGGTAACGCTTAATTTATGACTGTAATGGAGGCTGCCCATTAGGGAGATAAATCATGACAATTGAAAAATGGGTCACCCATATCAGCAATATGATTTTACAACTTTGTTTGTAGTACCTGTGAAGCAAACGCCGCAGTCATTAAGCAAGCCCATTGTTCACCGGTGTTTTGTCAAAAAGCAGAAGCAAAAGGCTGTGTCTGGCAAATACATTGCAAATTGTGGTCATTTGATTGTGGGCTATAAATGCAGAACAGTTGGTGAGTATGGTTCTGAAGTATGATCATGAGACTGTGGAGGTGGGGTCCTGGCCATCAGAACTATAAGTTGTAATGATCTGTGATAATATCAAGCGGTCACTAAGCAGCTGGTCATAACTGGAGGACTACAGGTACTCCTCAAGTTATGACCACAATTGGTCATAACTAAATTATGTAAAACATTTGTTAATTAAATTTGCCCCCTTTTAAGATTTTTCTTGCCAGAGTTGTTAAGTGAATCACTGCATTTGTTAAAGTAGTAACATGGTTGTTAAGTGAATTTGGATTCCTCATTGACTTTGCTTGTCAGAAGTTCGCAAAAGGGGATCACACGATCACCTGGGACACTGAAACCCTCATAAATATGAACCCCTTTGCCAAGCATCTGAAATTTGATCACGTGACCAGGGAAATGCTGCAATGGTCATTAAGTGTGAAAAGCTCACTTTTATAACTCACTTTTTCAGTGCCGTGATAACTTTGAACGGCCAATTAAATGAACTGTTGTAAGTCGAGGACTTCCTCCACTTGTAAATCATGATATTTCAAATCACGTTAATCCAAATAAGCAGCGTAGTGTGATTTTGAATCTGTTCTAATACTTCTTTTCTGTTCCAATTTCTCCCTCATCTGTTCTTTAGCCTAGAAAGAGTTTGCCTGTGGCAGGTTGGATCTGTCACTGCCGTCCATTAAATAGTTTCTTTGATGGTGCAAAATAGAGAAAGGATCACCTGATGTCCTACTTTCCATCTTGATTCTACTGCAGTGATGTACGTAAAAGAGTTAGGGCTGAAATAGCCGTAGGCCACTCTCTCCATGTTAATTACCCCCAGGACTATTACCACTGGCTCAGGAAATTTCAATTTATTTTGAGGTCAGTTCTTGTTCATCTCTCTCTCACGCTCACTGATTTGCCTGCATTTTATCTTTTGCGGGTTAATTTAAAAAAAAAAAAATCTTTGCTGATGTTTTATAAATAACCCTCAAGCTCTATTTTGGCTCGCTGAACTGAGCGCGCGTGCGCTTGCTGTGATCTGAACATACAGATCGACTGGGTGTGTGCTGGGGGCAAACTAAATTGGAAATCACCCGTAGTAATTTTCCAAGACAGCACTCAGTCGCAACCAAATCCCAGGGGAAATTATGCAGCCAAGTATTCTCCTAGATTGGGTGCACTAGCTTTAACTCGGAGCAAAACTATTCACAGATAGCCCTTGATTTATGACCACAATTGAGATCAGAATTTCCTTTACTGAGCCGAGCGGTTATTCCATTTAACGTTTTGATAAGATACAAAAATACAAAAGTTAAGAGGAAAGCAGTGGGGGGTGGGGAGAAAGGGGAGGGGATGAGAAGTGAGGAAGGGTTGAGAAAAAAAAAAGAAGAAGCGTTGACTTCCGACTCCCTCTGTTGCAGTAAAGTAAAGCATTAACCTCAAACCACAACTTTTTGTTTTTTCGTGATAATATAAACTAGCTATTTCTATAAAGATCTATCAAACTAATCAGTAAAGCAGAGTGGTCATTAAGTGAATTGTGTCCAATTGTTATGACCTTTTTTTGCCACAGTTGTTAAGCACATTCCTGCAGTTGTTAAGTGAATCATGAGGTCATTAAGCGAATCCAGCTTTTCCCATAGATTTTACCTTTCAGAAGCTGGCTGGGAAGGTCACAAATGGCAACCACATGACAACCCTGGGATGCTGCAACCATCGTAAATGTGTGCTGGTTGCCAAATTTTGATCACGTGACCGTGAGGATGCTGCGACGGTCATAAGTGTGAGGAAGAGGCCCTACGTATTTTGCTCCGCTAATCGTTGTGGACTTTAAGGGGCAGTGCTCATCTCCTTTTCAAGGCCATTGAGCCATCGTTGTCCGAAGACATTTCTGTGGTCATGCGTCCATCACAGAGCGCTGTTACTTTATGAGACAAGCTCATAAATAACTTTTTTCAGAGCCACTATAACTTTGAACGGTCACCAATGAGTGGTTGTAAAACAAGGACCACTTGTAATGGGGTCAGAGAAAATTCCAGGATCTGACAGAAGAAGGGCTGGATTTGGTGGGAAATTTATTCTTCATTTCTAGCTATTGAAGAGACAGCTGGTTGTCAGGGACTGAGGGGAGAAAATATTGACCCCGCATACTGTGATCCTACTCTCTCAATCAGCCCTGTGCAACTACAATAAAAATATTGTGCACATTAGTATATACTGTATGAATAGAATGTCGATAAGATTTAAAGATATTTTGAGTAAAGGACAGTTGGATAAACAGATGATTTTCACGATCCCTAACCGCTGCAAACTGGGATTTACAGAAACTGTATTCTATCTCATGTAGAAGAGTATTTCTTAACCTCAGCAATTTTAAGATGTGTGGACTTCAACTCCCAGAATTCCCCACCAGGGGAATTCTGGGAGTTGAAGTCCACACATCTTAAAGTTTCTGAGGCTGAGAAACACTGATGTAGAGGACTCCCAGCTGTCTTTTTCATCTTTACTTCCTTTTTCTCTGCATCTCTCCCTTTCTTTCAGCACCAATTATTATTGGGGCTATCTTTGTTTTTCTTTTGCCCCAGTTGTTCTACTTTTCCTTGCAAGTCTTTATATTTTGTGATTTTCTCCAGTTTTTTCTCCTCTATTCTACTATCCCCAGCTAGTATAGCCCAGCTAGTGTAATATACACTGCTCAAAAAAATAAAGGGAACACAAGCAGAAGACATCCGAGATCTGAATGAATGAAATAGCCTTATTAAATACTTTGTTCTTTACATACAGTAGCTTATACACTGCTCAAACAACTAAAGGGAACACAAAACTACAACAACTAAAGGGATACAAAACTACTGTATGTAACGAACAAAGTATTTAATAAGGCTATTTCATTCATTCAGATCTCGGATGTCTTCTGCTTGTGTTCCCTTTATTTTTTTGAGCAATAGACATGTTGCACAGAATATGACGTACATATGGAAACGTATGACTAGTTATTTTTTCCCTTAACTACCTGTATAAGGATTATTCTTTATATTATTCATGTTGTCTTGTATTCTTGTATGGACTGCACCAGTAGAGGCTAAACCAATTTCGTTGTATACATGATATACAATGACAATAAAGGCTTTGAACTTTGAGCTTTGAAGTTTAGTGCAATGTCCACTATTTATTATTATTACTACCACCAACGTAGGGAAGCTGCTGATGCCCATAAATTGCTGCTTTCAGAGCTTTCTGAAGAGGAGCTTTCAAAGATAATATTAATTGGAACATTGAAAAAAAATGAAGTCATAACTTCAAAAAAGGAACTACACCTCCCACTATCAGAGAGGCACTCTTGCACAGATCCATGAAAAGCAGAGACCTCGATTGTGTGCCTGCCTACCAAATTCCAGTTAACAGAAAAGGTGCCTTTGAAAGGTGGCAAAATTTATATTTCTGTTTCCTTGGCAACCAAAATTCTACCCTCCAAAACAGATGCAAGGACACGGAATCCAGGAAAAGGAAGGAAACATTCAAATGGCTTACGGAGACAGCTTCCAGGATCTGTTTCACCACGTGGGCTGCATCCCTTTCGCTGTAAAATCCCCTCTCCACAATCCTGCAGAGAAGAAATAGATTGCCAGTTTGTAAATCTGCTTTTGGGGGGGGGGATACTTAAAAATAAATAAGTCTGTGGGTGTACTAGTTTCTTTTCTGCTGCTTTAATGTGTGATACAAGAAGGAGGAGGCTGGGAAGCTTTGCAAGCAGAGAGGGCAGGAATGGCAGGTTGCTAGGCAACCAGCACATTCCTCTTCCTGGTGGATGCAAAAGGGAGAACGCTGCAGGGGTTGCTAGGCAACCATTCACACATTGCCTCCTCCTTGGTTCTCTGTCCCAGGACTGCATAGTTTAACAGAGCAATCTGTTCAATTCAAATGTCTTTAAAAAAAAAAAAATATGCCGATGAACATCATTTTGAAAGAAGTGATCCTCTTTATTTCCTAATTCTTCCTGTATGAGGGAGAACCTCCATAGGGCTTGGGAGATGGAAGGGAAAACCTTAGGAGACAGAAGGGAAGGTCTTGGGGGAATCCAGTTTTGGTCACCATGATGTAAAAAAGATGTTGAGACTCTAGAAAGAGTGCAGAGAAGAGCAACAAAGGAGACTGGAAGCTAAAACGTATAAAGAACGGTTGGTGGAATTGGGTATGTCAATGAAAAGAAGGACCAGGGGTGACATGATAGCAGTCTTCCAATCTCAGGGGTTGCCACAAAGAAGAGGGAGTCAAGTTATTCTCCAAAGCAGCTGAAGGCAGGACAAGAAGCAATGGGTGGAAACTAATCAAGGAGAGAAGCAACCTAGAACTAAGGAGAAATTTCCTGAAAGTTAGAACAATTAACCAGTGGAACAACTTGCCCCCAGAAGTTGTGAATTCTTGAACACTGGAAGTTTTTAAGAAGAGATTGGGCAAACATTTGTCTGAAATTGTATAGGGTTTCTTGCCTGAGCAGGGGGTTGGACTAGAAGACCTCCAAGGTCCCTTCCAACTGATTCTGATTCTGACCAGTTGTGTGTCACTTTTTTTAGTTGTAAGGCCTTGGGAGACAGAAGGGAAGGTACTAGGGACAGAAGGAAAAGGCCTTGGGAGACAGAATGAAAATCTTGGGAGTCAGAAGGGAAAGTCTTGGGGAGATGGCCTTAGACGGAAGGAAGAAGGGAAGGTATTAGGGAAGAAGGAAAAGGCCTTGGGAGACAGAAGGGAAGGGTAGGGACAGAAGGAAAAGGCCTTGGGAGACAGAATGAAAATCTTGGGAGTCAGAAGGGAAAGTCTTGGGGGCAAAAGGCATTGGGGGAGAGAAGGAAAAGGCATTGGGAGATAGAAGAAAGACCTGCAGCCTAGACAATCAACATACGCAAAGGTATCTCAGTCCATAGATAGTGGGAGGGCTTGGAAAATTTCTCAGAAGGGACTCTCCCTAGTTTTTTTTTTGGAAAGTAAAAGGAAAGGAAGGAAGAAATATGTTTAGATTTGCAAGTTTCTATTAACTTAACCTTACAATAAAGGTAGAGTTGATATTCATTGTTGTGCTTCTTGTTTGGACTACTTCAAAGGGCTAACAGTGCCACACATTTAAAAAGGGAGTGGGGGCTTTGGTTGTGTCTTGATTTTTTAAAAAAAAACCCTTTAAATATTCACAGAAAAAAGAGGAGGGAAACTTATTTGGAAGAGAGGGTAAACATTTGCTTTGCAGGATATTTTTTTCAAATTCCCAGTTTATTCGAGAGCCCTGATTTCCTGGTGGTCTCCTATCCATAACTAACCAGGCTTGATCCCGATTAGCTTTTCAAAATCAGGAATGAAGGGGAGGGGAAACTTTATTTACATATATCCTAGCAATTGTTATCAGTAGTTACTCTTAATCTCTACTAATGACTAGATATTCATGGAAATTTATCTGGCTTCTTATAGAATTACTCTGTGACTTGGCTTTTTTCCCCTCCAGGTCACTGGCTAATTCTATTCTTCTTGCTGCCTTCCATTTCATATTTTCATTTCATGCCTGGCTTGCAATGGCCATTCTCAAACATCATGATTAATTCCCCGTCCCAGTGGGTCACGGCCACCCATCGTATTTATTTTCCAAGAAGGACTTTAGGTTGTAGGTGAAGCTACAAGCTATTTGAAAACACAGACAATGCTGGAATCTCTCATTTCTCTTTGCAACTGGTCATTTCCCCTTTAGCTCTGTAGGTAAAAAAACTTTTAAAAAAATCTTAAACAAATTAAAATGAGGTCAATCAAAGGAACCTGGCTGGTGCAGGCACATTTATGCCCACCAATTCTATATATATAAAAAAATTAACTATCTCCATTTTCAGCAAGAGCTGAAGCCAGAAAGGAACAGGGGAGAAGGCAAGCTAAGGAAATTAGAGCTTAGAGATTGGTTGTGAATTAAACCAAGCACTTTTCCTGCGTCCCAAACACATCTTTTTCCCCATGGTAACAAATTACTCTCCTTTCCTTTGTTCAATTAGTCATCCTTAATTAAGAACCTGCCAATTAAGCCAAGGTTTCTCCTGTGTTACCTGTCAAACAGCTCACCACCTGTCACCAACTCAAGGATGAGCGTGATCTCTGTGGGGGTTTCGAAGATGTCTTTGAGTTTGATCTAAAAGCAAGTGGGAAGAAATAGAAGAGGATGAATAACTTTGATCTAAAAGCCTTGCAGAAATTAGGAAAAAGCAATGGAAATTCCGAATATTTACACGTTTGCATGCTCAGACCCCACTGAAAACTGTCCATTCTAAGATATCATGCAGAAAGTAACTTCAATCTGCTTGATTTTTATGACTTTATATGCATCAACGTTAGAGGTTGGCAAATCTTTTAACGGCGGGTTATCAATTTCACAAGTTTATGGTGCCCTTTGGGTTGAAATTAAAAATATTTTCAAAATGGTACTAAAACCTCTTATCCAGATTACAGGTCAGCCTCAACTTAATAATCACAATGGGGACCACATTTTCCATTGTTTAGCAAGTTGGTTGTTAAGTGAGTTGCACCTGCTTTTACAACCTTTTTGGTGTTAAGAAAATCACTGCAGTTGTTAAGTGAAACATGCAATTGTCAAGCAAATGCAGCTCTCCCCAATGGCTTTGCTTGTTGGAAGCCTGCTGGGAAGATTGTAAATTGAGATTTCATGATCTCAGGAATAAATGCATGCCAGTTGCCAAGCACCCAAATTTTGATCATGTGACTGTGAAGATGCTGCGACAGTCATAAGTACGAGGACTGGTCGTTAAGCCACTTTTTTCAGTGCCATGGAACTTCAAACAGTCACTATAAATGGTTGTTGGTAAAGGGCTATATGTAGTACACTTTCTCTAAAATATAAGATAGATAAGATGTATTTTATGATTATAATCATGATTAATCACTTGCTTGTATGTACACTGAGAGCTTATGCACCAGAGACAAATTCCTTGTTTGTCCAATCATGCTTGGCCAATAAAGAATAGAATAGGATAGGATAGGATAGGATAGGATAGGATAGGATAGGATAGGATAGGATAGGATAGGATAGGATAGGACAGGACAGGACAGGACAGAACAGAACAGAACAGAACAGAACAGAACAGAACAGAACAGAACAGAATAGAATAATAGAGTTGGAAGGGACCTTGGAGGTCTTCTAGTCCAACCCCCTGCCCAGGCAGGAAACCCTACACCACTTCAGACAAATGGTTATCCAACATCTTGTTAAAAATTTCCAGTGTTGGGGCATTCACAACTTCTGCAGGCAAGTTGATCCACTTATTAATTGTTCCTTAGTTCTCCTTAGTCCTAAATTGCTTCTCTCCTTGACTAGTTTCCACCCATTGCTTCTTGTTCTACCCTCAAGTGCTTTGAAGAATAGTTTGACTCCCTCTTCTGTGTGGAAACCCCTGAGATATTGGAACACTGCTATCTTGTCTCTCCTAGTCCTTCTCTTCATCAAACTAGACATACCCAGTTCCTGCAACCGTTTTTCATATGTTTTAGCCTCCAGTCCCCTAATCATCTTTGTTGCTCTTCTCTGCACTCTTTCTAGAGTCTCAACATCTTTTTTTACATTGTGGCGACCAAAACTGAATGCAATATTCCAAGTGCGGCATTACCAAGGCATTATAAAGTGGTATTAACACTTCTGTTCTGTTCTGTTCTGTTCTTTTTTGTTCCATTCCATTCCATTCTATTAGCTTTATATACATTTTGTTTGCCTTTTTTCTCTTTTGTAAACTATTTTCTCTAACAGGTCTTTTTCCTTTTTTCTCAAATGTTCTTTGTAACCTGGCACATTTGGAGAACTGGGAATTTAAAATGATGATTCAGTTTTATTTTGGTAATTTTGCTGCAAAAAACTGATATTAGATCAGTTTTCATTCTGATGCAAATTGCATAATTTTCTCACCAATAATGATTCAGACACATAAACTGTTCTGATTTGATTTTTTTAAAAGAAAGTGCTAATTTATATTAAAAAGTCCAAACTGAGTTGCCAGCTGGGTCCTTCGGTGAAATCTCTGCTCTGACCCAGAACAATGATATGTCAGAGACACTGCTAAAAATAAAGTTAAGGGCATTGTGGAAAACTAAGTGAAGGTCTATAATCCATCCCAGGAAGGTTTTATACAGATAGTCCTCCATATATGGCAATTTACTTAGTGATCATTTTAGGTTACAACATACTCCCCAAAATGTACTTATGACCCAGATTCAAAGTGCGATGGTTGCCCCCCTGCAATCATGTGATCTCACTTTGGGTTTTTGGCAATCAAGCAGCATTGGTGGCTGTTTGCAGCATCCCGTGGTCATGTGACCACGATTTACAGCATTTCTTGCCAGAAATCAACATTTACTTCTGGTTTCCTTCAAATATTGCCCATTGCTGACAATGGAATGGAGTGGAGCAGTGGTAGGTTTCAATTTTTTTTACTACCGGTTCTGTGGGTGTGGCTTGGTGGGCGGCATGGCTTGGTGGGCGTGGCAGGGGAAAGATACTGAAAAATCTCCATTCCCTCCCCAATCCAGGGGAAGGTTACTGCAAAATCCCCATTTCCTCTTGATCAGCTGGGACTTGGGAGGCAGAGAATAGATGGGGGTGGGGCCAGTCAGAATTTTTACTACCGATTCTCGAAACTACTCAAAATTTCCGCTACCGGTTGTCCAGAACTGGTCAGAACCTGCTGAAACCCACCTCTGGAGTGGAGTGGAGTGGAGTGGAGTGGAGTGGAATGGATAGGATGGATAGGATAGGAATGGAATGGAATGGAATGGATAGGATAGGATAGGATAGAATAGAATAGAATAGAATAGAATAGAATAGAATAGAATAGAATAGAATAGAATAGAATAGAATAGAATAGAATATTATTTATTGGCCAAGTGGGATTGGACACACAAGGAATTTGTCTCTGGTGCATAAACTCTCAGTGTGCATACAAGCAACAAAGTGATAAATCATAAGATACCAATAGGAGTAAGTAATAGGAAAGATGAGAAGGGTAATAGTAATGCAGTCCTACTGCATGGTTAGATATCCTTAGGCATAAGACAGTGCTATGGGAATTATCTGTTTAGGTGAGTGATCGCATGGGGAACCACAGTATTTGCTTAATAGCCGTAGTGTTTGCTTCATGACCACTGCATTCACTTAATGACCACTGCAAAAAAATAATCATATGATCAGGTTGGTCACATGGCTGATTTATGACTGTCATGACATATGACAGAAAACCTGTGCTCCATAACGGTTGTAAGTCGAGGACTACCTGTAACCGCCTAAAGCAAGCAATAGTATTCACTGTCCCTCACTATGGAAGCCAAAATTGGATTTTGAAGAAGTGAAATAGGAAGAGTGTTGATGTTTTTGAATTTTGCCTTTAGAGAGCTATTATGGACAGGCTAAAAATAAATGGATCATCAAACAAATCAATTTAGAGGTCTCACTCATGGCACAGATGCCCAGATTATCGTACTATGGATGCATTAAGCAAAGACTCGGCTCAGCTCCCTAGCGGAAGCTTTAATGCCAGGAGAAGATGGAAGGAAAGAGAAGAGAAAGAAGACAAGCAGCAAAATATAAGGACTCTGTTACAGTGATGATGGGTGCCGTGATGGGCCAGGTTGAGGAAAGACAAATTTGTCTCTGTGGTTGCTAAGAGTCGCTACCAACTTGAGGGCTAGTCCTCGACTTACAACCATTTGCTTAGTGACCGTTCAAAATGACAAGAGCACTGAAAATAATGACAGCTGCAGCATCCCCATGGTCATGTGACCAAAATTCAGGCATTTGGCAACTGGCCTGTATTTATGATAGTTGCACTGTTTCATCCCGGGGTTATGTGGTCACCATCCGTAACAGAGGTGGGTTTCAGCAGATTCTGACCAGTTCTGGAGAACCGGTAGTGGAAATTTTGAGTAGGTCGGAGAACCGGTAGTAAAAATTCTGACTGGCCTCGCCCCCATCTATTCTCTGCCTCCCAAGTCCCAGCTGATCGGGAGGAAATGGGGATTTTGCAGTATCCTTCCCCTGCCACGCCCACCAAGCCACGCCCACCAACCCACACCCACAGAACTGGTAGTAAAAATTCTGACTGGCCCCACCTCCATCTATTCTCTGCCTCCCAAGTCCCAGCTGATCGGGAGGAAATGGGGATTTTGCAGTATCCTTTCCTTGGAGTGGGGAGGTAATGGAAGTTTTACAGTATCCTTCCCCTGCCATGCTCACCAAGCCACGCCCACCAAGCTACACCCACAGAACCGGTAGTAAAAAATTTTGAAACCTACCACTGATCTGTAACCTTCCCAGCCGGCTTCCGACAAGCAAAATCAATGGGGAAAGCCGGATGCGTTTAATGACCGCACGGTTCACTTAAGAACTGCAGTGATTCACTTAACAACTGTGGCAAAAACAGCCGTAAAATGGGGCAGAATTCACTGCCTGGCTTAGCAACAGCAATTTTGGGTTCAATTATGGTGGTTAAGTCAAGGTCTACCTGTAATCCATCAATCAAAGCATCAGCTGTGGATCTAGCGGTGGCTTTTCAATATTCTTACCACCGGTTTGCTGTACACGTGCACGCTTGCTTTGCGTGCTTGCCTTCCGCGCATGCCTTCTGTGCATGTTCTTGGCCTTCTGTGCATGCTCTTTGTTCACACACACGCCTTCCACGCGTGTGTCCAGCCTCGAAAACATGGCTAAATAGGATGGCATTACGACGGGATGGGTGGGGGTTGCTCCCGATTCCGACCGGTTCGCAAGACTGGCGGGAGGCCCCGCCCACTGCCCCGGATGTCGTCATTGGCGATCTGCGCATATGCAGAAGCGATCCCATTGTGAACCGGTAGTAAAGGTAAGTAGAACCCACCCCTGGGCCCACCCACAACTGCCGCTACCGATTCACCCGAATCAGTACAAACCGGCTGAATTCCACCTCTGTGTGGATCATTGCAAGGTGTTGGTGAGAAAGAGCAACATATTGTATAATGAGGAAAAAAAAACCATAGTACAACTGAAACCAACAGCCATACTCACATCTAATAGGAAGCATTATACACACTGCATAACTGCAACTCAAAAATCAATGGAAGGCATAAACTATTTTTTAAAAAATGTTGCCTGGAAGCAATTTTGATGAGTTTTTAGCCAGCAAATATATCATACATTTTTATATTTATTATAAATATACACGAATATTATATTTGATCTAAATATAATAAACAGACGTCAAAAGGTTTAATTTTTTGAGGCTTAGGCTTAGCAACAAAGGAAGTAAATCACAAGATTATTGAAAGATTCCCAGCTGTCAAGGCAACCTGAAATCACAGCTTTTTGTATTCTTTATGACAATACAATGAAGCTAAAACCCAGAGCCTATTAGGGGAGAGGGAAATATTTGCAACTGCCCGTCGAATTTTCTCTTTCTAGCTCACCCTCCCTCCCTCCCAGAAAATTGTTCCATAATAGTTTCTTAAGATGTTAGTGACACTGTGAATTTCATACCACTTTAATCATTACTTCCCCAGCTCAGGGTGCTTCATTCAGTCATCCTACAATACATACCAGTCACACCAGGAAGAGGCTTAATGCTTCCTTCTAATACATGGCTCTGCAATCTTTTTCTTATTAACTTCAAAAGTTTGCAATCCTATTATCACTTCCTATCAGCTGAATGCTGGCAGCAGCAGGGAAAGTTACACGTCGCAAGGGTAAACAATGAAATGAAATTTCTCATCTTCTCTCTTTTTTTAAAAAATGGAACTTTGAACAAACAAAGAAATTTGTACAGAGAAGAAAAAACAAGCTTGATTTAAAAAAAAAAACGAAACAAAGAAAAGCTGAGATTTTATTGTCCGTGCAAGAAACAATGGTAGATCGGTAACTATGTAGGAGAAAAGAAATTCATAGTGTTTGGTATATTCTCAGGGGCCCTGCATAGAATCAATCATTTTGCCAAGGAAGAGGGAGGGATAGAAAGGGATAGAGAGATAGATGGATAAAAAGATGATAGAAGATAAATGATTGTTAGAGAGATGGATGACGGATCTATCTGATGATACATTAATATGTGGATAGAAGATAGACAGACAGACAGACAGACAGACAGACAGACACATAGAATCGATGGATAGATAGAATCGATGATAGCTAACTAGACGATAGATAGATAGATAGATAGATAGATAGATAGATAGATAGATAGACAGACAGACAGACAGACAGATAAAGACAGACAGACAGACAGACAGCAGGCAGGCAGGCAGACAGATCATGATCTTGGTTTCATAGTGGACATCTCAATGAAAATCCAGAGTGCAACAGCTATCATTTATTTATTGATTAAATTTATTTGCTGCCCATCTCGCTGTCATGTGACTCTGGGCGGCTTACAATCTATTAAAAAGGATTCCATGCTCGGAATCATTAAGGAGGGAATTGATAATAGAAATGCCAATTTAATTAAGCCATAAATATAGGACGGTTATGGTCCCTTGGACTGAAGAGGAATATTTTGGAGCTGGAAGAGATGTAAAAGATGGACAGTGATTAATATTAATATGTATGTATGTATATATATATATATATATGTGTGTGTGTGTGTGTGTGTGTGTGTGTGTGTGTGTATGCATGTATTTAAGTATATGGGTCTGTAGGTATATAGGTATGTATGTATATAGTATGTGCCTATTGTACACATAGGCACATACTATATACATACATTATACATATATACCTACAAACCCATGTATACACATGGTATGTATACACAAAATTATGTATACAAAAGTATGTATACACTTTTGAAAGCAGGCAACAGAATTTCATTTTTAATGTGTGCCAGTATACCCACAATAAAACATGACAATAAAGGCTATCTAAAAGGAATCCAAAAAGAGACATTGGCTGAAGCAGCTCCCTGTGAGGAAAGAATAAAACAATTGCGGGGCTACAGCTTAGTGACCGTTCAGAGTTGTGACGGACCTCCCCAGGGTTACTTACGACCCAGATTCGAAGTTCTCACAGCTGGACTTTCCAACAGTCACGTGACTGTATTTTGGACGCTCGGCAACAGGAAATCAGAAGATGGAAAAAAAAACACCTCTTCATGTCACAAAAACAAACCAAATGTGATTACCGATGTAAGCTAACCATTTTAAATATTACAGAGATCAGTTACTTACAATATTTGGATGGGAGAGCCTCAGCAAAACTCCAATTTCAGTTCTGACAATTTTCTTGTCAATCTGCAAAGAATAACATTTACAATAATGTTGCTATCCAGGTGGTCCTCAAATTACGACCATAATTGAGCCCAAAATTTGTGTTGCCAAGTGAGACATTTGTTAAGGGAGTTTTGCCTCCGTTTTACGACTTTTCTGGCCCACAGTTGTTAAGTGAAGCATTGCAGTTGTTAAGTTAATAACCCCGTTTGTTCAGTGAATCCGGCTTCCCCATTGACTTTGCTTGTCAGAAGGTCGCGAAAAGCATTTACGTGATCTGGCAACACTGCAACTGTCATAAATGTGAATCAGTTGCCAAGTGTCCAAATCTTGGTCACGTGACAATAGTCATAAGTGTGACTATTGGTCATAAGTCACTTTTTCCAGTGATGTTGTAACTGCGAACGGTCACTAAATGGACTGTTGTAAGTCGAGGACTACCTGTACCGGGTGACGCTAGGATTGAGGAAAAGCAAGACTATTTGGACAAATGATTTTGCCATTGCCTCCTTCTTAGGGCTGAGAGAAAATGACTGGCCTAGATGGCTTTGTGTTTAAGGCCAGACTAGAACTCATAGCTTCCCAGATTCTGACCTTTGTCTTCACCATTGGCTCTCAAGTTATGTTAAGCACTACTTAATAGTAAATACAGGTAGTCCTGGATTTACAACCACAACTGAGCCCAAAATTTCTGTTGCTAAGCGAAACAGTTATCAAGTTAATTTTGCCTCATTTTACGACCATTCTTGCCACAGTTGTTAAGGGAATCACGACAGTTTTCAAATTAGTAACACACTTGTACAGTGAATCTAGCTGCCCCACTAACTTTGCTTGTCAGAAGGTCGCAGAAGGTGATCACATGACCCCAGGACATTGCAACCGTCATAAATATCAGTCAGTTGTCAAGCATCTGAATTATGATTGTGTGACATTTTTTTTTATTTTTTTTTTAATTTGATTTATATGCCGCCCTTCTCCGGAGACTCAGGGCGGCTTACAATGTGCTCAGCAATAGCCTTCATACTTTTGTATATTTATACAAAGTCAGCTTATTGCCCCCACAAACTGGGTCCTCATTTTACCTACCTTTGAAAGGATGGAAGGCTGAGGCAACCTTGAGCCTTGGAGAGATTTGAACCAGCAGTAAATTGCAGGCAGCTGTGTTAATAACAGGGTGCGTAGACCACTGTACTATCAAGGCTCTTGTAATCATTGGGATTACTGCAGCGGTCATAAGTGTGAAGAATGGTCATAAGGAACGGTCACTAAACTGACTGTTGTAAATCGAGGATTACTTGTAATATGACTTGAGATCATTCCCTTTGCGTTAAAGATCAGGGGAGGAGTTGAAAAGGTCAAGCGGGTAGGCTCAACCACTATCAAAAGAAGGATGGGTTTCAATCAGTTATGGCCAGGGGTGGGCTTCAAAAATTTTTAGCAAGGCGTTCTCTGCCCGGTTGCAGGGTGGGCGTTGCCATGGTGGGCGTGCCCTAGTTGGCCTCCTGCACCACAACAGGGAGGGTGTATTTGCACTCCCCGGGCTCCGGAGGCTTTCCTTAAGCCTCCAGGACGGTGAAACGGCCTCCCCAGGCTCCAGAGGCCCGTTTCTGGACTTCCCGAACTTCCGGTAGGCCAGTTTTTTGCCCTCCCCAAGCCTCCGCATGCGCCCTGCATTTACCTGCATCCAAAACGGGCCGCGTGGGGACTCCTGGGAGGGGAGGGGCAAGGTCAGCGGGGCCAGCCAGGAGTGTGATTTGGGGGTTCTCCAAATTGTACAGAATCTTAGCTAGAGCTTCTCCCAAACCCCTGCGAACCCCCAGCAGCCAACCCCTGGTTTCGGCTGCCATCTTGACTTTTTCGATACCTCCCTGAAAATGCTTCTTTTAACCATCACTCTCGGCTAATATCAGCCCTTTGAGGTAGGCCAAGTCAGGAAACAGATAGCATGTTAGAACTCTACTGACTTAGAATATACAGATAGTCCTCACTTAAAGACCACAATTGGGACAATCGTGGTCATTAAGCGAGGGTATCTATATAGCCTAAATCAGTAGAGTTCCACAATTTGTGGCAATTTTGCTGGCTTCTGGCCAAAAACATCCATTTGGAAGAATTAGTTCATTATCCCAATTTTGGTCATTAAGCGAGGATTATCTGTATAGACTAAATCAGTAGAGTTTTTACATGCTATTGTTTCCTGATCTGGCCTTACCTTAAGTGCTAACAATAGCTAAGAAAAACGTGTGAGTTTAGGTTGCTGAGCCAAGAGGTCATTAAGTAAGATGCCCACGTGACTGCTTAGCTCAATGACCACAATCCCAGCATTCCCTGTTGCACCCGTTAAGGGATCCTATGGGTCATTAAGTAAACAGAATCCTTCTCTGTGTGAACCCTGAAGCTAGCCTGGTTGAAGCCATCTTGGAGCTTCAGTGCTGCCACACTGGAGCTGAGGGATAGGAAGGGGGGATTAGAGATAGTTGGGGTTGTGTAGTCAAAATAAAATACTTTCTCTTGGGAACCAAGGATGTTCTCACACCTGGCCGGAGGAAGGAGGAGTGATGTCACCAGGCCACCAAAGGGTGCCTTGATTGGACCATGTGACTGATCGTTTGGGGTTGAGGGAAAAACTTTTATTTTTAATTAGGTGAAACCCAAGAGCCTTGGTCGCACAGTGGACTGAAGCACTGTTATTAACATCTGCTGCTTGCAATTACTGCAAGTTCAAATCCCACCAGGCTCAAGGTTGACTCAGCCTTCCATCCTTTCAAAGGTGGGTAAAATGAGGACCCAGATTGTGGGGGCAATAAGCTGACTTTGTATAAATATACAAAAGGATGAAGGCTATTGCTTAACGCATTGTAAGCCGCCCTGAGTCTCCGGAGAAGGGCGGCATATAAATTAAAGCAAAAAAAAAAAAAACCTCTGAAGGGTCCCGCAGATTTGTGCCAATATGATATATCCAATAAAGCTATTCTTTGAGAAATTTATTCATTTGCCTTGGAGTTTTGCTTAGTATGGGTCTATTTACTTGGAATCCTGACACCAGTGGTGGGATTTAGCCGGTTCTGATGAATCGGTAGCTAAATTGCTGGCTGGCTCTGCCCCTCCCCTCCCCGCCCCTTCCAGGAGTCTCTCCGCACCCCATTTTGGCTCCCAGGTAAATGCAGGGAGGCTAGGCCCAAAACGGGGCACGGGGGGTGCCCCTCTGCAGCCCATTTTCGTTCCCAGGAGGCTTCAGAGAAGTTCCCTAGGCCCACAATGGGGCGCGGGGGGGCATGTCCCCCCTGCGGTCTGCTTTTGCTCCCAGGGGGGTGCAGGAGGCCGAGTGCTGTCTGTCACACCACCTGGCCACGCCCACCATGGCCACGGCCACCCAGCCGGTCATTAGGACAGAGAACCAGTTGTTAAATTATTTGAATCCCACCACTGTCTGACTCTCTGTGCTTATGCAGTTGCAGGGAGGAAAGGAATGATGCTTAAAATCCTTCTCTCCCTGCCTCTGGGTGGCTCTCCACAGAAGTGGGGAGAGAGGGATTCAGTTGCCTCCTGAAAAAAAAGCACCTTTGGGTTTAGTCTTCTGAGCTTTCAGACTCGTGCTGGAGCCCATCTTCAGGGAACTTCTCTCTACCGGAATGTGGGCTATTTTATGCATAGAATTTTTGTGGTAGGTGGGACGCGGTGACTCAGTGGCTAAGATGCTAAGCTTGTCGATCGAAAGGTTGGCAGTTCAGCGGTTCGAATACCTAGTGCCACATAACGGGGTGAGCTCCCGTTATTCTGCCAACCTAGCAGTTCGAAAGCAGGTAAAAAATGCAAGTAGAAAAATAGGGACCACCTTTGGTGGGAAGGTAACAGCGTTCCATACGCCTTTGGTGTTTAATCATGCTGGCCACATGACCACGGAGACGTCTTTGGACACCGCTGGCTCTTTGGCTTTGAAACGGAGATGAGCACCGCCCTCTAGAGTCGGGAACGACTAGCACATATGTGCGAGGGGAACCTTTACCTTCGCCTGTTTATGTGGTGCCTGGTTGTGTGTGGCTTTTTATTTGTTGATTGGGGTGTTGATGGTCAGATATTAATTCCTTGGCTCTTGTTTTCTTGTGCTGCCAAATCCTCAGCTACTAAGTACCTGATAAGAAATTTCTTTGCATTCTTCCATTCAGCTTTCAGAAGGGATTTGGAGCTTCCTGCCTGCTTGGGTTTCGGCTGCTGAGATCCCCGCAGGCATGGATAGGCCAGGGACCACTTTCAGCCAGCCCCAAAAGATGAAAGGGAGTCCTCTTGACAGACACCATCAGTTTACAACCTTCCCCGCTGGCTTCCCCATTGATGTTTTGGGGAAGCCAGCAGAGAAGAGTGCAAATAATGATCACGTGATTGCGGGGCGCTTGCCAATTGGTTGTAAGTGTGAACCAGGTTGCGTGACACCCTGATTGCGATCATGTGACTGCAGAAGGATGTGTGTGTGTGTGTGCAACATTCTGCAAAAGTTGGAAGTGCTTTAGTGGCCATAAAACACCCCTTCCCAAGGCCACCGTAATTTCAAAGTCATCGGTCAATCGGTTGTTAAATGAGGACTGTTGGTCATAACAGAATCTTGGAAGCCTGGCAGGATTTCCCCTTCCTTCCCTCCTTCTACAAGGTTAAGGCAGAGTCACTTTAAATTTGTTTCTAATGTTCTATTTCTGTCCTGGGATTAAATCATGTACCGCTATCATGTACATTTTCCAAGGTCACATCTGTGATTCTCTATAGTACTATATTTCCATTATTTGTAATTTAATACTGAGAAATCCAGATTTTGGAAGCCAAAAGGTTGGCTGAGTCACCTAGAAACATTGGAAGAAAAAATATATATCTAAAAATCATTTACAGAACGGATTGCTGGCTTATCAACATGTGAATTAAGCTTCTCTTTCCAGTAAGAGGGCAAGAAAGAAGATTTTTGAGCAATATAAACAACATTCTGGCAGTTATTCTGTTCCGAATATAATCTGCCAGGCCCTTTTAACCTTTTTTTT